TGCTACCTTGATGATCAGGGCGGTTCCGTGAAGTCTCCTCGCTGCAACAAGATATCCACTCTGCCCGATACTGGCTCTCGGTGTCATGCACGTGCTAGTAGTGAAGGCTTTGGCCTCCTCGCTCTACCTATTCAAGAGACTGGACCCGCCAATAGCCTCGATAGACGTTCAATGCCGGCTGCACCCTGGGCGGCGGGTCCCTTCAGGAAGTGGTAACTCAATCAGGGAGAGCACGACCGACCGACTACCATGTGGGGTGCCAGTGTATCTGCTATATCCTTGTGTCCATGTGTATCTGCATTCCCTCTTTGTATCGCTGGGTCTGCGTGGTGAGCCGATAGGTTGCAGCCTCGCCAACCACATTCTGGCCAATCAGAAATGCTTATAGGTAACAACTCGATCCACTTCACAGTGTCATGAAGCCGGACTAATACGATCAAACCAACAAATATCATGTGGGGGCTCCGCTTTGGTAACGCCTGGATCAGGTATACGAGTAGCGGATCAAGTGGGTTTTCCCCAGGTAAACAGTAGCCGAGCTATGAAACGAGCTCCACGCCCGGGACATGTGTGGGGTACCCCGACTTTGATCGATCGGGCCGGAGGAGGCGATGGAGTTTTGCTTTTGGTAAAGAAGCTCTCCGGAGACCTTTTACCGCAAGGTAATGGCGCTTGAAAAGACTCCTGGGTCGTTGCTTGCCATCGGTTCTTGTCCCAGAAATTGCATCGACACTACAGAATAGATCACAATATGTTGGTCAACGCCATCATCAACACGCTTGTGTACTCGCTCCATCCGGTGGTGGCCGTTTTTGCGCTACCTTTGGTCTTGGTCGCTCTCGAAGTGCTATGGGTCATCTACGCCAGGAACTTCCATCCTCTCGCAGACGTTCCGGGACCATGGCTTGCCTCCGTGAGTCGTCTGTGGGTGATGCGTCGGCTCAAAGTTGGGGACATGGACAAAGTGCAGCGCAACCTCCATCGCAGATACGGGCCGCTGGTTCGGATCGCGCCCAACGAGATTGCCTGCGCCGATCCGGAGGCAATCAAACTGCTTTACAGGACCGCAGCGCCGCTGACCAAGACCGACTTCTACCCTGTCTGGGGGAACCCACGCATGTCCAAGTATCGAGACAACTTCTCTCAAGTCGACGAGCGGCTTCATTCGGAGCGACGAAGGATTGTCAATCACGTGTACAGCCTGTCCAACGTCCTCCAGTCCGAAGCTTCTATTGACAGGGTCACGACGGTCATGGTGGAGAAGCTCAGTCAGATGGCTCAAAGTGGTCGTGATTGTGACTTGGGAACCTGGATCCAATGGCAAGTGCCCACGCCCAAGAGATCTGTGGGACTGTCAGCTAATTTCTTGACAGGTACACCTTTGATGTCATTGGAGAACTCTTCTTCGGTCGTATGTTTGGGTTCCTGGAGCAAGGGACCGACTACAAGGCGTGGATTTCTTCTTTGGACGCTCTCATGCCGGGATTCTGTCAAGTCGCTGTCGCACCCACCTATTTGCGACCTTTCGTTCTCTTGTCTTCACTTTTCGACCCGAAAATGAAGGCGGCAATTAGATGCACCGAGACGATGGAAGTCGCAGCGCGGGACGGTGTTGCGAGAAGGCAGGCAGAGCTGGACCAGGGCTCCTCGATCTCTGATAGCCGTGACTTGCTGCAGCAACTATTCAACATCCAGCGCGAGAAGGGCGAAAAGCTGGATTTCTCCAGGCGGGAAGTGGAACAGGAGGCATACATCGCACTGTGAGTATCCTTCCCGGGCTTGATGTCGAGGTAGACCAAGACGACTGACTCGGCTTTTCTTTCAAGACTGGCCGGCTCTGACACCACAGCGATTGCCATCCGCTCCATTTTCTACTACATCGTCAAAGATCGGAAAGTATATCAAAGACTGCGCGCAGAGATCGACCAAGCCAACGCGGAAGGGGAGCTGTCTTTCCCTGTCAAGCATGCGCAGGCGCTGAAACTGCCCTACTTGTGCGCTTGCATCAAAGAAGGCATGCGTATGCACCCAAGTGTGGGATTGACCTTGCCGCGGTTGATGCCCGCCGGCGGCTTACAGATCAACGGCAAATACGTTCCGGAAGGTTACAGAGTGGGCGTCAACGCTGCCGTGATCCATTACGACAGAAAGATCTTCGGCGAGGACGCCAACCAGTTCCGACCGGAACGGTGGCTTGATCCAGCTGCTGCCGCCAACATGGATCGATATATGTTCCAGTTTGGCTACGGCACCAGAACATGTATAGGGAAGAATGTGAGGAGCCCCCTGTCCACGAATGGTGATGATGATGATGATAAGCTAATCTTGCTGGTGATAGATATCTTTAGCAGAAATGCACAAGCTGGTTCCTTCTGTTCTTACCAAATTGGACGTCGAATGGAGGGATGAGGGAAAAACCTGGACTACAAAGAATCATTGGTTCGTCAAGCAGACCGGTATCAATGTCCGGTTGAAGTTGCGAGGCTGAGCGACCAAGCTGGTTGAGGAGAATTCGGCAAAGTTCTCCCTGCAGAGCCCTCGGCGGCATCAAACAATTCCTGGGGCGTTTGAGGGGTTTCGAAGGGATCCTTCTTAGCACATGCATTATGTAGTGTGCAAATGAGCTGAATATATGTAAAATACCTTCGAAGGTCTCATCAGGAGGAATATAATCCCCTCTACTGAATGCTGGATAACATTGGCGAAACCGTTGTTGCCCAGTCCAGCCACCGGGAACAGTTTTGCCATACGACTTGCTCTTTCGTGTCGAGCCAAAGATGAGAGTCAGGGAAACAGTTTGGCAAGTACGATCTCGGCTTGTAGCTGCTGGCGACGCCGCAGCATGTGGTCCTGAGCCACATCGTCAAACCAGTCGGCTCCATTCGGCTGCTCCCAGTCTGAATAGGCGAATCTCTCCAGAACTGGCTTCAGCTTGGTCCACGTGGCTTTTTTGTTGGCGAGTGCATAATCGATGAGGTGCTCCCGGAACCAGCCTGATTCATTTTCGGGCGTGGCCTTGGATCTTTGCTCCCAAAATGTGCCCATGAACAAGATCCACAGGTGGGCGCCGGCGAACTCGTGGAGTTCATGGTCAGTGCAGGATGCGAACACCTCAATCATGGTGGCGCGCAACTGAGACATGATGCTTGCCGAGCAATCGCGGTAATCAATCCCATTGATTCTAGTCGCATGAACCATGCTGCGAAACTGAAACACCAATGCCAATGCAAGCGCGGCTTGTGTCAAACGCTCGCCGGGGGTAAACTCGAGATCTTGGTATTTATTGTCTCTCAAGTCCAAGAAGAGGTTCATTGCTGTGCCAATAGCCCAGACACTCTTGGTGCCGAACCAGCCAATTATCAAGTGCTTTTGCTCGGTACTTGTTGGCCATGCGGTCTGAGGCAGAGGGTTCATGGTGTAGGCGTTCATATGCCGCGATGCGATGAAGGCCTGGCATAGTTGCTTGCACCGAATGTTCTCGTGGAGTCCAACCCAGATATCCGGCGACACTACAGGCATGTTAGGCTCGACCATGTCCCATAAGCCTTCACAAATCCGTCCAACACCGACATAGTCAAATGGCGTTCGACAGATGAGCTGGGAAGAAATATCGAGAAAATCCACGACTGCATGGTACATTGTCGGGTAGTAGAGTGTTCCGTCCAAGAGCCCCTCGAATATGAGTCTGTTGAGCATTGTACCATAGAGGGCAACCGAAGCCTGGTCTCCCACACACATGCTCGCTCGGTGCAGGAAGAAGACTTGAGTAAAAAGCGCCCTCGGGTGCAGCTGTGACTGGGGCCCGTCACCGGATCCTTTCTCTAGCGATTTCCGAAGAAGAATCATGCTCTTCGTCATTAACACCAGCGAAAGCTGAGTCACCTTGAGCTGGGCAGACTCTGACATGTGGAGAGACATGCTTCCAAGGAATTTTGCGATGCACGCGAGGGCCGCACCTGGGGCGGAGATGCTCTCGAGACAAGATTGCCAAAACAGATTGCCCAAGGAGGCGGCCGAGAAGTCACCGCCGTGGACCTGCGCCAGGAATTTGTTCTGGGCATACATCCTTGGAAAGAAGGCATCTCGCATAAACGTCAGGGCTTGATTGATGTAGGGGTTCAGCTCGATCGGGAAGCATCCAAATGGATCGGAATTGCCTTTGAAGAGTCTGGGTCTTTGCCGGGCAGCGACTATGTCAGCAATTGGTATGGAGTTGGCACAGTCATTGGCGACATCTTGTGATATTGACGTGATGTCCCCATCTTCTGGCTTTGAGCGCCGATGAGTTTTGGATTGAGCCGTGTTCGCGCATTTCTTTCGACGGCGCCTGGCGTGGGCCACACGAGCGGCGTGCGCTCGAACCTGATAATCACCCAGGGGCGAATCTCCGGCAAGCAGTTTCGGGTCGCTTTGCCAGACAAATCTCAGTGGAAGCGAAGTCGACTCGCCAGTCATAATGTGAGTATAGGAGGAGAACAAGAGGATGTTTTGACGTTTGCCCACCGTGGCCGCCATATTGATGGCAGAGTCAAGGAGCGGAAAGAGCAGGGAATGTAAACCGGAGATTTGTAGCTCGAGCTCTGGCAATCGTATTCGTATTAGCCATCAGCAGTCCATACCTCTACTACTATAGTTTGATCCTAGAGCGTGAGCGAAGGCCACTTTACCCTGAGGTTTAACTAAGCCTCTCCAGTAGGTCAGCAGCGGAGAAGGGTTGTCTGGCTTGGGCATTGTCTACAACAACACCACCAACACCGCACAAACCAGACACAATCCCCCGTCGTGCTATCGCTAGGCACGTGTAGATAGGATCTGACTGGGAGAGCCTGGCATCCTAAATCACGGAAATAAGCTGTTAGACGCTGCACGCCATCTACCATAAAGTTACACGGTACAAAGTGTACGTCCAGAGGCATTCACTGCGTGTACTCTGTTCATTCATGCTCGACGAGTCCACCTTGAGAGGAGGCATATTAGAAATCATATCATTTTGTACCAATTCACAGCTTTGCAAAGCTCCCGTGACGGCCGATCCCACTGCTGAACCTGCCGGCGCCCGTGACGGACTCGGCGTCGAAGACCTTGATGCCGTTTTCGAATTCATGCGCGAGGGCATCTTCGAACGAGCGAGCATTGTACACCGAGTAGTAGCAGTTGTCCCGGTCGACGTTTACACACAGCTGCGGGAACCGGATGAGCTCCTCGGCGATCTTCACAGCCTCGTCGAGGGACCTGCCCTTGGGGACGACGCGGTTCGCCAGGCCCATCTGATAGGCCTCTTTGGCACCAACGCCTCGGCCGGTCAGGATCATGTCGAGTGCGCGACCGAGCCCGACCACGGCCTGGAGACGAACCGTACCGCCATCGAGCAGCGGTATGCCCCATCGGCGACAATAGACGCCCATGATTGCGTCCTCCTCGACCACGCGCATGTCGCCGAGCAGACTGAGCTCCAGGCCGCCCGCCACGGCCCAGCCGGCCACAGCGCTGATGACGGGTTTCCTGATCTGCATCCGTGACGGCCCCATTGGTCCCAAGTTGCGTCCCTTTACGGGATCGGCCAGGAAGTACGGACCGTCGAAGTGCGCCCCGTCTTTGTGTCGTTTGGCCATCTCGTGAAGGTCTGACCCGGCGCAGAAGACGCCATGGTCGCCATGGAAGACGGCGACTTTCTGTGCGGGATCGTTCTCAAAGGAAAGGAAGGCCTCGGCGAGTCTCTTGCCCGTAAGGTGATCAACGGCATTTCTGCGGTGCGGCCGATTGATGGTGATGATGGTGATGCCGTTGGCTTTGACCGTGACTCGTACCGAATCGGGCCCAGACACTGGAAGTTGGCTCATGGTGATGTCGTGGATGGCAACCTTGTTGTTTGACCATGACACCTCTCCGAAAGCATTTGTCGATGCTTATATGCTTGTTCGATTTGCGGAACACCCCTCCTTCTCTCGGCGTAGTGTCGGATGAATGGACGGCTCGGAGTCCCTTGACATCGCTCACGGCCCGTATGTAGGATGCGAGTGGGCAAGGCTGTCCAATACTAGGAGGGGGCTACGGAACACGGCAACGAAGTCGGGCCGTATTTCCCTATCCACAAGGTGTGATGGACTACGCTCTGATATCTTCTTCCCCAGAGACACTATTGACCAGGATCCCCAACATCTCGCCTCGAACCTCTCTGGGTCTCTGACGTCTCCACGATCCATTTCCTCGCCCGCGTCATGTAGCCTCGGCTTGCGCGGCTTGGCCGGCCTCCCTCAAACCATACTTCAACCCTTTTTCTGCTGTAGGGTACCATTCAAACTGCGCCCAATACCTTAAAACTACAATATCACTCCTAGTACAGCATGAATCGGGGCACCGAGCCTCCAGTGGCTGCCCATGGGACGGCGAAGCGTGCCCGGCTGGCATGCACCAATTGCAGGTAGAACCGACCATGGGGAACTCAAGCTTCACAATGGCTTACACCACTGGACACGCAGGCGCAAAAAAGCACGCTGTTCTGGCGAACGCCCTTGCTGTGATGCATGCAGTCGTTTATCGCAGATCTGTCGCTACGAGGAAAAGTCACCTGTGCAGAGATCGAAGGAGACGTCCCACCCTCGTCGAATGCATTCATCTGGAGGATTTGTTCGTAGCCCTCGAGTACGCTTTCCCTGATCTGTCAGTGCTGACCTGAATGGGACAGGGGTTTCTTCTGTCAAAGATAGAAAGCCTAGAGACCCAACTCCATGGCCTTTCAGCCGGTCTAAAGAACGTCTGCTTCGCGCCCGGTAAACATATGCTGACTAAATGCCAGCCCGCACCCTCACCAGAGTACCGCAAGGGTGCCAATCTCGACCTCTTCGCCCTCCGTCAATAACCAAACCCCGGACTTCGACAGAGAGCCGGTGCTGCACCAGGCCAGCCTGTATGTACGTCGCTCTCCGGACACATACAACAATAACCAGACTTCAGATTGCTACAAGAGCTGCCCGTGCAAGTCAGTACTTCTCTTGTTGACACCTACTTCCGCTTCTGTCACAACCAGCCATATTGTCTGTTTCATGAGGCGACCTTCCGAGACAAAATGCTGAAAGGCCTCGTACCGCCCCATCTTGCCCTAGCATTCCTGGCCACTGCGGTGCGCTTTTCCGACGAGCCGTTGTTTCGTCAGAATAGAAGAGAATCAATGGACAGATATTCGGCGTCGGCATGGAGGTATATGGTGTTCAATTGGATGTTGGTCGACGGAAAGCCCACCCTTGATATTGTCCAGGCACTGACCCTCCTGTCGATCCTCGATTTTACCGGTGCGACTCTCTCCCCCTGTCTCCATTTCGGGGGTTGGTGTTGCTGACGACGATGCAAACTACAGCTACTAAGTTACATCCTGGGTGGATGAAGATCGGACTGGCCATACGTCTCGCCCAAGACTTGCGGCTCATGTTTGACCCAACCGCGCCAGAATCGCAGGTAGTGCAAGAGGAACATCGGCGCGTGTTCTGGTCGGTCTATCTTCTTGACAAGATTGTCGCGGTGGGCCGAGCGAGACCGCCAGCGATCCTGGAGGACGACTGTTACGTCTATCTGCCTTGTAAAGAAGCCGATTTTCGGCGTGCAGCATCTCATTCCAAACTGACCATCCAACAAATACACTCCTCGACGTACCCTTATCCCGAACGCCCCGGGGCATTTGCGGTCGTTATTGCCGCGGCGTCTGTCTTTTCAAGTTGCACTCGCTATATGCTGCGGAACCGTACCAAGTGGGAAGAGCCTCCTTGGAAGTTAGGATCTCCCTTTGCCGCCATCACCTCCATGCTCCTGGACTTCGAGAGCCGTTTCGACTTGACCGGTTCCATCAGCCACGTCTTCGAAAGGGAATGTACCGTGGGTGGAGAGCTGGACCCGCAATGCGCCAGCCATTGCCTTCTCGCCCATGTGCTCTTCCGACTGAGCTACTGTCTTCTGCACCATCCACTGCTGCTTCACACACGCCTCCACTCGTGCGCGGCTAAAGCTCCTGCAACCTTCCTCCGGCCCATATTTCAGGGCGTGTTGCAAGAAGCTCTAGCGGTGACCGATCTCCTCTTAGAGGCAGAAATGGCGGGCTGTCACCCGACCGTCTCCTTTTTTGGGTGCTGCATTACCATTGCAGGGAGCGTCGAGGCTCTCTACACGGCGCACGAAGACCCTTCAATACGTCAGCAGAGCGTAAGTGGCTTTGAAAAGACCATGGCCTATCTCGAAAAGTACTCGCGCTACTGGAGCAACTGGAGGAGTATGGTCAGTTTCCCCAGTTTCCTGTTCTTCCGGACAAAAGTCAAGTGCTGACCAGGGCCACTCCAATGTAGATCACCAACCTCCAAAACTTTGCCGCGGACGCCTCTTCGTACAGGGATCTGTTGAACCCCCACGGTCGAGTGGAACTTGGTTCATCTAAACTTGAGCGTCTCTGGCGTCTGGTCGACTACAGCGCCATGTCGATCGAATACGCCGAGCCGGTGGACATGACCATGATGCCATCGTCGTTTGACTTCGACTTCAGCCCTTCCGACTTCTTGGGTGAAGAGTGCTTTCAAGAACAGCAGTGGGATGCATTCCACTTCAACGGTCAGGCTTCATAGTGGACCAGGGTTGAGAATATATATGGGACGAAGGAAGGACTCACGAAGGAGCTGCGGAATGATTTCGCTCGTATTCGTGTTGGCAACGGGGAGGTCATCCAGGCATCAAGGCTCGAATAGAAACCCCGTCGTGCCTCTCTTTTTGATTAGCCGCTCGCCGGGTTGCTCAGATAGCTGTGTGCACTACATATAATATAGTACTGACAAGGCTGATGCTAGAGGTCACTCGTGCACTCTTCCCTAGTAACCATGCAGTGATCCTGCAGCCAGCCCCTCAATCAGCACATTTACCACCCTACCCAGGTTCTCGCCAGGAAGTCCTATTCGTATAAAATCCGCCCACGAGGCGGCATGATTGCCCGAGCAGTATATGAGCCCCCAATCAACCAAGGAGATCCCACTTATTGCCCGAGACGTCCACAAAGACCGCCACGCGCCCGTACGCCTCGGCGCGCGGCTCTGCGACGAAGCGCACCCCAGCCTCGACGAGCCGCGCGTACGTGCCCTCGAAGTCCGCCGTGCGCCAGAACAGCCCGACCCGGCCGGCGAACTGGTTCCCGACCATCTGTTCCTGCGCGGGCCCGTCGGCGCGGGCGAGGAGAATGCCCGCGCCCGCGCCCGCGCCAGTGGTGCTGGGCGGGTGGACCACCACCCACCGCTTCGCGCGGCCGTCGTTGGTGAGCGCGGGGGAGTCTTCGGTCAAGGTGAACCCCAGCTTCTGGGTGAAGAAGGCGATGGCCTCGTCGTACGAGTGCACGAGCAGAGACACGAGCGAGATGCCGGCCTGCTCTGCCGGGCCTGTCGAGCCGTCCATGTCTTCTGTCGTTTGAGTCCGTGCTTTTCCGGGGGAGTTGGAGGACAGGCCGGAATACAGGGATTGATGATTCGAGTCTTGCGTCGAGATATAGAAATGGAACGACGTGTGGGTGAAAGGTTGAGACGGATACGTAAACATCTCGTTGGCCCTGCATGTCCTCGACTAGCTAGCTATATAGCTCGGTCTAAGGCCACCACGCTATCCGACGGGGTACTGGGCCAAGCTCTTGTACCAAGGATCGCCCGGGAGAAGGACCAAGAGACATAATTCGAGAGACTACCGACAGTTTTGTCCCCGATTGTTGCCATGTAGACCTTTCCCTCTCTGCATAGGGAATTTCTGGGGGGCTTAGATTCGGATACTACAGTTTGTTTGATTGCCTGGTTTGCAGTCCGCATATCTAGCGGTCGTAATAAGCGCTCATATGATAGGTAGGTATCTAGCTGTGGATATGCTCTACCACCACCACCTCCTCCTCCACGAACACCTACCATTCAAAGGTCCCACACCGCTGCTCATGCGATCCAGAACCAGATCCTCTCCAGAAAATTCCTGGGCTTAACCTCCGGCCACGTGCCCTCTAGCCGATCCGCCTCAGCCTTGCCGCTCCACAGATCCATCTCGCTCAGCTTGACAAACCGGGTCCGCTTGACCACTTTGTACCCGACGAACAGGGCCGCGAAGATGGGAATGTCAATGTACGGCGGGACGAAGCTCTTGGCGCTGAACCGGCCCGGGAAGAAGGCGTCGAAGCCGTTGAAGATGGCCACGACGGTGCAGAAGCACACGGCAAAGTAGGCCAGGAACGGCTGCAGGGGGGCCTTGTACGGCAGCGTGTCCCGCGAGATGCTGTTGTGGTGGAGGCCCTGGTGGAAGCGGATGTACGTGATGCAGACGCTCGCCCAGACGATCAGCGTGCTGACCGCCGAGAGGTTCGAGATCCAGAAGAAGACGTCGGCGGCCCGGGAGCTGACGTTGAGGTAGACTAGGAGGGACAACAGCGCCGTGGCTGCGACGCAGCCGTAGGGGACGCCGAACTTTTCGAACCGCAAGAACGCAGGAGCACGGCCGTCCAAGGCCGTCGCGTAGAGGACGCGGGTTGAAGCGTAGAAGAACGAGTTGCCTGCGGACCATGCCGATGACAGAATGACGGCGTTGATGATAGACGGCAGCGCCGAGATCCCACCATTGGTGATGGCGATGACGAACGGGCTCGCCGCCGCCCCCGGCGCAGAGCTGCTGATGGCGTTCAAAAGCCGCGGGTCCTTGGCTGAAACACACATGCTGATCAGGAAGATAGCCAGCACGTAGAAGATGGCGATCCGCCAAAACACCCGCCGGACCGCCTTGGGAATGTTCCTGCGTGGGTTTTCGCACTCTCCAGCGGCCACCACCACCATCTCGCTGCCCCCGTAGCTGAAAGTCGCATTGATGAAGACCTTCCAGAATGCGAGGAAGCGACCCAGGGCGCCGGTCTCAAGATATTCCAGCATCGGGCCCGGATTGTCCCAGTACCGAAACCCGATTCTGTCGTGGTTTGGCGCGCCGCCCAGGGTGATGATGAACATGAGCAAGAGCAAACCGACAATGGTCGTGAGCTTGATTGCGCCAAAGACGAATTCCGCCTCGCCGTATATGCGGACGGGAAAGCAGTTGACGATGACCATCGGGATGAACAGGATGGTGATCCACACGGCATTGGAAACGGCATTCGGCCAATATCCTATCACCACCGCAGCGGCCGAGATCTCAATTGGCACGCCGATGGCGAACTGGTACCAGTAATTCCAGCCTAGGGTGAAACCCAGCGCCTCGTCGACGAATCGTGCGGCGTAGACAGGCACTGCGCCCGGCAGAGGCAGATAGGCGGCCATCTCGCCGAGACTGTTGATGACGGCGTAGAGATTGAAGCCGGTGATGATGTACGCCAGGAAGGTCGACAGCGGTCCAGCGAGACTCAGGGCTTGACCACTCCCCACGAAGAGACCTGTGCCAATGGCGCCGGAGAGGGCGAGGAACTGGACATGACGAGACTTGAGCCTGCGCTCGAGAGTGCCGACGTTTTTCTGCTCGTGCTCGAGATACTTAAGGTCTTCAATGTCGTCGTGGTCGCCACGTTGCTGCCCAGTTTCGACGATAGCGGCCTCGGTCACCTTCCTGGCTTCAAGGTCTTTGAGTTCGTGTGCCATCATGTGTGACTTTGTCAAAGTTGCTGCACATCTAGCTCTTCATCCCGCCTGGGAATGAGGAGAGTCATCCAGGCATCGGTGAGGCCGTGGCCGGGCTGTCGTCTGATATGTAGTGGGAGATTCCTCCTTCCTCTTCAGAGAAGGAGTCACGGACATGAGCGTCCTCATGGTGAGTCGTGCCATTTTGGCGGATGCTACCTTGACCGAAGCGGGCGCCAACTTGTCGATCCATGCATCTACCCAAGGACGAGATTGGTGGTGGATGTAAGAAAAGGATGGTGGAGGAAGGAAGCCGGAGCATTTCGTAGATACTTCGGCAGTGGTTCAGATTCGGCCGCATTTGCACCGAAACTTTCCCCAGAGACACGGAGACGCCTTGCCGTGGAGCTCCTCAAGACACTCCCAAGGCTTTATATATCGCTGCAATATAGACCCTTGCCTTGTCCGAGCCCAGGCCAACATTGTCCATCTTGTTCATCACATACGAAATGGTCAGCTTCCTGTCCAAGTCCACCACTGCCATCGACCCGCCGTATCCGCCCCAGGTACACACTCTTCCCGAGGGCAGCCAGTCAATCCAAGTGCCTTGGGTCGGGAGAGCGAAGCCAATGCCCCAGCGTATGGGTGCTCCAAAGGCAAGGACGTGATCCAGCCCGTTTGATTGTTCTTTAAAGATGAGGTCGATGGTCTGTGGAGAAATGAACTGTTTACCGTCGACTTGGCCATTCATGGAGATGACTGACAGGATGCGATTGACTCCGTGGGCGTTGCTGTGCCCATTCCCGGCCCCGATTTCAGCCTTTCTGAACAGCTCACTGTTTGCAAACTCGGCTCGCATGGGCGGGTTCGTCATGACTCGAAACCCAATCGAGGCAGGTTCCAAGGGGGGAGGCCCAGCCGGTGGCGGCGGGATAACGTTCGACCTGCGCGCCTCGTCTTTCTCTGAACAACCCAGCTGGAAATCGGCATTGAGAGGAGTGGCAATGTCTTCAGCGATGAACTGTTTGAGTGACTTGCCTGTTACCCGCCGGACAACCTCTGCGATCAAGTAGCCCTGGGTGAATGAATGGTATCCTGATGCCGTGCCAGGTTCCCACCATGGGGCCTGCTCGGCCAACAGTGCGGTGACTCTGGGTGAGTCGCAGATTTCCTCGACAGTGAGAGGAGTGTCGAACCCAGCCACCCCAGAGGTGTGGGACAGAATGTGGCGGATTTCAATGTCTTGCTTCCTGTTCGCGGCGAACTCGGGCCAGTATTTGGATACTTTGTCATTCACGCTGAGCGCACCTCGATCGACCAGGACGAGGACGGCGAAGGCTGCGATGGTCTTGGTGGTGGAGAAGAGATTGGTGATGGTATCCTTTTCCCAAGGTCGCTTTCGGTCTTGGTCGGCGTAGCCTCCCCAGATATCAACCACATCTTTCCCGTTCAAGTTGACGGCGATGGAGGCACCGAGTTCCTCGCCTGAGTCTATGTATTTCTGCAGCAGATCTTTGACCTCGTGGAATTTCTCATCGCAGTGTCCTTGAACAGCTGGCATCGTGGCTGGTGTATTTTCCGACTCTCATTAGCAGAAGACTGCGACGCGGTAGAGCGAGACTTGACGCATGGTAAGGGGGTGTTTATAGGGAGGCTTTTACTAGAGAAGCCCAAGCTCCACGACGGCTCGCCGGGGAAGGCCCCAAAGCTGACGGGCCCGGACATGTGCTCGCGGTCAGTGGGTGTTCTCCAGCGAGTTGCAACTCATCAGTTGGAGGACTTACACAGAACCGCACCTCCCACCAAATGGCGGGGAGGAGGAGACACAATCGCCGAGTCCAGCTCGAGTTTGAGTCCTTGAGAAGCCCCTCCCCAGCCCCACAGATGCATCAAGGCGCCAGCTGTTCCCCACGCAGTTACACCTGAGAAGACGGATTGCGACGGTGAGATGTGGACGGTGTTCGATGAAGGAAAAACCCGACACCATGGCCTAAAGAACGGAGTCGTCCACGGCGCCTGGGCGATATACCTTCTCATTGACGACCACTTACCCTGGGTTTCTGTCCAGAGCCGCACAATGAGAACGCGACTGACAGTCGTCGCACGCTGTCCACATGGCAAAAGATCCGGGCTGCTATGCAGTGTGTGATGTCAGGTCAAGGTCCACCAAACCTCCGTACAAGAATTCTCAACCCGCGGGCGCAGAAGGAAAAGGTGGACAAAAGAGGAAAGAATGTACAGCATTTGTCTCTATAAACTTCTTGCTCTCCATGCCAAGGCGCTGTGACCATTACTGCACCTCCAATAACGACAACGACATCACGCAACCCACTCATCCGTAACCTGCTCATGAAGGCTGCTTCGTCATAAAGAGTCACCGTCAGCGACTTCTCTCAAAAATGGCAAGTCCTCGCAGCAGCCACAGCACCGTCCACCGCCCAAACAAGAAGAGACAGGCGGAACTCAATTACGAGACAGAAGCCTATCAAAAGCGCCTCCACTATGTAAAGCCACCCTTCACATTCAAGTTCCTCGACTGGGAAGACGGTGGGTGAGCCACGGTTGAGTCTTTACCACGGAGTTATACATCGATCCCCTGAAGTTACAGCCCATTCCTTCGCTCCGATCAGATCGGCGTTGCCGTAGGTTTCTCAGATCCGGTATTCCGAACGCAGTTCAGGGACAACGCACGGTATGGAGATTGAGGAAGACGAAGGCAAGGCGGCCGCGGAGTGGACTCGCACAACTTCCCCGGCATGAGCCATTCGTGGGACAATACCAAGTTTCTTCAAGAGCTTCGGCGGTTCAGTCATTGTGAAAGGCATTCAAGTGTCCATGACGCTCTTAAAGCCGTCGAGGTTGGCGTCCAAGGTGTCGTTGTGAGCAACAATGGTGGTAGACAGGGAGATGGTGGAGTCGGCTCTCTAGGAATGATACCAGGCGTCGTCGTTGATGCCGTAGGCAATAAGCTGGACCTATTATTCGACTCTGGGATCCGGTGTGGCGCGGGTATTGCTAAAGCCATGACGTTGGGAGCTGAGATGGTCCTAGTCGGCTGGCCATACACGTATTGATTGGTTCTTGGAGGAGAAGAAAGCGTCAGCAATACACTCAAAGCGCTGTGCGACGATTTGACATTGCATCTTGCTGGCGTCGAATCGATTTCGTCAGCTCATCTCAACCGGCCAGTGCTTGTCCGGGAGGACAACCTGTAGTATGAAAACTAGGGAGAGCAAGAACAAGTTGCTCAGAATGTCCTTAACCGGGACCCAGTCAGTCACACGTATCTCGTTAGGTCACTCCCTCGATTTCGGCCTGTCAATGTCGGTCCATCGAGGAATCCGGCATGTCTCGCATTTTTCCAACTCGGGGGTATTGTCCGGGTTGATGTGCAGCCAAATTTCCCCTTCGCCTGAACGCTGGAGCTTCTCCCAGTAACGCTTCCTCGCCCCGGGCGTGAGCCGTTTGCGGGCCTCGTGCTGAACCCTCAACCGCACCGCCGTCCATTTCTTGTTCGGCCGATGCTCTGTGGGCAAGTCATCTAGCGCAGGAAGGTCCAATACCTTCTTTTCCCTCATCCGCCTAAGGAAAGGCTGCTCGTAGTGCACCTCCTGGGGCATAACGTGAGCCAGGAATTCCAGCGATGCATCGATGTTCACGTCGACGGCGCGGACAGGGTCAATGGTAGTCTTCATCAGGTAGCTGGCCAGCTGAGGGTACAGGATGCAGAAGTCTGATTGAGAGATGTGTACAGTTCCACGGACAGTCAGTAGCCACGCTGGATGTCCCGTTTCCAGGGCCTCCATCGTCACTGTCTTTGCCACTTCGAAATTGTCTGGCCAGTACATGAAGGCCTCCGAATTGATCCCTAGAAGCGGGACTCGAATGCGGTTTTCTCGCTCTTCGGCAGTTGGCCGCACCGGCATGCCCCAGATATCGTAGATAATCCCCTGTGTGATGTATTTGTACCGGTGTTTCTGTCGTAGGACCTCAACAGCCGTAGTTGCTCCAAAGGAATGTCCCACCATGGTGACCCCCTCGGTGAAGAAACGATCTTGCCATGACGACCACTCAATGCCATCCAGACCGATCTTTGAAGCACCGATTGCGGGCTTGACCCGCAGGTTCCTCGCTGCGACCTTGTCGCCATTACCCGCACATATCTCTTGCATGACCTGGTAGGCCTCGTCAATCTCAGCTAGCCGCAGATCAACCTGGGCATTGCGCAGTTTATGGTCCACTTGGTGCCCGGGGGTTGTGTCGTACTTGTCGCTTTTTGCGAAAATGAAGTCCACAGTATCGTAGGGCTTCTTGGCAGCCTTTTTCTCGTGCTCTACATTTCCGTCGGCCTCTGTACAGTACCGGCTTCCTGGTCCAACAGCAGAGTGATTGACCATGGTTCTCGGCCCGCTTCCATCCCGATGTTCGAGAGCCACCACCACAAAGCCATGGCTGGCAAACTCCCCGCAGACGGATGAGTAGCACGTCCTTGTCCCTCCCAAGCCGTGACTGAAGATTATGAGAGGGAACTTGGGCTTCTGGGGTCCTTGTGCAGGTGGTTTCCCCTCTTCATCCACCGCCTTCCGCCGGCCTGTGGAAGCTTCTCCGTGGGGAGGCCAATGGTCTGCAAGTCTTGCATTTTTGTATGCGGGGATTTTCGTATACCAGGTTGTACAGAAGAAGAAAGCCATCATCAAGTGCTCCGGAAGATTTGCGAAACGCCCGTAACCGCGGCTCGTCTGATCTCTAGGTCGGGTCAGCCAGGTCGGGCGAAATCTTTGCATGGTGGACGGAGCATCGACGTTGTACTTGACATTCAGGTGGGCAGGATAATAGATTGTCATCAACACCGTCTCGAGGGTAAGAGCGCGGACGCCATGCCGCTTGATATCCGAGAAAGTCCTTGGGTTCCGAGCCGGCACTTCAATGTCGATGATTCCAACCTCGTACGGGCCAGCATAATGCGGTAGCTTGCCATAGAAGGGAACTTTGTCCCTCAAGCCCTTCGGCGGTCTTGCCTTGGGTTTTTGTTTGTGAGGCACCCCCTGAGGCCTCGTCTTATGATGTCTGGGATGGCCGAGAACAAAGTCCGGAAAGATGGATTCGGCAGGCATTTCGACGATGACGATCTGTCTTTGTGATTGTCGGTCCAGGACAGTATCTCTATCAGGGTGGGAACAGATGAGCTGTGGCCACCTTTTAGCATGACTGGACAATAAAGTTTCGCGGGAAGGGGACGTGCGAAGTGCTGCTGAATAAGTCGAGGGCGTCCATCAGATAGAGAAGAGGAGGAATTGGCAATGACGGGAAAGTCGGAGCCAATGACATCACTGCCCGTTTGGTCATGGCTGACACGTGCTCTGGCTATACTGTCCCAAAGAGGAAACAGCACAAGGACCTCAAAGCAACAATCAGCCGTTATATAATATACCTGCATTTTGGGGCAAGAGTGCTCCCAAATGCATTGGTGCTGACAAGACATCAGATAGCCGCTGGATCCCTTCCCCTCATTTCTGCCCCAAGCCAACTAAGTCCATTCGACAATTTGCCGGTCAGAGGTATCGCGCTCTGCTTGATCAGAGTGTAGAGCCGTTCCCGTCATCCGAACTTGATCGCCGCCCTGCACCATTGAAAGCTAATTGCCAGTGGTTGCAGAGGTCCTGAACCTGCAGTGGGATAGGAACCTAGCCCGCCGGCTCCGATCGGAGCCACATGCCCTGCCGTAGAGCGCATGCGGCTTGTTTCAGAGCCGCTTCAATGTTCAAAACTAACCTCATTTGAGGATCAGATAGCAGGGATAACGGCTCAGATGCCTCCAGGTCGAGCCCAGCAATCTTGAAAACACATTTCAAGGAAGCACAGATTCCGCTGACTTCACACCGACCTGGACAGCTTCCAAGGTTGACCTGCGTCCACATTCGCACGTGTGCTGTGAATGGTTCAAGTCGGAAGATGGCTTCAACCGCTAGATATACACCACTCAGATGAGCCATATATATTCGATGCAGGTAGCGAAAATCACCGTCCTGAACCGCTGGTGGTTCCAAAGAGTCGATTGGGGGATGGGCGGACAGGTAGCTTGATCCTGATATGCCCCGATGACATGATCAAAGCTGATTGCCTCTCATTCCACCCATATCTTCATGGCTGTGCATTCCTTGGGGCATGAAATGTCTTAGATCTTGATACGAACGACCTGAAACCCTCGGATCCCGGGGAAGAATCTCGGTTCTCGGAACCGAGGGGTGAACGCGCGTGAGGATCGTAGTCGGAGACCACGAGACTAAATTTTGCCGCATTCATGCCCGAGATGATCGGAATTGTGCCTTCCCCATGTGAAATGTTTTTCCGTTGTAGGTGTTGGAGATATCCAGAGGGTTTCAATAATAAGAATGGTCCTCGATAGTTCACCTTTCAACCGTGGGGCGTGAGAATAAAGGGCTGTAGGGAAGCTGGTTGGAGGTATTTTCGAGCCCTGTGAGGGAATACTCCAGATTTTGCCGAGCAGCTTGCACAGACTTGGAGGTCTGAGGTAGTTCCGCAAGGCACTTGAGGAGAGTCCCATTCAGGTATTTGTACGCCTCCCATTTGATCTGGCCCTGTCGGTACTGTCTGCTGACGACTTTCCCCATAAGCTGGGCTGCTGCAACGACATGATGTGGATATGGGTCGAGAGCGACAAATGATGCAGTGGCCTTCTGATCCGAGTTGGAGTTTTGCGCTCCCATGGTCGAACCTCCTTGGTGAGATCCAAAAACTGTATATTTGCTCTCCAGGCCAAATTTCAACGCACTGAAAACCTGATGTTCGGCCTCGAGTTTTATGTCTGTCAGTTGCGAGAGCAGATCATCGCGCTCCGCAACCTCAAGTGCGTCGACAAGAATCAAAATGCCCATGTAATAATGCAGCATAAGTTCGTACCAATTCAGCTTCTCCACCTGGCCGAGGAACGGGAGTCGTCGTTCACAATCGTTCAAAAGTGGTCGAAAGGTGACTCGAAATATCTCGATGGCTTCAGTAAATGATGTCCAGGCTCGAAGCACCTTCTCATCTTCGGAACCTTCCCGGAGTGCTTCCTTCAAGACAGAAATCATCTTCCACACATACAGCTTTGTCGCAGCCGCCGCAGCTATGGCTTGTAGGACTTCATCCTCTGTCATTGAGAAGGGGTTCCTTCGCCAATCTTCGGTTCTTGTGTGGAAGGATCCGGCACCCATTCTGAGCGTCCGCCAACAGGATTCGGTGTCTGCGCCATGCAGTCCCGACGTCAGTGTCGATCTCAGATTCAGTGTGAGCGAGGAAGATGTGTCGAACGTCAACGCTGCCCAGTAAGCCCGGGCTTCAGTCCGCAAAAAGCTGTCCGAGAGTCTTGAACTTGCCGCAGGGCTTGTCAATGGGTCGGACGCTTGCGCCACCATGGATCCACTAAACTGGCAATTGCGCTGCCCCTCACGAAGTCGTTGGATCTGTTGCAACGCGGCTTGGACACAAAGTTGACCTGATAAGCCGTCCATCTCCTCGTCTTCCGATATTCCCACTGGGACCGGTGTCAAGGAGAAGAGAAATAGTGTCAGAGCAGAACGATACGACACACGGTTGACCACCTTCAGCATATCCCTGCGTGACCTGCGCCAGAACTCTCTCACAATGTGTTCAGGCAGAATACCTGCTCGTTCAGCCGGTGGAATAAGATGGAACCACCGTGCCGCGAATGACCGTTTGGCATGCCTCAGGGATTGGTCAATCTGGTCCCACCTCAGTTGTGTGTGACGAGGTGACTGGGCATTACAGAGCTGATTCCGTGTTCCCCAGTCACCGAAGATAGACTCGTCCAGTTCGGAAAAGTACCCACTGGGAGGGGAGATAATACTAGAGTTGGGGTCGGCACTGACAAAAGTTAGCTTGATGCAGTGGTTGAAAATTCCGTCGGTCCATACACCAAAGCGCATGCGTGTCTCCCCATCCAAAAGCCAAAGACATTGTCGAAGCAGCTTTCATAGATTCGCTCAAGCCAGTCACCAACCGATGATGTTGTGCATTCAAAAGGTGGAGTCAGCGGAATATACGAAGCGGGAGCGGCAACTATGCTGGGTGACTCGGTCGAGAGACTTCTGGGGCATTAATCAGTGGTAATGTTGCTTCAAGTCTGGGATGCACGCACCGAACATGATCCGGAGCACCTTGGAAGGCAGATTCGGAATGGGCTACCCACGCATCATTTTCCGCGTCACGCTGTCGAGCTTCTGGGGACAGTGACGATTGCTCCGAGGATACTGTCTTCAAGGGAGGAGTTCGAGCCTTCCGCGGACCTCGACCACCGGCCTTTTTGGCATTATTCATCCACTGAGAAACCGCAGGTAAGCTTTTCTTCTCTTCTCCCGTTTTCGTCTCTCCTCGTATAGCATAGCTGGGACAAGCCAGAAAGGCACAGCTAATCGCAACCTACCTCAAAAGTGCATGGTCGTTTCCGACGTCTGCATCTCGAGCAAGAACCCGACCACCCCGGCTTCCCAGGCCCAGAGCCAATGCGAGCGGCATCACAGGCCAGTCGAGAATGGCGACAAGCATCGCAGCTGGAGAACTGTGTCCTCCGAGGGATGGGATCGACGGTAGTCTGCATCCTGAAGAAGAGGAAGGGCAGGTCAGAGATCGCTTCGCATGCCGGCGCGATGCGTTCTCACGTTGCGAACTGGGCCAGATTAATGGAGAAAGAGAAGGTCCACCGGGATGGAGAGCGAAAAAAAGTTCCCGTAAGTCAGCAACGCGCGGAGCAAGTTGAGTCCAACCCCAGAGGCGTTAGCTAGACTAGACCCTGCAGCCGCTACAGCAGCTCGCCAATGTCGGGGGTCGCGCTGAATCTTCGGGGGGAGTTGGGTGAGGCCACGAGGGCGGCAGCGGGGTGAATTCGGAATGCCGTCGTCGTCGACTCTCTTTCACTGCCTGTTCAGCCTGAAGAGGTGCGGACCAAAGGGAAGTGATGGGAGACCTGAGTGATATGTCAGCTTGGCCCTGTACCGCGTACTGTGTTATAGGCGGCGTATGAGAGGCGCAGCGATGAAGTCATCGCTCATCTCATCAGCTGCGATTTTCTCAATGCGCGCGCAGGTGCGTTTGGTCTGCCGTAGTTGCGCTTTATCATCTAATGATCTGCTGTATCATCCTCTTCTCCTTGGGAGAGAAGACCGTGTGAAAGGGAAGACTCAAGACTGGTGCAATATTCTGCCTTATCTACTGGGGATATTGTATTCTGTTGCCACGGCATTAGCCTCTCCCTGGCTAGTATTAAGCAATCGGCGCGTCAGGTCCCACCAGCTTCCCACGACACTCGCCAAACCCAAGCACTCGCCGCCCAGTCGAGTCTTCACACCACGCCGACAGGATGATAGAATCGCCGTCTTCGAGATACCCTAATTTTCCACCTCCCTCCAGGGCGATGGGCTGACTGGCGTGCTGTGTCGCCTCAAAGAGACACCCGAGCTCGAACTTCTTGCCCGTCTTCTCGTCTTTGGCGTCGCCCGAGACGGTACCCGTGCCCATCAAGTCCCCCGTGCGTAGTCCGCAGTTTGCAGACGCGTGGTGGGTGATCTGCTGGTAAGGGGTCCAGTACAGGTAGCGCAGATTGCTGGTGCAGATCTGTTGTCGCTTGCCGTCTCGCTCGAGGGAAGCCGCGAGTTTGATGTTGAAAGTGCCGTGCTCGAAGTCCTTGAAGCGCAGGTGCTCCAGCGGTCGAATCTCGTGCTTCGGCGCACACTGGAACGCTTTCAGCGCGTCAAGGGTGATGACCCACGGAGAGATGGTGGTGCCGAAGGACTTCGAATTGAACGGCCCCAAGGGCGGCATCTCAAAGATCTGGATGTCCCGACTGGACCAGTCGTTCAGCAACACAAACCCAAAGATGTGGTCTTGCGCATCGTCCACTTTGATTGTCTCGCCATAGGGGACCGGTTTGGACACGATGTAGCCCATCTCAAGCTCGAAATCGATGAATTGGGACAACCCGTATGTGGGTTCCTTTGTCCCCGCTTTCCAATACACGCCTCTCGGTCGACGGACCAGAGATGGTGATGGAATGACACTGGATGCGCGGCCGTTGTATGCCGAGGGCGCATGATAGAAGTTCTCTGGAACTTTGCTGTTGGTTATAGGCATGCACTTGGGGGGCATTCAGCAAAACGCTTTTGAGACAGACGGAAATGCAGTGGACTCACGTTCGTGCAATGCTCAAGCGAGCAGAAGAAGTCGGTGTACTCCGGAATGGCCACCGGCAGATGCATCTTCACCTCCGCCAGCTTGTGCAGGCAGGATTCTGAGATCTTGCCATTTTTGCAGCCAGAGATGATGTGCTCGCGCGCGGCAGTCCTAGTCTTCGCCGGGAGAGCTGCAAATGCGTTCAACGCTGCCTATCAACCAATCAGAGCCGGCCATACCTCCCTCCGAGGCGGCCTCGTCTGTGCTGCGGATGGGAATGATATGTCCATACCTGGCCAAGGGCATCGGTCACCGAAGCGTCTTGGAAGAAGCCGGATTTACTGAGTGCGCGAAGATCCAGAGCAAAGTCGCCAATCGCAGTTGCACACCGCGGAGTCGGATCCTCCTTTGTCGAGAACACTCCGAAGGGGATGTTGTCCAAGGTAAAGGGCGAGTCGGGCGAGATGTTGGACAGCGAGCCCATGTTTCTTTATGTGTCTGGGGTTCGAGCGTTATTAGTGCAACCCAGGATGATGTCCCAGACCTCGTTTTCCCGAGGGGAATGAAAGGTCTTCTTATACCTTTGATGGATTGGCCGCATGCCCTTACTCCCCTTCCAACCCTCCATCCATCCACCGCATGGCTCAGGCCCTCCACACCGACATTCGCGGGCCCCGGCCTTTATGAATGGCCACTCCAGTCCACCGGGCAAGTATGTAAGCCGCATGCCAAAGTGTGGAGCAGCCAATCAGGCGCAGTTGAGAGTCGGTTCCGATTTCACCACCTGTCGTACGACTTCCGAGCGTTGCAGGACAGGAGCTTCGCTACCGATGGTCAAGAACGGAGCCTTGTTTTTTCTTGCACCTTGCTGTCTGCCCCGCGAGAGTTTCTTTTTGAGTCGAGGCCGCGGAAGCTCTGGGTCATGGTGGCACGGGACATGCGAGCGATGTGAATCTGCTCGACGGACTTTGCGCGGATAAGGTGGTGCAAAAGTCCCACCGAAGCAAACCAGCACGGCATGAGGTTGTGGTCAAGGGGGCATGAGATGGGAGTACGTGCATGAGAGCCCTAGATGGTACACACTCTCACAGCCACACGCAGGCTCTGGGACAATGGTTAGTTGCTCCCGTACTTCACCACGACGAACGAACGCAGAGCGTCTTGAGTCCTTCAGGGGATCCGATGAGGTACAAACACTTCCCACTACCGGTGTCTCTCCTTGTTTGGCACAGCAGCCGGCTTGCGCGATGAGAATTCAGCCACTTGCTGTCAAACCACACCGTGCAAGCACAGATCATTTCGAGGTCAAATACGTCGTTATTGGGATGTATCATCAGTCTCGAACTATGTGAACCCATAAAAAAAAAAACCTGGTACGCCTTCATGTTTCTCACGTTGAAATTTGCTGTAGATGAACTTGCCAATTCCATTGCGCTCGAAGGACCGCCAATCCTCCACTCTGCGTCTCGACTGTTCGTCCCCTTCCGCGATCGTTTCTGTCCGTCGTGTTCATGAACTGAGCTGGCCGCCGGTTCTCTCGACCAGGGTTGAGGTAGTCATCTGCCCCGGGCGGAAGAACTGTACTCTCCTGGATCTCCGCCATCGTGTCTTCATCGGGTTCCTCGAAAGTCCACCACATGCCAAAGTGCCCGTCGGCATCTCGCGTCGCGGAGGCGGCGTTGGCATTGTGGGAAATCCACTTGTCATAAGCGGCGCAGCGGTTGAGGTGGTATCGATAGACTGCTCTGTCGAAACCCGCGCTTTTATCTGTTGCTATGAACGCCTCTTCTTGTGGCCACAGCGGCCGACAAAATTCGATCAGGTGGTGGAAAAAGATGCCTTTGAACGTCTGGCCGTCTTGACTGCAATACCCGCTGTGGTCGCAGAATTCCTCGAGAATCCCTGCACGGCCCAATCCGCTCCAGGCTGGATGTGAGTTTGGCCATCCAGTCGCCCGCACTACACTCTCGACTAGAGCATGACCATCGTCCAAGTAGCTTCTGGCTCCAGTGGCTAACCACAAACCGCGGCTCGCGGATAAGACCACACCTTGGTTGTAGGTATACACCATAGGGTTGAGGTCGTCGCAGTGTCCAGTGCCTGGATCGACGGTCCCGTTGGGATATCGGCGCCAGCCAGTGACGTGGAACCCGTCTTGATACAGACCAGACCTGGGATTGCGCATTTGGCTATCCATCAGCCATTTGTAACTCTTAATGGCGTTTTCCAAATACAAGGGATCGTGAGGTTTGGAGAGGCCATCCCCGCCTGATACCAGATATGGCGAAGTGTTGTTGTCACCCGGGTGGTAGAGGTACATGGCAATGCTAGCCGCAGCAAACAGTTCATTCGTGATGGCGTTCTTGTAGGGAGTTAGATATGGATTCCAATTCATCCCGCCTCCACAAAGGGATTCACCCCATCCCACAGACGCCAAGTCGTAGAAAATCCGAGCGCGGTGAGCGGCCATCGGGCTGATTTGAAGGCCATGCCACCCGGTCCCCGAATCGCCGCGTCGTCCAGACTGGAGGAAGTCCCAGTGCTTCAAAGTATACATTTCTGCAAATTTCAGGTTCTCGAGCCAGCCAAGAACAACCCAAAGCATATCATCATAAGCTTGATTTCGTAAAGCGAATGCATTCTCGCCAAAGTAGAAGACAGTCGTGTGCGCGTAATACCGATCCACGATATTCTGCCAGGAGAGCATGTCAGAGCAGGTGGCCATGGAAGACGCATCCAGCGAGGTGACAATGCTGGCGAGGGTGGCCGACACATGTGTCCCCATAACAGCAGAGGTCCAGTCAATCGCATCTGGCCATGTCCCTGTGAAAATGTCGAAGTAGGAGTCTTGCATAACATCCAGGGCATTCAACATGTCATGAAGAACTCCTGGCACGTTGTGTTTCCATAATGTCGTCTCATCCCCTCCTCTTGTCTCCGGTGTCAGCTCGTTCTGGCTGGAGAGACCGGCAGAGTATCTAACATATCCTCCATGCCCGACTCTTTCGATGGCCCCGCCGTTCGCAAGCCAGGTGGTTTGGAGGAGCAGGTGTAGCAAGACTATGACGCGCATTTTGGGATCGTAAGTGTGAAAAGCATGATCGCCTATGGAGACCTGGTCAACCGGACGGGAAAGGGATAAAGATAAACGAGACGCTGAAAGCCAGAGAGAACGGGCATCTCAATCAATTCGACGAGGCAGAGGCACGAGAACAGGGCCTTGTGATCATGGTCGCCGGGAGGGTGCGAAGAATGAGGAGGACGGTGTCTTTCAGCGTGACCAACAGAATCTGCACTTGGGGTTTGGAGCGATGCCAGCCGGTCAGCAATAGGGCATTGTGGAGGCCAAGATTGGTAGCCCCTCGGCCCTGTAAGCGCGGGATCAGGGTTGGTGAGAAGAGATCGAATCGAGTTTGTTCCAGGCCCTGCAGGAACTGAGGGTTGCATGCAGCTGGGCGAAGTTTGAGAAGCACGTCATCCCTGTCACCACCGCCGCGTCTTGTATGTAGCGGTCAAGGAGTGAGGGGGGGCCAACTTCTGCACCTCGAACCCCTCCTGTGTGCTCCGTAACGCTGTCAATGGCCACCGACCTGGCTCAAAGACTCAATCTCTCGTCGATCATCCCAAACAGACTGCAGACAAGACCACACAAGTACAACCCAATTGATTCTCTGTCTATCGAGTTTACCTAAGGACCAGACAGTCTCTCTAGTCTCTCTTCTTTCTGTCGCGCCGGTACCATCTAAGACCCTCCCAGCCACTGCCTTGGTCTAAAGCAGATCGCACGACGCCTCACCTTCGCCGGTTGGAGGGAGCATTCCTCCTTTGCCTCCAGACTTGACCGCCCTATAAAGCCTACCTCAGTCGTACTTAGCGGGAGAAATTGTCCAACGGCGCCTCATGTTTGATCTCCTCCCAAACCTTGTCAATGCCCTCACAAGCCTTGCTGCTCAGGGGTCCTTTTTCAATCCCTGTCAATGTCTGATCAAGCTGCTCTACCGTGCTTGCACCCACAATGATGGCATCCCCATGTTCTGGCTTCAACGGGCAGTTGTAGGTGACCCATCGGTAGGCGAGCTCAGCCCGTGAGCAGCCTTCGTCATTGGCGATCTGTTCCCATTTGGAAAGAGCCTCGAGGTAGGATGGCTTCATGTACATCTGGCGGTACATACCACCAAGGGCCTCTGGGCCGAAGCGGCCCGCGCCATCCTTGATCTGCTGGGCGGTCTTGGTGAGAAATCCTCCAGCAAGCGGCGAGTAGGCGTAGAACGCGATGCCTAGTTTTCTCAGCGTGGGAAAGAGCTCGGTCTCCTGCCGGCGCGCCACAGGAGAGTAGTTGCCCTGGTAGACGGTGGGGACGACATAGTTATTGGCTTTGCAGATGTCGTAGACTTTTTGGACGTCGGCAGGAGAGTAGTTGGATAGGCCGAAGCGCTTGAACACACCGGTCTTGTAAACCTCGTTGACGCCTGCCAGGGTTTCCTCGAGGGGCGTGGCGGCGTCGGGGCAGTGGATGTAGAAGATGTCGACCTGTGGGGAGAGTCAGTCCAGGCTGTCGAGACGAAAATATTGATGAACAAGGCGCTTCCCGCTTTGTGCAACAGACGAGCGATCCGGTCATCAAGAGAGGGTAGTGCTAACTCACCTGCTTGACACCCAGCTTCTCCATGCTCTGCTTGGCCGAGTTGATAATGTTTTCTTTGGTCGCCCAACCCGGCTGCCATCCGCCCATCCACTTCGTGTCAATAATGAACTTCTCTCCAGCTTTGACCTCGCCAAGACGCTTCTCGGATTCGCCATATAGCTGGGCCGTGTCAAGAACCTTGCAGCCGTGAGCCTCGAGAGTAGAGAAGGACTTGTTGAGGTAGTCTTCAGCAATCCACGGGTCACGGTTGCCAAATGAGGCGGTGCCGAAGACGACCTTGATGCCTTGAGATGCCATGTTTGGTGATGACTGAGAAGAAGTATTTTCTTTTTGGGGCCGATCCGAAGAGCAATGTCCGTTGGCGGAGTTCCCCTCAAATATGTACTCTCTTCGATGTTGCCAGTGCTAGTGTGTGGGGAAGAGTAGAAACTCACAGAACCCAGAGATAAGAATCAGGCTGAATTCGCAAGGGGGAGTCGTGACGTCAACGGGGTAACGAGTGTAGACGTCTCTAGTATAGTAGAGGTTGAGGCCTGTCGACGTGTCCGTAGCTTGCTTTGTATAGATCTTGGTCGACACCAAATCTTATAGTTGGTCCTGGGGATTTATGCACTGACGCTTGTGCCATGGTAGGTTGGGCCCTTTGAAATGCCGTGGTCCTCGATTTGTCATCAGGCAACCTGATAGCACGCGTTCAGTGGGCACAGCTGGTGCTACTGGTGGTGCTGGATGAAGGTCTGTGGGTATACCACCCCGCTGCCCGCGATCTCGAGAGGCAGATTAATCATTTTCGGTAGTTGTGGATTTGGCGGCGGACTTACTCGAGGAGTTCGGCCGACAGCGGGCTCGTATTTCCTTAGCCCCCAACGTTTCATGCAATGGAACGGCCCTCGAGGCGTGTTGGTGGTGTTGGCGGCGCCTGGACACGGACAAATGTATTCGCCCGGCCACGATGCGGGCGTTTAGCAGGCGAGTCAAATGCCCGTCATGGTAGAGGCCCAACACAGATGGTTGTACTTGTGATTGGCCTCGTATAATTTCCCATTCCGATGTTTCCATTCCGTAATGATCGTCCAGTGAGTCGAGAAAGCCTCGAGCCATCGCTGGGCTTTGTCTATCTGGTACCAGAACTTTATATCGATTGCAACTTGCTTACTGACGCGATACCATAAGCACGTCGGCTCCTGAGAGAGCCTGTTCTCGTTCAGTCTCCGTGGAGAACAGCTTGTACCAGTCGCCATCGCCTCACGTCCCTGCCTCGTCCGAGGGAGACCAGAAATGAGACGTGCTCGCCGGTCATCTGCGTTCCACCGTGAACCGAAGCATTGAAATCAACCATGGATCATCTGCCGATAGGGCGTCGTGTTGTGAACAAGACTTCGAGTTTCCAGGTAGATAGACGGGCGGATACGGAAGTCTGGAGCAAGTTCTGAGACACATCAACCAAACTAGTAGACGACCAGTCGAGGAATTGAATTCGATGTTGTAATTAATGCCTTTTCGAAGCAGAACCCTTGACGGTACTGACCACGGAAATATCTCCCCTCCGTATCTTGCGCTCGCGGGACGTCCAAATTTCAAAACGCACAATGCCGACACCCGACTCCCAGAGCAACTCACGCGATGCTGAAGTGCAAACTGCCTACCCTGCTCATCGGCTACCGACAAGCCAGAAGCAGGTGGGAATTTCAAAACGTGGAAGGAAATTCGTGGCAGGCGTTGAAGCGTGAAAATGGTTGCAAAGCAGTTTAGATAGATGGGCCATAATACCTCACCCATAAATGGACGGTACTGCCTCGTGTCAGCACGTCAGTGCCTCAACCTGTCCCCTCGTATTTGAGAAGGGTCGGCGGGCCTAATTGGCAGGGGTTTAGGACTCAAGCTTGATGGATTTCCCTGCCGATCTGGTGGAGGTCGAGAGACACCAAAGTGGTTGAGTGGGTCTCGAGCCTGAGGCTCAAGATATGTGCTAGTGGCTCCAGGTTCTCCCAGCCACGACCCAGAAAGTGTCCGTAATGATCTGTTACTGTTTGGCAGTTGTATCTCTTTTGCGCCATCACCCATAACATCACCCACAAGAGACCCTGGCGATGACGTGCTGCGTTGATGGAATGTGTCTCGAATGAAGGTCTCGAAGCTGGGTAGCGTACAGGCTGCCGGTGACTTCGCGGACGAGAGGCTCGCATCTTGTTGGGCGTTATTGGAGCCGCTGTGCGTTGCAAATTCGCTTGCAGACGGTACCGTTGGTGGAGCTGACCCGTCACTATTGTCAGAGATATTGTCATCGTCAAATTCCTCGGCGCGGTGGCCTTTCCGACCAACTGTCATGTGGTGCCAATGGACACGGCATGCCAGTTCAGTCTTGTCCAAGCGGTTGGCGATATGCTTGTAGGGTAGTTTCTGGCCCTGTGTCCGACTCCGGAATAAAAAGGATTCCTGTTAGCCGTCAGTGTCGGACGCAAGACACGACGCCATCAAGCGGACCTCTTCGTCTGTCCAGCTACGTATCAGTTTGCCTTGACGAATTTTGTCTCTCCGTAACGGATTGCGTGGCTTCTGCATCCGTGGAGACCGCGAGGCTGATCGATTTCCGGGAAGAGGGAGAACAGGGGGCGCCATTGAAAAGATTGAACGGTGATTCTGTTGACAGAGGCAGCTACAAGATGCCCTGTGACAAATGAGTCTTGCAGGTAGATGTATCGAAGCACTGGAGCCAGACTGCGGACCTTTCCTTTCTAGTGAGGAGTCGAGGCTGAAAAGAGTGCACGGTTGAGACTCGAAATCTCTGGCATTAGGGTCCTCTTGTTCGATCGAGTGTTATATGGTCTTGGTAACGAGCAGAATATTGACCCCAGTCTGCCTTCCCCAAAATGCGAAGGCAGACTTGATGTTGGCTTTGCAGTTATGCGACCAGATACAGGCCCTGTGAGAGTGGATTTATTGGGTTTGTCAAAGGTCAGTGTTGGGTGTTTCGATCACTCTGAGCGGAGGAATAGCCGCTGGTACCGCAGCAAGTGGGCTTGCACATGAGGTTTAGGGCAGCCGGACCCTGTTAGGCATGCAGATAGAGAGGGCCGCGAATGTATGCGGGATAGGCAATGGGGTTCATGCAGCCGAATAGCTGTGCCGATGGTAGAGTAGTCTTCGGACAGACTCCCGCCTGCCGTAGCCATACCCGCGGCGGACGGGGAATACCACTTCCCCAGTCAGCACCATGATTGAAAAGAGAAAATGTCTCCCAATGCGAAAGAGCACGAGGATATGCAGGCGGGGCCTGCGTGTCAACCAGTCTTCCAGCGATCTCGATCACACGATCCATGTTGCTCTGGAATAGGGCAATCCGCCGAGTGCAAGTCACCTACCCATCCGCCCATATGGTCGCCCATGCACATGTGAAATGCTTCGACATAATGGAGGGTAGAGGATCGATCCAACCCAACGCCAATACTCCATTGTGTGCTGAGAGTCTGCCTTAGGGTAGGTGTTGGCGAATGAAAGGAGGCTGTGTGTGGTCCAACAAGCGCCAGAGTATCTGGGCGGTTAACTCTCACCTGCAAAGCCACATGGAGGGGGCCAAAACGACAGGGAAGAAAGGCAGAAGCTGGGGACTCGAACAAGCTCAAGTAATGGTGCCGGTGACTATTGAAGGTCGCCCGTATCGAGCAGCCGGTCTTGCAGGGGAGAATATATCAGAATGGAGCGAAGATCCGCAATGTCCTTCCAAGACAGGGATTGCCGCACGCCGTTGATTGCTTGCCTGTTGATTGCATTTTCTTGCCCCGGGGAGCCCCTCGTGCCATGGTTCCCTATCGCGATTGAGCTTGGCTGGCAAGGGTGTTCCCGTTCACGTTCTTTCGCATTCCATTGAGTGGCTTCAAGTCTGGATGCGGGATATTTGGCGCTTTCGGAGATCTAGTTCCAATGAGAATACGAGGCCGGTATTCTCGCTACCGCCCGAGGTCGTTTTGTTTCCTTCTTTTTCTTCTTAGCGGGAACGCGCAGCAAGTCACAACTTTCACCATAGCTAGAAAGATTGCTGTTGAAATTGCACTGATTCAGGATGTTGTCGTGACTAGCATAATCGAGATACGCTCAAGTTTCGGTGGGGACGCGTGCACAGGTCGCTTAACGGGCGACAACAGCAAAGACTCGAAACCCCAGCCACCAAAACAAGCCTAATTGACTAGAGGAGACGACACCCGGCTCCCCGGAAGGATCGTGAATCTGGCCGCAAAGGGGAACGCCGTGGGGGCCGGCGAGATCACTAGTTAAGAGTGCCATTCGATGCATGTGCTCGGTACAGGCGCAGCCAGGTGGTCGACAAAGCGGTCGTCCCCAACACTCGAGCAACCCTAGCCGTCTGCGACCGAACCAATATCACACTTTGGCTGCCAAAGGTTCTTAACGGAAAACTCCAGATGGGATATGATTGCCGAGATCTCGTTGATAGGACTTGAGAGAGCTGTAGGATTTGTAGAAGAAAGGTAGCTTTTGCTTATTGACGCCCTGCTTCGTGAATGAGGCATGTCCTAGAAGCCATTAGTTTGCAAGATTGGGGACGGATTAGGAGGTTACAGTGCCCTTCTAGTGCTCTGAACTCGGCACCCCTCGTGCAGACACGACGATAGCGAGTCAGAAGACATCGACAGGCAGTCCAGCTACTGTTGCGGGTGTTTAGACATGGCGGGCAAGCGTTGCGGAGAAAGTACGGAGTACGGAGGAGAAGCGAGGCAGCTCGATGGTGCGGAAGAAGAGCCGTAAAAGCAGCAACCCGCAGCACCCATTTGGCGTCTGGCGGCACAGGTGTCAGGCCAAGACATTCAGCCTCAGCGTTGTTCCTCTCCCGTCCAGCCGCGTTTCAACACCCGCAGGCAACGCAGTTAGCAACGTCTCACTTAATACAACTCAGAACTGATCCAATTTCGGGGAAGCGATATTTGGTTGTTAGTTTAGTCCTGTCACTCTCGATTGACAGGGTAGCTGTGTTGAACTCGCTTTCTTTTCACTCAGTTTTCCTTCCAGAGCCCAGTCGAATCGACGGCTGGCTGCTCGGGTCTGGCCATGTCGATTCGCCAACCATGAACATGAATATCTTCCGCATCTTGGGCGATGTCTCCCATACCGCCTCGAAATGTATACTCATCTGGGCTATTCATTCCAATAAGAGCGCTGAAGGTTAGCCATCAGACAGTCTGCCTGTCCTCCAAACTGGCCACACTAACGAACCAACAGGCGTCTCCCTCCTGACCCAGATCCTCTATATCGTTGTCTTCGTTAGCCGCTATCTAGACCTCTTCTGGGTCCCTCCCTCGGCATCATGGTGGAATTTCATCCTCAAGAACTTCTATATCTGGTCTTCGATCTACATCATCATCTTGATGACAAGAGTTTTTGCGCGGACCCGCGAGCGAGAAAAGGCCTGGAAATGGGGTGCCTATGCCACTGCGGCATCGATGCTTGCGGCTCCTCTGGTCTGCTTGACCTTTAACGGCCCGCGTCGAACCACTTTCACCGAAGTCCTGTGGACATTCTCCATCATCCTCGAATCTGTCTGTGTTCTTCCACAGCTCCTCCTCCTGCGACAGACCACCGTCCCCACCGTCATTGACTCTTTCTACCTCGTCACTCTAGGCTCCTACCGAGCATTCTACATTCTCAATTGGATCTATCGAGCCTTCACTCCGTCGAAACCAGATGCCATTTCGGTCATTTTTGGCATCGTGCAAACCGCATTCTACATCGACTTCGCATGGGTCTACTGGACGAGGCAAAGAGTCAAGCTCAGGGGAGGTGGCATTGTCGATGCAGAGGACCTGCGGAAAGGCTGGCTAGTGAACAGGGTCATCAACCCTGCGCGACAACCGCCAGAACAGGACCCAGAGGGCGGTGATGACGAGAGCAACGGGCAGCCGCAGCAACCGAAGGTCAACCGCTGGGGCCCGCGAGGGATATCGATCTCGGCGGACGACACGTTGCAAGACCATGACAAAGGCAAAAGAGCAGCCAAATCCTCGACCCCGGAAGCCAATCCGATGTTGGAAGATGATACTTTTGAGTCGGACGAGGAGGAGGACGTGCCTAGGCTAGATGAGCCTGGAAACAAGGTGTTGAACAGCGGCGAGGACTGGCGTGAGAACTCGTCATCACGGCAGTGAAACATTCCCTTGTATAACATGTAGCCCTTTCTTTTCTCTCGCCATGTGTTAGCGGTCTTGTGGGGTGTTCATTTTATCTGAAGCCGCTGGGTGTGGGCTCAATGTTGAAGTACAAAGGCGTTCTACGAATGTGGTGAGTCTAGCGCTGGACTGGATCTGCTTTGACGATGAAGGTGCTAGGCAACGACCAGGAAAGTAGTCGTAGACACGAATAGACGTGTCTGACTCTGAAGGACACAACGAGATCTTGCGGTAGTCGGTCACTGTCGCTTGCGGGTGGCTTGAATCTATATTCAAGGCAATACTTTGACAAATGACCACCAAGAAAAATAGCTTGTCAGACGCAAACACATCGTAAGAGTAATCAACCGTTCAGCCCTTTTACTTCGTACACCTCTTCCCACCTACCATTGTAAATATCCCAATCTTAATCATCTCGCCTTATCAACCCTTTCCAATCTACCAATGCCACTTTTGTGCGGCCGTAGCATTCGTGTCCAACAAGTCATTCTTCGCACCGTCGCGCCGTTCAAGACGGACAAACGGACAATGGCCTCCCAGATCCCCGCCAAATTCGACATCAAGACCGCGTACCGGATGAACTCAGGCTACGAGATTCCTGCTCTGGGCTACGGTGTATACCAAACTCCTGCCGCGACGTGTGAAGAGGTGACACTTGATGCCTTTCGTGTTGGTTATCGACATGTTGATTCTGCGCGCGCATATCGCAATGAACAGCCGTGCGCTGACGCCATCCGCAATTCTGGTTTGAAGCGGGAGGAGATCTTCTTCACCAGCAAAGTCCCCCCGAAAAGCATGGGCTACGAGGCGGCCAAGAAGTCTATCGAATCATCCTTCTTCCAGACCGGCCTCGACTATATTGATCTCTACCTCATCCACTCCCCATATGGAGGCAAAGAAGCCCGCTGCGGGGCGTGGAAAGCGCTTGCCGAAGCTCAAAAAGCGGGTAAAATTCGATCAATCGGCATATCCAACTATGGTGTACATCATCTCGATGAACTGGAAGAGTACATCAAGACCTCTGGTGTCGGTGGCACCATCGACGTCGGTCAATGGGAAATCCACCCATGGCTTCCGCGCGATGATATTGTGGAATGGGCTCGCAAGCGGAACGTCGTCGTTGAGGCATATTGCCCCATTGTTCGCGGCCAGCGTGCGAATGAACCGGTTCTGAAACAACTCAGCGAGAAACATGGAAAGACATGGGCTCAGATACTGCTCAGGTGGAGCTTGCAAAAGGGGTTTGTACCACTGCCGAAGAGTGTCACTCCTTCCAGAATTGAGGAGAATGCAGCCATCTACGACTTCGAGCTCGATGAAGACGATATGAAAAGTCTCCATTTCCCCAGTTCCTACGCCCCATGCAGCTGGGATCCAACCACAAGTCACGATTAGATGATGGAATTGCTCAATCTCAAACTTTGTTCTCTTGTGCATGTCGATGTAAGACTTGGTGCCCGGTGCTCTAAAGGGAGATGCATTTACCTGCAAGTCAGTCGTTCATCTGGAGCGAGCCTAATGAAATACAGCTCTGCACAACTCAGCACCTAGGATGAAGTCTCTCCAATACAATCGGCTGGTCAAGTTGGATTTCCACACAAACTCCCTATTGAAAGCAAGGCGAATTCTTTCATCTTTTGACGCTGCGGCAAGCAACTAGAATCACAACAAGCTCTGATCAACAATGCCGAACTATTTGTCTCTCTGTTAGCCCGACCAACGCTTGCGATGGAAACCCTGAAATGATCTATCTCCAAGGACATCCCTCCTCAGGGGAAAGCTCTAGGACAACTCCGAATTCGTCGAAACCAGAATATAGGATTCTACGCCAAAAACGGCGACGTATACAACACCGGCAAGTGACTCCATCTCCAATGCCAAAGCTCCTCGCGATCCCATAAATCAGAATAAGACTGTACACTCGACGAAATGGGCACCATTTCTTGTTCCTCGTCATGCTTCTCACGAAGACGTGTTTGGAATCGTCGTCAGCGCTTGTGCGGCGCCACTCGTGTTTTGGTTGGTAAAGACTACGAGTACCGCGCAATATCTGCAAGGGATCAGTTTGCTGGATGCTGTATCAATAACTGCACTTACGCCGCAGTGACGCCAAATATCTCGTGTTGCTTTGCAGCCGTTGCTGTGGAACAAAGCAAAGCGAAAGCTATCGTGAACGCAAATGCCAACAAGTTTTGTGTATAACCATCGAGGTGTCGCAACCTGTAGAGGACCAACACCGGTCCCATTATCAAGGCTACAATGGCGATTGTGTACAGGAATCCGACCACGCGGTTGAATCGCTTTCTCTCGTATAGCTGGACATGTATCGTCGAACCTTCGAGTTTCCGGTCCTGGATTTTGTTGCGCAGCAAGCACTGTGCTAGGTCAGCCTGGCTTTCGGTACAACAGCCGAGAAGGTGTCTCTCACTCGGACCAAGGACCTGCTGGCCCATGTGAAGATGTGGCTGACAAGGCCGTGGACCCAGGAAGAGCTCGGTTCTCCGCCGAGCACGATCAAGTCGTCAACCTTCCTGATCCATCTCCTGTCCCTTTGGGCGAGGCTCCCGTCATTGTGAATCAAATTGGCGATACTGGCGCGGTCCTGTTCGTCAGGCCTCTGCCACTGATACAAGGCAGCGGAGCGCGCCAAAAGATCATCTACTGCCGAATCAGTCGTCGGTTCAATGCGTTAGTCTTGTGAGGAATGAGATCCTACCATAAGCCTTCAATCGCGAGTCGAGCTCCTGAAACAAGGCCTTGCGGACAGCTGGGGTTCGCATGTCGTCGCCATCCCGGTTCGACAGGTAGCGTCGTGTGCCTGCCGATGCGGCGTCCTGCATGTCCTGGTAGTCCAGCCTGGACTCCATCTCTCGAATGACGTCCTGTTGGTACAGAAGGAGTCGAGTCCGGAGCCAGCCAAAACGCCGGTAGATCATAAAGTTTGGGTCGCTGTCAACGAAGGTCGCGATCCTTGGCCATCCGGCCACGGCACACTCGACTGTGACAGTTCAGAGATGTTCTCATGGCTTATTGGCGGCACTTACGAGCGCGGACATCGGTATTTTCCTCCTCCTGAACCTTTCGCCCTTGCTGTTTGATGGAACATCCTATACCGAGACGGTGCAGCCAGCCTCGTTCTATTACTTCAGTCAACCCCTCATCTGTACAGGTGTCGGATGCGCTTACTATTGGAGTCCTCCTGACACTCGTCGGCGGTATGATACCCTTTCTCGACATCGTCGACTGGCATATCGGGGTCTCCGGCGAAGTCGGCTGTTACGAGTCAATGGTTGCAATTCACCGTTCTTCGGGAAGATAAACACGAAGACAACAATAGCCTGGCGAAGGAAGCCATGTCTATCGTGCTTCATACAGGCTGCAGTGGTCCATTGTTACACGCAGTAGTCGCACGAGGCCAACTCTCGACCTCGAGGCTGTGGACATGTTCTTGTTACACGAGGCGTGCACGCTGACAACCTCCGGCAAGCACTGGTACACAGCACCGCCCCCCCGTCAGGCTGCACGTTTCTCGCCAAATTCATCGAATCAGCTGATAGTACAGTATGCGAGCCATTTGCTCAGACATGTTGTTCTTGACTCCTCTCCCCGATCTCGCTTTTCCCATTACTGCCACTCAGACGGAACCATTTCTTAAAAAAGTCCCCGATCCTCCGTGTGAACCGTCTCTTCTCAGACTTGCCCTCCTTCTGTCTTGGTCGATCCCTGGTTTTGTCATAGTCTCGCCATGCGTCGTCGCCATAACCTGCAGGTCGGATGGTGTCGGTTTCCTGGAGCCATCTCAGCACCGGGCTAATGGGCATGGTCTTTTGCATACCTGGTCGACCCCTTGGATGGGGTTTATGTGTGAAAGTGGGCGGCTCCCACTATTGCCCTTGGCGTCATTTTGTTGGCCTGAAGACATGCTGGTTTCTGAGGCGTGGGTTATCCGGGGGTCATTCGACAGTACGTTCCCTCAGTCTGCGTTCAGGGGATGCATTTCCAAGGGGTGTGATTTTGAATAAGCCGCGGTGAAGGCGCGTTTCTCTGCTGCCACGTTTGCTGCGACGACTGCATTCAAGGCAGTCGGTGGTCTGTTTGAGTGGAGGTGGCTGTTGTGAAAGAAGGGCTCTCTCCCAAGGCAGCTCAACGATCAAAGGATGAGAGACTGGCCATAGTTGGAAGAATTCAGGGAGACAACAACGAGCAGAACCTTTCCAGTTTCAACCGAGCGGCCTTTCAGAGGCATTCTCGTTTGTCTGAGGCTATCTCCTTCTATCTCCAGGTGCCAGCCAACGAAATGGCAATGAGACAGCTTGGCTTCCCACCTAGATTCTAGATTGACTGCGTCACTGCCTTCATCTAGCATCAAGGGAAGTTCTGGGCCCGTTGACTGCAGAATTTGAGACATTACCAAGAGGGCACAGGAAACGGCCGAGACATAGTCCACCGCGGCTACACGTTGAGCAGATGCGTGCCTGACTCTTGCGAGATGCTGCAAAGGCAGGCGCACGATCGAGACCATCTCAATCGTGCCGGCAGAGATGGCCTGGTTGTCATTAAGACTGACTGTTCGACCAAAAATGATGTCGGCCCTTTGTCGCGGGCGTTCTTCTCAGTGACTTTCCAAAGAGACACGTCGCAGCACTACTCAACGAGATCATACACCTTCAGCCAGCCGAAGCAAATTATCGGCCGCCACAATTTGGGAACGGGTCACTATCCTTTCACCACCGTCCACATATTGCCATCCATCCACGAGCGACGATTTCCGCGTCCTCCGTGGCAAGGAGGGAGAGATGTGTTCACCATTCCTCCCAATCGGGATGACCGACAACCCCTTTTGGAACAAACGAGAACCTCGCCTTAGCGCTCCCGTAGAACGGAAAGCGCGTGTAAACAGGAAAATGTGAACAGGAGATCGAAGCGTTGGCGTGTCGATGTGTCGACGAACGGACTGTCTCCTTGTTGGAACAGATCGCGAATACTGGGTTGTGGGCAAGGCACAATGCTCGAGGCGGTGGTGTATATTGTTTCCCACCACATACATTTATTTACCTAGAATATCGTGGCCCGGCAACTCGGAAGACACATCATCGAGTATAGATATTAATTGAAGGCCCAGCTATGAAGTGTTGGTACCCTCAACCCATACCGAGCTACGAAGGGGCCATACGCGAGCAACATTTCGTATATAGGAAGCGAAGTCACAGGAGGCACACCGTGATTAGGTCGACAGTGGCATTGACTCTTTAGTCCAGACAATGAGTTTAATGTACACAGCGGACAGGGTACCAGGGACGAGGTACATACATTTGCACATGGTGTCCTACTCCTCTCTATATCAGGGTGCAGAGGGATGTACTCTGTACTCTAGACGGCAACTAATTCCTCGGACTTGCACGCCTAGTGCAGCGTCCCCTGTCACGCACCCATTGAGTCCAAACCGGCGGGATTCACGGTTGACTGGTTGGGTCTTAAAGGACTAGGTACAATGGGAACAGCCTGGCCATGAGAAGTGGTACAAGATTCCCAAAAGGTGACAATCAATTATATCTATACAGGGACGTCACGGCATGGATGGACTAGTGAAGGCTGGTCGGAACGGCGAGTCTCGAGTTGGGAACAAGGAAAGAATAAAAAAGTCGAAACGAGAACGAGCATCGCATATAGCATGAACGTTCTCGATGCAAAGCGCTTTGATTGATCCTCTCACCGCGACTATTCTCCCTTTATGTACAGTTTTTCTTTCACTTTCTGGGTAATCCCCCTCTCTCACGCGCCCCAGCCCCATTGTCGATCCTTCCACCGCTTATCGGTACCAGTATTCCGGCTTGACGAAATCGGCCATGGTCTTGGGTGCTTCGTGTGCGGCGTGGTGGTGGTCGCCATGATGGTCATCGTGGGAGTCTGGTGCTCCGACGTAGTCCATTCTGTAGACACTCCCACATTCCGGGCACCGCTCAAAAGGGCGATCACGGGTCATCTAGCAACAGAAAAAGAGAGACGGGTGTCAGTCATGCTCTGAAATTAGGGAGCTGCTCTGGAGCGAGTATGTGACAGCCAAGGAAAATTGTAGGTCGGCGCAACATACCACGAGCCATTTGACGTTGTGTGAATCAGCTGGAGAGCCGGTGCAGCCGATCTGGTACTCAGCACCAGCTGATTTCACGACGATGGGATCCTCGAATGTACCTGCACAACATAATCTGGTAAGCTTGGCTGCCAGGAACATAACCAACACCAGATTCCGAAGCTCCGTCTCTCTTCGAGCTGGACTCTTCTCAAAGAACACATACCGACTCTATCTGACGGGAGCGGTGACATGTCAAAGATATCAATGCCCTGCATCTTTCCCAAGATTTCGAGACGTTCCAGACCAGTTGCCTGTTCGAGATCGGTCGGGACGGTACCGGGCGCGGCGCCGGGGGGAAGGAGATCTGCTTCGGTTTTGATTTCTGCGAAGGACAAATTTCACCAAGATCAGCACGTTGTTTCCATCGCAGATGTCTCTTCTCCATGCCAAAAAGTCTCCCACTTGAATGCGTATCGTTGGGATCCTTACCTTCAAAAGGGAGAAGTTTGCCCTCCGGATCACCGGGCTTCGGATCGAATTTGCCTGCTCCTGTAGAAATCCACATCAGTCAGACCAGCTCTGACAAGGTAGTTCATATCGAAATAGCTTCTCCGAGGGGATTGTGGAAGCTTCGAGGGTTCGGTTAGCACGTACGGCGAGCTGTGACAGTGGTGAAGGCGCGGGGAGCGACGCGGGCAGCCGAGATAGGCATACGCCTAGCGAGCGAGAAAGCTGCGCGTGCTACCGACATTGTGGAGGGCCGAGTGAGGAGTGAGTTGAGAGTCGATGGGGAGACTGTAAGAGCACGGAGGTCAAAGGTTCAAGTTGTCGAAACTGCGATTGAAGTTCGGGCAGATGATGATTGGCCGGCGAGTTCCAGAGCTCATACCACTTTTTTACAAGCCACAGACACCGCCACAGCCTCGTCCAAGCCCCAGTCACGTGCAAGGCTGAAAAGGGGCTGTGTGCCTTGGGAAAGGGGATTACAGTGCTCTGCACTCTATTGGGAGGGAATTTTCTGATATGATCTCCGGTCACAATTCCTTGATCCCGATCTCCTTCCATCACTCAATGATTCAACTGGGAGTGAGAGAATGCAGCCCTGTGGAGAGTATATCGGTTGACTCTCGCTCTTGTCCCCATGGCCCCTCTATAAGAGCTCTGATAGTGATAGATCAGCCCGATCAAGGCTTCTTTGAAGCTGTGACATCCTTCAAGGCAACAGAGGTATTGAAGCTGCAATTGCAGATTCCAAGAACCATGCCTCAGGTCGTATCAATGTGTTCACCAGGAAGAAGATGCTCAGGCCTGATGGAGTTTGTTGTTCCCCTGACGTAGTTTGGGCTGCGGAATCCCGGGATCTTGGCACCCGCCGTTCCGCCTTTCCTCTTGCCAAAGGCAGACAGCATCTTCACCTCCAAAGCATGTCTTGACGGCAATCACTCATGCCAATGTGACATCTTCACGACGAACAGGCTGGAGAGTCAAGTGACACAGTCCCCCCAGCAACCGTGACAATAGGCCACCGCGGTTTATATCCGGAAAACTGCAGAGGTCCTTCTCTCCGTCTTTCGCTCCTTCGATCCAACCTCAGAGCATCGCTTCCCAAACTCAACGCGTTCCTCGCCGCTCGAAGTTGCTGGGGATTTGTACCTACCGAATATCCTTCCGCCATCACCATGTTCGATTGGAAAGGCCGTTCTGTCCTCGCTCTTTCTGCAGTTTGCTATAGAGCTTGATGAATGCGACCGCCGTTCCTCAGAGGGCCGATCTGAGCGCAAAAAAGCGTCAAAGGTGAGATTTCAGCGACGCGAGAAGATGGGCAAGTGGTTGGAAGTCACATGAGCGAGTGAGTGCCTGGGTGACCGGGCGACCTCCCCGTTGAACACCACGTTGGCCCCACTCCACTCCGGGTGAAGCTACTCCTCCTGCTCAGTCACATATATTTTTGTCTTTCGCAATTAGATTCCACAATCGAGGAGGGATGACCGCAAGAGAACGGAACACCCAATCTGCCTCTATTCTACCAGAGTTCATCCAGTGAACGCACGAAGTACCAAGGGTGTCAAACCCCCTTGGGGACGGGCTATCATATCATGATACAACGGCTTCGGCTCCTGAATACCAACAATGGTAGCTTAGAGACCACAGATTAACCCCCCGCTGGTTCCCTATCTAGCAACTATCCTGAGGTTGACTTCTTTTTTGGCTTTTTTTGGGGTTCAAATCTGGACACAGAATGGTCGAGGGCAGAAGCACGGCCAAGTCAGCATGATACTGGATGAAGTTTCGGAGTCTCAAGGAGATGCTTTCTGTGAAATGAGATGAATGTGTATTTGTTTTTTTATAACTGGTGGCACACAATATTTTCGAGGGTGACCACAATTGACCACAATGTGTGGTTGTGGGCGCAATGTTTTGAGATTGTACCGCACCTTCGCCAGGAAGGAGAAGTCACATCTGCATCACACGCTTGCTACTTATTCTTCCCTTTCCTCAGTTGTACGGCTTCAATCACGAATCAACCACATCATCCGCAGTTCATCTGCTACTGGCTCGCGCACTTACGAGAATCGCTGAATCAACAGCGGTCGCCGGTCTCGACCTCGCTCCCACCGAATGAATTTGCGGCTGCAGATCATTACAGGTCTGAGCAAATTTACAAGGCTGCGGTCGAAAGAAGTTGAGTTTCCCACCTTCCACGACTGCTGTCAGAGGTATGTCAATGATGAGGTCGAGGATGTGAGCGGGTTCTTAGCTGTTGTTCGATTATGCGACAGTGTCTAACTGGCATCGAACCAACAGCCACCTTCTACGCCCAAGTCCTCACCGACTTTATCCCAGACTCTGCAGTCTCTTGCGCCTTCACACTGACGGTCAGCTAAGGAAAATTCCAGTCTCGAGAATCAAGTCTGGAATTCTCCTCGATCTCCAATGAATACCTCTCTCCTTTTCAATTGTTTGGCCATATGCCTGAAAACGCTCTCCATGAGGGGATATCAACCGTCGCCGTTCTCTGCTGGGTGGTGAAGCGAGCCCTTGCATCGTCGTTCTCACCTGGACAAGGATCGACGTTGCTCCGCACTGTGCAGGGTTCCCCACATTCTGCTGCATACTCGAACGTCAAGGAAGTTGGTGCTCCCGAATGGCCTATTCTTCCAATGTCGATCTGTTGCTCTTTCGAGCATGGTCGCAGGAAAATAAATAGCCTATATTGCGTTTCTTCAACATGGGGAAGTTAGTGATGCAGCATTTGTGGCTGAACTCCTCCAATTCTGCTTCGGCATTCGGTGTAATAACGTCCACGATGCTAAGTAAAAGGTACAGTGCTACCTCAACACAGGTTTTTCAGACAGAAGTTCGAGCTCTCCTAGTGAAGGCAAGGCAAAGACTTAAGCGCTGCTAACAATATGTGGGTGTTACTTCCCTTGGCCTGCAGCCTACTTGGTTCGACCTTAGCAGACGTGTCTGTCTCGGTCTCGGGCACATCGCCATTCTCTCTGAACATCACGTCTGACCAAGGTATCACTGTGATCAACAAAGCTATTCTCAGTGGCGCTACAAACAACACAGCAAGTGCCGTGTCTGCTTCCAATGACGGAGTGGTGGCTAACAGTGGAGGACTCGTTGACTGGTCTCTTATTCAGCCCAATGTCGTCAGGGTTCAGTACAACTCGACCGTTGCGTTTACGGGAGCACAGTTCACAGCCGGTCCTAACGAGAACCTTTACGGTGTTTGGGAGTACCCTTGGAACGACTCCCTGACAAACAACGGCGTGGAGTTCGACTTGAAAGGCGTTGGAAACTCGATTGGAGTAAACTGGGACAACGCACGAGCGCCGGCATTCTACAGCAGTGCTGGCTATGCAGTCTACGCTGACACCTTGGATATGGGCTCTTTCCAGTTCAGTTCCGCTCAGATACAGTTCATCTTCAACACTAGCAGCTTGACATACTATATCATACTGGCAACCACCCCTGGTGATTTCAAGTCTGTTATTGAAACATACACCGGGCTCTCAGCGCGCATCACGATGCCTCCCGACGCTGGATATGGTCCAACGTTCTGGTCCGACAATTTCGAGACAGACTTTCATGGCTCTGTGTCGAATGCACAACAGAATTATTACGACGTCGTGGACCACCTCTACTTTAACCAAATCCATGCCACGTCAATGTTTGCGGATCGACCTTATGGTACGGGGAATTACTCGTGGGGAAACTTCGACTTTGATCCCACCTACTATCCCACGCCAAAACAATTCATTGCCAACCTATCAACTTGGGGCTTTGACTTCCAAGTGTGGGTGGCCAATCGTGCGTTCCTGGACACCGAGCTCTACAACGCGTCAATTGCTGGGGACTGGCTATTCCCGGGCATCAATCCAGAGTTCTTCCTCGGACCCGCTCTGAACTTGTCCATTCCTGCAGCCTATGAATATTTCCTCAACAAGATTGCGTATTTCCCGTCTGTCGGTGTCAAAGGGTTCAAGATTGATCGTGGCGAGGAAGGAGAGATGCCAGGTAAGCATTGACGAATTGTTTTTCGTTGTCACATCGCTGATGAAGCAGTATGGGAACAAAACATCCAGATGCGGCTCTTCGAACAGATCTGCGAGACGGTGATGGCCAACAAATGGGGCAAATCCGGTTTCTACAACTTTGCTCGTTCAGCCGTGGACCGTTCCCGTTCGCTGACCAACATTTGGAACGGCGATTCCCATGCAAACTTCACTGGTCTTCGCTACAGCATTGCCTCAGGCATCCGAGCCTCGCTGCTGGGGTTCTCTACGTGGTCTTCCGACACTGGCGGTTACGTACGCTCTCCCAACCTCGTAGCCGATCAACCCACGCCCGAGCTTTGGGCACGCTGGATGCACTTTTCTTCTTATTCGCCGGTGTACGAAATCATGGTCGGCACGAACCATACTCCATGGTATCCTCCATATCCGGAGCGACTTGTCTCAGTGCTCAAAGCCACGGCCAACGAGCATCACGCTCTCGTGCCATACATCAAGTCCTTCACTTACCAGGCAACACAGACGGGGATCCCTGTCATGCGTGCCCTGTTCTTGGAAACCCCAGGCGACACTGCTGTGTATGATACCACTGACGCTTATTTCTTCGGAGACAGCTTCTTCGTGGCTCCCATCATCCAAGAAGGTGGAATGCGGAATGTCTATTTCCCTGACAGCTCAGTTGGCAACGATACAGCTCGTGCGTATTTGGAGTACTATAACAAGACGGCAGTATATCAGGGAGGCTCGTCAGCCACGATGAACCTGGAGTGGGAGTACAGCCCTGTCTATGTACGCGAAGGGAGCATCGTAGTCCGGGGCGACATCTACCAAGGCAACAACAAGTGGACGCAGAACTGGCAACCCAGCCTCACGATTGAGGTCTTTCCCAGCTATGAATATGCAACCTCGAGCTTCCCTTACTACAACGGAATGGAAGTTGTGAACATAACACTATCATCGCAATCCACGTCGAAGACCGTCGTTGTTCAGTGGGATGGCGATTTGGGCGTTCCTGGCCAGCCGCAAGTTGTCTTCTATGGAAAGACTGGAGCACAGAATATCAGCGTGAAGGCTACAGCTTCCGGAGGCTCGGCCCAGGCTACGAGCTTCCTGAGCATATTCAGCTGAGAAAACTCGGGGCAGGTCGTACATGAGGGGTGCGTTGGTGAAAACGAGCTTCGGAAACGGTACATAGCACCGACTGTAGTGGCGGGTGGGAATCACATCATAATAGAGCGGCCATGAAATACAGTAACGGTCTGGACAAACTAGGACCGAGGATTCAGGCCCAGGAGATATTGTGGAAAGCAATGTACAAGTAGGAGACGCATTCTGCAATGAAGCAACCGAACGCATGGATAGGTTGACGGCGCCAAGAAAATTCTAGAACGTGTGGCGGATTTATAAGAGGTCACGTGCCGTGGCCTCTCCCATCTACCACGTGATCAAGTTCTTCTCATCCAGCGCGTCTTTATTTCTGCGGCGCAACCAGCACATTTCCATCTTTCCAATCCTTCTCAACGCCACACAGAAGCTCCCATTCCAGCGCTCTCAGACATTTCTCTCACACAAGAGAATATCGCGACAAGAACATAACACTTCGCAGAAACATCAGCCATGGCAAACTACCTCGCCTCCATCTTTGGCACAGAACAAGACAAAGTACGTATTCCCCCAAGTCTCCCCAGTTGCGAGAAACAAGCACTAACAATGTTTTGCAGGTCAACTGTTCATTCTACTACAAGATCGGCGCTTGCAGACACGGCGATCGCTGCTCGCGCAAGCATGTCAAGCCATCATACTCACAGACCATCCTGCTCCCCAACCTGTACCAGAATCCTGCCTATGACCCCAAAAATAAGATGAACGCCTCCCAACTGCAAAACCACTTTGACGCCTTCTACGAAGACTTCTGGTGCGAGATGTGCAAGTACGGCGAGGTCGAGGAGGTCGTGGTGTGCGACAACAACAATGACCACCTGATCGGCAATGTGTACGCGCGATTCAAATATGAAGACTCGGCGCAGGCGGCCTGCGACGCACTCAACAGCAGATGGTACGCCGCGCGGCCGATCTACTGCGAGCTCTCGCCCGTCACGGACTTCCGGGAGGCCTGCTGCCGGTTGAATTCGGGCGAGGGATGCGTCAGGGGCGGGTTTTGCAACTTCATCCACAGAAAAGAACCGAGCCCCGAGCTGGAGCGGGAATTGGAGCTGAGCACGAAGAAGTGGTTGAAGATGAGGGGCCGGGATGAAAGGAGCGTGACGAGAAGTCCCAGTCCAGAGCCAACGAGGAAGAGATATTGAGAAGCTCGAAACGCGAGGACTTCCAAAAGACGACCGAGTTTTCCAGCTGTACTTCTTGATCGGCGCATGTTGCACCTCCAATAAAGCTTGTGGAGATACCAAGCCGTGGAGAAGGAAAGGATCATTTCTAAGCCCGCCGCTTCAGCAGGGCTACGCCTGCGCTTGCTTCTGCCCTTCAAAAGAGACCTCCGGCCGGCGACACTTGGACCAGGGACATAGTGCGCCACACCCTTCCCGAACATGAGGGAGGGGCTTGGAACGACCACCCCGACCAACACCAGAGCGCGGTCCAAACACGTTTGTTTCCGGCGCGCCTCTGCAGGGACGAATCAATTGCTGTCTCAGTGCTATCCGCAGGCATGACTGAACCTCTTGTGGTTGCAACAAACTCAGCTAGACGTGTCGGCCATCCTGAGCATATCAGACAATTATGCCAGAACCCAGACTTTCGCACCTGGGCACTCTGGAAGGGCATCATAAGTCCCGTTCGTTCTCTTTTCGCGATCCGATGCAGCAAATCAAGACATGTGGGCGATGACCGTCGACACTGTGTGCCCCCTTGCCGACACGGAGCCAGGCGCTGATCACACCGACGGATTCACACGACCACGATCAACTTTGTCCACAAGCCGAAAAGGCCATGCTCCCATCTGTTTTGAGAAGCTTCGACCCAAATGAATATCGTGATCGTGCATTTGACCCATCTTTTGCAGGACGCGCGCGGGGATCAGTTGACGGGAAGAGAACAAGGGAAGACCGTCGCATTGGCGAGGCGTTTAATTGTGTCGGTTACATAGGACCACACATCCATACCATACCTATCTAGTTCAGGGCATGGATCACAGCAATCCTGCACCGCACTGCACAATGCAACAACCATAGATCGTCTCTCTCCGTCTTTTCCTAGCATTCTTCCGCTGTTCTTAAGTCGCTGTATCCACTTCTTCTGACTGGCAATCTCGACAGGGGCAGGTCGACTTGCAGAGATTCTGTTGGAGTTAGTCAACTAGTTGTGCGGCTGATGGATGCGCAGACTGGGTTAATAGTTCTTATAGCAATTGGTCTATGGTGTAGCTTACAACGGCGAGCGCAAATCTGCGACTCGCCGGTAACGGGATATCCATATTCTTCGTTAAGTCGTGATGTTCCGTGTCGCTCTCTCTGCCAGCTCCTACTGTGCTGTGCCTGAACGCCTTCTATCCGGATGTAACGCCTTTCCTCTCAAGTATCCAGCGTTGGTCCTCCCAATCCCTCTTCCACGTGGTGAATACAACCGTAGTGAACATCTAACCTTCTCCATAAGCCCAGAAGGCCAACGAAAGTATCTGCCGTTGTTCATACGTTCGGCCTCGGTTCGAAGAAGATCTGATACAGATAATGGCTGGCAAAGTTATTCGAGCTCAAAGGCGGCGGTGGCAAGCTGAATCGCTCCAAGCCTTGATGGCTTTGCGGCTCTCGCAAGTGTTGTTCCTTTGTTGGCGTTATCCCGAGTCAATTGAACGAAGGTTCGATGTCGATTTCACGACGATTTGTCCTTGAACGGCCCTACTTTCGCAAACCACAGCAACACAAGAACGACTGCCACAATGACAGCGATAAAGGCGAGGGCGATGAGGCAGCCTATGATTCGGGTCCGACGTTGTTTCCTCCGGTTTCGCTCAAGCCATGTCTCACTATTGAAGACTGTTAGTCCGTCCACCTTCCACGACTCTCTGTGGTCCACCGTCAACGTACGTATGTCTCAAAGGTGCTGTTGACGAGGCAGTTGAAGTTGACCTGGTCTCCGAAATGTTTGCTTTCTCTTCATCCAAATGTACCGCCATTGAAAACCGCTTCCAGAATGCTGGATCTCGAACACCTGCTGCCATGATTGACGATTGACGCTCTGGTGAGAGACTTGGTGTGTTTGTAACGGGCGAGCGGGGTGTTTGGTTTGAAGTTGCGCCCGTGCAAGGGTCGAAAGGACTCGGATGTCGGAGAGCTGGCGTGCAGAGATTGAAGGATAGCTGCAGAAGGTTTCGAGATAGAGCGACACAACCAAAAAGGCACAAAAGGTGGTACAAATGAGTGGACGATACTGAGGCACGAAGGAGTGAAGTGCCACCAGATCTGAAAGACAACGCAACTGTGACGGGAACGAAGACCAGGGGAAACAGGCGGATGGTGCAGGAGCAGCCTTGATCACATCCTGAGGAAGCAAGAAGGATCCAACAACAAATGCTAGGAAGGAACAGGCTTGCACGGAGTATAGCAGATGGCGCTGACGATAGTAGCAACAGGAAATGCCTCCGCACACCCAGGTCAATGCATTTCCCCGTTCCAGGAGCATGAGGTTCCACAAACGAATTTGCCTTTAATAAAGCATCGCTGTTTGTTTTTTGCCCACCTTGGGTTTTTTCTCCCAACAGCCTCGCACCATTTGTTCAACCAAGACCCCCGTCGTGTCGCGTGGCCATGTGGCGATCGCCTGTGGACAGGCCTTCCCTGGACAGAAAACGGCTGGCGTCGCGATAAAGGGCCCGGGTGCGCCAATCACGGTAATCGAGCGCCAGAAGATGGTCAGAAGCACCAATTTCGAGCCGGATCGAGAAAGCCACTGTTCAAGGAAGGTGATCACAGGGAGGGGCCCAAGGCGGCACTATCGATTGGGCTGACGGGGGTGGTAGCTGAGGGAGGAGAAACGGCAATGGTTTGGGAGACGCAGGAAGGGCGATGGATGGTGGTTGATGGGTGGCGGATGGTGGAGATGCTGGGAGATTAAACGGAAGTTGAGTGTCGGTCCTTGCAACCGCCGACGCCTCAATTCTGCCTGTGAAACGCGCACGCCCGACGCGCCAACGTCGTCATCGCCGTCGCTGCCATCAACCCCAAGACAGGGCGTTATCTTGCTTCAGAGTCTTATCCTGTCTTCTAACGAACTCAATGCCTCTCCCAAGGCACTGCGGCTCCACATGAAATCATAGATCAGGCTCGAGTACTCGTCAAAGGTGGCAATCCCCGCCGCGTGAATGCACTCCGCAAGCAGTGAAACGAACTGACTGCGCAGATCATCAAACAGAGTCGCCGAGCAGGCCGCCACGGTCAGGATCCAAACAAGAAACACATTGTTCGACCTCTCCCATCGGGCTAGCAGGCCTTCGGATCCCACCATCAACCGCAACTTGGTCCCATAAAGCATCCCGGCGCCCGGTTCAAAGTCAAACTTGGCTCGAATCTCACACAGGTACAAAATGCTGGCGAGCCGAAAGCACTCCCGTTGACGTAGCTGCATCTCATCACGCAACGTCCCGTGAGCGATGGAGAGGCAGTCGTGCAAAAGTGGGGAGACGTGGAAGACTGCAAATGGACTATCCTGCCACAGATCTCGCCTCGTGCACTCGTCGTCCATGATCTGGTTCAGTTGCCTCAACTGTTGACAGATGTGTCGGACTGCTGTGCTCTGGTCGATGGTGTTAAAATTGTCTTGGTGTGAGAGTTGGCTGACATCGGACAGATCAAAGTCGAGTCGACTTCTGGTAGCCAGGATATGATATGGCGGGCGGTATTGTGGAGCGGCATCCTGGCGAAGGCGCCCATTGAGCTCGATCCTAAACGACGTCGGCCCAGGCACAAGGAATGGTCTTGGGGGAAGCATACCAGAACATCGCCAGTCTGAGGGCGGCGGTAGGATCCAAGGTTTGTTCGCCGCCTCGGTGGTGGAGGATCCTTGCAAGACCATCCATGTGCACCTGAAACATCTCGGTCTCCTTGATCAAGTTCTGCAGGTCAACAGGTCAACCGGGAGAGATCCTGACGGAGTGGATATTGGGGGCGTACCGCATAGGCCGCCGCGGCCAAAACGGTGGTTATCACTTCATTACTGGTGCCCGTGGCCAGATTGTTCAGCCTCTGCTGTAACGACCGCGTGGTGATTAGTGCGTATCTTGCATCCTCCCCAGAGTCATGCTCAGATCGGCACCAGTGGACCAGATGCCACGCAGAGGCGGACAACATCTGTGAGACGGCGATGGTTTCTCGCACCAGATCGATGAATCCAATGTCGATCAGGGTGCGGAATTTGGGACATGTCCCGTCGTACACTAGCATTGGCTTTTTCTCAGACACAGGCCAGACCGGGCGCATTTGTGGAACAGGGGATGATGATGATGCTCAACTTACCATGGTCCCAGAGGCGATGTGCCCGCGACCCAGCCTCGATGCCGAAGGACTGGAAGGGATCCGAACGGTTCGCGGGCAGCAGAGTGACAGGGCCGATGGCGGTCTGATTGGCCGGCCCCGATGGATTACTTTGCGCCGGGTCGTCGAGCAGCGGACTCACATCGAGCTCCCAGGTCGTCTGGCGCGGCCGATGAGGATGGCGGCGCCGATAGTTGGCCTGCGCATGGCTGTGGACCAGCCTCCGCGTCTCGGCGCTCGGGCGTGTCTCTCCTCCACTCACCGCGATAAATTGATACTGTTGCCCTTGTTGTTGGTCCTCGGCCTCAGCGTCAGGGGCCGGGTGTCTTCCTTGCCGGCTGCGTGACGGCCCTTGTGATCCCATGTCGGCGCGAGATTGGGGCGTTAGGACGAGATGGTTAGATCATCTGCATGCGCCGGCCCCCTTGCATGTCGCATGCCGGGGGATGTGAGTAACCAGTGCTGAATGGGGGGGATGTTCACAGATCGAAGAAGCATCCTCTGGTTCGGCGGATGATGGGACATGGGCTAGTAGCAGGTGTGTGTACGAAGTATGTTGGTACGGAGGACTCCTCTACTACTGCTGCTAGGTAATAATAGTGGCTCCGAGGAATTACCCAACTTGCTATCCACTTCAACAACCAATGCGTGAGAATCTCCCAAGTACTGACAGTACGGACTAGATGGAGGCGGGTGGGTGGCATGTACGAGTCAGCGACCACCACCACCTCCACCACACAAGCCAATTGTTCTGCTCGGGCAATAGATGCATGTGCAGGGATCAGATTGCTCTGTTTCGAGTCTAGTCCACGATGTTCCCCCCTCTGCTATTATCTGCTTCTTTACCCTCCTGGCGTCTATTCCGCCACCCTCCACGAACGACGAAGCCCAATTCTCGGATACGATCAAGAGCCAAAAAACAAAAGCCTAGTTACAATAAAAGACTTGGGGTAGAATACTGCTTGCAATTGCTATGGATTCAGGGACAACCAGACCTAATCTTGAAAAGCTAACCTGCGCATTAACCATGAATCCTCTAACATAGCAAAAACCCAGCAGCAAAAGTCCTCCCTCGGATTGCCACCTCTCACGTACGACTCTGCTCCAAGAGCAGCCACTTCGTTGCAACGGCGGCAATGTGCCTCCTTACTTTTTCTTCTTGGGCGGCGCGTTCGTCTCAATCCCCTGATACGACACCGACCCAGGCAACTTCTCCCAGGGCGCAAACACATTCTTGACGCTCTTCTTGTCCAACACCTGTTTGAGCTCGGGGAAATGTCTGACCAGGACGTCTTTCATGCCCGTGTTCTGCACCCACTGGAGGCCTTCCTTCGTATACGTCGCCGCATTCCACTGGCCCGCAATGAAGCGGTCGCTCTTCAGCCGGCGTGACGCCATGAGGATGAAGATACGGAACGCCGTGTCGCTGAACCCGAACCCGGCTGGTACAGGCTCGCTGTGCGACCCGACCAGCGTGTCCACCAGCTCGATGTCACCACCGTACGCGTCCGAGAGGGCCGCAGCCAGTTCCTTGTTGCCGCCGGTCAACTGCTCAAAGGTCTTGGCCGGCGGCATGCGCAGCAACCGTCGGAATTGGTTGTATCGTGGCACCCCACGCTCGCGGTCTCGAAGAATGTCCACGGTACCCATATCCCGATGCAGCCCGTCAGGGGTGGTCAGATTGCGGAGAAAGTCCGGGTAGTTCGAGTTGGTGATTGCGCCGGGATAGTTGATGCCGAAAGAGTAGAAAGCGTCAGCGAAGGTAAGGGGTCCATCCAGTGGTTTCTGCGCGTCCTTGAAGAGCATCTCGTCGACTCGCTGGCGGAGTTTGAGTTCGCCATCGCGCGCGCCGAAGAAGGCAATTGTATCCGGGATCAGAGAGTGCATACGGTAAACTGAGACGAACTCCTCGGTGAGGGAATACGGCACGCCGAAGTGGTCGACCCCTGACCCCGGAATGCCGCTGATGACCTCACTTGTCTTGGAGATACGACCCAGCATCTTTGTCAAGGACTCGCCGACGAGCCCCCACCAGTTTGCATTCATGCCAATCTTGAGTGTCGGGTGTGCGAGAATAGCTGGAGTCCATTCCACGGTGTGGATCTTGGCCATGAGCGCACAGTTGACGAGCCGAGCCTTGTCGAAGATCTGGTTACCGGTCCAGTCCGGGTAATTCCGCCGCAGCATGTCGCAGATCGAATTGTGTTCCAACGCAAAAAGAGTGTGCAACATTTCCATCCCTATCCACCAGTTGTTGTTGAACCCCGTCAGCGGGTTGCCCTGGTCGTCACGCGGCAGGAACTGTGCGCGGCCATCCTTGGTGAGCAACAGCTTGCCGTCGCTGTGTTGATTCCTGAGTTTCTCTGTTACGCTCTCACACGAGCCGTAGATCTGAGAACTGTCCCACCACGCCGTGTTGACGTTCTTGTAGCCGGGACACTTGCGGTCGGTCTCGCTGAGAATCTCATCCGGTTCTGTCTGTGGCAGTTCCATTTTGCCATGGGGCCACTTGTCTCCAGGAGGCAGGGGGATGTCGTAGTTCTGCTTGCTCTGTGTGGCAGTTTGTTAGCATTGCTTTCTTCTTCGAGGGGCTATTGATGTCCATATCAGTGGGGCCTTTTGTCACCTACATTCTGATGGAAGAACCAGTCATGGGTTTGAAATTGGATCCAGGCCGCGGCAAGTAGGTTCAAGGTCGTAGCTGGAATAAACGATTTTCGTGCCATGAACTGCTCGCTCAACTAGGAACACGCAGAGAGAGCCTTGATGTTAGCAGGGATTCCTTGATCAAGATGGTAGGCACAGACGCAGGAAATGCCAGTCTGGACATGTAGTAACTCACCATTCTCGGATTCGGGTTCCACAGATCGTCGTCGTAAGGCTTGGGGCAAAAGGCTCTGGGGAAATTGCGCCCCAAACGCATCCCAGTACACCCCATGAGTGGCATTTCGGTTGAGTTGAACTTGCCATCCGAGTTGCGGGCAGTTTCAAATCGCTTGTCGGTCATGGGCACGGTGGACTGGGTGCCTTGGGCAGCTCCAGAAGGATAGACATCGTGTAAGTTGTACTGGCGAAGTTCGACGCGCAGGGCCTCCAAGTTGAGTGCACCGACCAAGCTGGGGAGCTTGTGCCATGGGACGAACTTGTTGACGAGATGGAAGAAGCCCACGAGCAAGCGATCAGTGAAATTGGGGTTGTAGCTGGGCCTCACGGCTTCGTCCATATTGGCGGTCGCGGCTGAGGGCAGGCGAAGTAGAGGGACAAACAAAGAGACTGCGCCAGAAGGGAGATGGTCGGAGGATGTAAGAAGGTATTAAGACGCTGTGGTCGAAGATGGAAGTGACGCTGCGCAAGCCAGGAGCCTCAGCTACTCCATCCTGCATGCGCCCATCAACCCGGTCACACAAGCTGCCAGAGGCCAGAAGCCAGCCACGCTCCTTCCACCACCATCCTGGACGCCTTGCTGGGAAAGACTGGCTGCCCGAAGCTGCGACTGGCCTCGCACCCTGTTCCCATTGCTGAGGTGGACGTGCCAGCGTCCGTTGTAACGAGGTTTCGCCAAGCCACGAACACCAAGTCACAAGGCTGACTGGTTCGGTTGCGCAGTCAGGTCTTCAGCTCGCATGCAAACTGCCCTCAGCTTACCCAGCTAAAACACGAGGTTGGGCCAGGCCTCACGTCCTCCTGGTTCTCGTGACCCCGATCCTCAGCTCGTGTAACGGACGCGTCAAGTCGCACCGCAGGCCGGCCCTGGACGTTTGACATGTGCGTTGAAGAGCAATATTCAATCTCTCTGATCCTCCTTGGGTGATAGCCCTTCCATCATTCTCGAGTTGACCGTGATCAAAGATACAAGAAGCCTCAGATTAATCTGCAATCCTATCCCAACCGCCAGCATGCACTTGACCCTTACCAATATCGCGAAGACCGCCTTCACCGGAGGTTACCGTGACAAGAATGCAGCAACCCACCATGATGAAGATGATCACAGATACATTCGAGGCGACATCGAGACTCGCGGCCCATGTCCCGGATTGAATGCATTGGCGAACCAGGGCTACCTGTACTTAGCATTCTCCTGCCCCCTACTCACCGAAAGTGACTTGTGCTGACTCCGAAGCAGACCACGAGACGGGAAGAACCTGACCATTCCTCAAGTCCAACACGCCCTCGAGACCGCCTTGCACATGTCCCCACTCGCCGCCGCTTCGCTGTGCAGCAGTCTTCCACCGTTGGTGCGCAAGGACGGCACGTTCGACCTCGTGGACACTCGCCGGCACAACGTCATCGAGCACGACTCCTCCTTCACCCGACTTGACTTCCATCAGGGCGACAACTACACCTTCCAGCCAGATATGCTGCAGGCCATGATCGATGATGCGAATGGAGGACCAGTGACCCTGCGATCCTTGGCCAAAACATTCATCCGCCGGGACAAGGAGAGTCGTGCTGCGGGAGCTCCAAGATTGCCCTTGAATCTCTGGTTTGTGCGGGTGTTGCAAGCAGTTGGGGTGATGAACACGGCTCAGACTGGTGGAATCTTGACCAAGGAAGTGTTGCATGCCGTGTTCGCCGAGGAGAGATTTCCGGAGATCATTCTCGAGAACCCAACACCGAGGACTGTCTTGACTTTGCTTGGGAATGCGTTGGGGATGATGCGATATGTCATCTTTGGGCCTTAAGGACGAATAGACACAGCCGAACAGACAAAGCCGAACTCCCTCCTAGATATTATTATTGCCGTATCAAGGTTGCGAAGCTCGTTTATAGTTTTTTCGAATTCTGCAAGACTCTAATGTGTCCGAATGCTCCCCTGTACAATTCCCGATATAATGCCGACAGTTGCTTCGTTCAGTCTTCATTTGGCTCGATATGACGAGATTTTTGTCCTGCCCAACGCTGCCTCCTTGGCTCCTTACCCTCGCTTGATGTCCAGGACTGTTTCTGCAGGCTACTACTCCGGGGTCTGACCCTTTGTCCCCGTTTCCTAAGGCTGCTCGCCGGCGGCCACCTCTTCAATCGCCTCGCGGAGAATGCCCAGGCCCTTTGCCATGTCGTCCTTGGAGATGTTGAGCGGCGGGATGAACCGCAAGGTGTCGTAGATCGAGGTGGTGAGGATCAGCATGCCCTTCTCCATGCACTTGGCCTGGACCTTGGAGGCGATGCCCTTGCCGGACACGAACTCCATCGCCTGCATCAAACCAAGGCCTCTCACGTCGTGGACCATGTGGCCAAAGTCGGCCTTGGCCTGGTGCAGCATGTCGGCCATTTCCTTGCCGCGGGCATTGACGTTCTCCAAGACCTTCTCCTCCTGGAAGGCCTTGGCCACGGCGACCGCGGCGGCGCAGGAGACGGCGTTGCCGGCGTACGTCCCTCCCATGGACCCGGGCTTCTGCGTGTCCATCAGCTCTTTCCGCGACACGATCCCGGAGAGCGGGAAGCCGTTCGCAATCCCCTTGGCCATCACCAGGATGTCCGGGCGGACTCCCCAGTGCTCGATGGCGAACATCTTGCCGGTGCGACCGAATCCGCATTGCACCTCGTCCGTCACCAGCAGGATGTTGTTCTTGTCGCAAATTTCTCGGACACGGGCGAGGTAGCCTGGCGGAGGGGGCACATATCCGCCTTCTCCGAGAACGGGCTCGATGAATATAGCCGCGGTGTCTGACGGCGCCGACTCCCTCTTCAGAAGAAGCTCCAGTTGAGTCACGGGATCCATGCAGCAGTTGTCAAAGCCGTGTTTGCCGGTATGTGAGGCGATCGAACACTGCGCACAGTAAGGGAATGGCACAGAAAACACGCCCGGCATCAACGGCGCATAGTTCTCGGCATAGATGGTCTTGGAGCGCGTCATCGCCATGGTCCCGAAGGTCCGTCCGTGGTAAGAACCCTGCATGACGATAATGTTCTGCTTCTTGGTGGCGTGGCGGGCCAACTTGACCGCGGCCTCGACCGCTTCTGAGCCAGAGTTCCAGAAAAAGAACGTGTCGAGGGATTTGTGCGGCATCAGGGGCAACAGCGACTCGATGAGCTCGAGATAGGGCTTTTGAAAGGCGATGTTGACCTGCGCATGGACGATTTTGGCAACTTGCGCTTGAGCGGCCTTGGTGACTGCTGGATGGCAATGGCCTAGATTGGCCACCCCAATGCCGCATGTGAAGTCGAGCATCTTCCGCCCTGAAACCATGGTCACATAGCTCCCCGAACCACTTTCAATGACTTCCGTAGAAAGACGCCCAATTCCTTTGGCCACATGGCGAATGCCAAACTCGGCGAGCTTAGGGGCGCTCATGGTGATCGACGCTCTCTTGGGGAGGACCTCCGGGTTCAGTATCGGCTCGAATGGTAGGTAGACAAGGAACCAGCGCAACGATCCAAGAAGCCAAGGATCGGTTGTGGATGGCACGGCTGCCCAGATTTCAAGGACCACAATGGACCACAGGCTCGAAAAGAAAAGAAAAAACTAGTTAGCTTGACTGTTTGAAGCTGTGGGATGGGTTCAATGTTTTGGCCGTTGTGGTCTGATTACGTTTAACCCTTACGTCATTGGCCAGTCGCGAGCGAAGAACTCCGCAACCTTTTTTTTTTCCATTCCGGGAGACGTGAAGATAGTTCGATGAAGATAACAGTGGCAACACCGAGACGATGGAGTCTAGGGGATGGTTGTCAAGATTATTAGATCGTATCGACCGCGACTACATACCGCTGCAGGACAGGAATCACTCAGGTAGACAAGATGTCACGTTCTGCTTGAAGCTACAAATCCAGGCGGTAATCCTCGATGGCATTTCAGCAGCCAGGAAGTTCAACAGTGCGTCCTTGTCGGGGGAAATGAGCCCGAGAGATCTAGAGACACTCGCTCAAGCCTTGATGTTCTCCTCCGTGTTCACATGTTCCACAGTCGCCTCAACCTTCTCGGTCATCAGTTCCTTGACTCCCTTGAGGAACCAAATGCCGATCAAAGCGAGAACCACAAAGGGGATGATACTCGCCCAGGCAAGTCTATATGCGTGAGCATACGCCGAATGGCTGGCATCCAGTGTTGCGGCCTGAATGGTCTCGTTCATCCCCGGAACCGTGGAGAGACCAGTGCCTGCAGTGAGAGCCGTGAGAAGGTCAGGCACAGATGACGTGGGCAAGCCGGCTTCCACTGCGGCATTGCCGACTGTGGTGGGGTAGGATTTGAGTTTGCCGTTGATGATGGCATCGAGCACCGCTGAGCCAAATGCTCCTCCGATCGCGCGGGCAGAGAACCCAAGACCAGTGGCGGTGGAGAGGAAAGCATGGGGGGCGGTGAATTGGATCAAGGCGACGATGAGCGTCAACGGACCGGACTGCCCAATGCCGGACAGGACATTGAAGCCAATTTGAGCGCTGTTCATATTGGGCGTGATGACGGCGTAACAGATGCAGCTGGAAATCACATTCATTAGTGTGAGTTTTAATCGATGACCGACAAGTACTCACACGACGAGGAAAATAACGAATGTCGCAATCAAGGGGGATTTCAAATCCTTGTACTTGGTGGCGTAGAGCCTATCCATTTAATTAGCAGCCGCAACAACTCAAAGCGTTGCACACTCACGTTAACGGAATGGACGTGAACAATGTCACGAGGTTGTAAGACAGCTGTCGGATGGAGATCTTCCATGCGTTGGTCTGGAACCCAAGATTGAGCACGATCTGAGGTGTGACACTGTTGACAGCGCTGTAGAAGATCCATCCTTCAACTGCAAAAGCAAAAACCGAGAGAGCGAAATTGGGCGAGCCCTTGAAGAAGACATGGGCAACAATGCCATCGGACCGGCCTTTCCATTCTGTAAACTAATGTCAGCGAATGTGATTGCCAGAAGATGCCAGGCACGCGGTGGCACAAACCATAAACACAGAATATAGCCAAGAATCCGAGTCCAATACCAAGTGGAGCAGCAACGTGGACATCGGACCAAGCGTAGGCACCGCCAGCCCAGTCCAGAGCCAACAAAAGCAGCGTACAAGCTACGATGAACACGAATGATCCGATGGGGTCGATGGCCCAGATGTATTGTTTCAGTGTCATCTTAGGGTAGTCGGATCGTCGAGTAGGATGATAGAACAGGACGAGCCCGATGAAGGTAGCGGCGTGGAAGGCCGCTTGCATCCAAAAGATGTCTCGCCAGCCTGACGGGCTTTGGTTGGTGACGCCACCTGAGCCGAGAATACCGACGCTGAAGAGTTTTAGTTAGCAAGGCCCGAAGCATATCTCATGGGCCTGTAACATACAGTCCGCCCACTGCACCTCCAAGGAAGGCAAATCCGTTGGCAAGGGCTCTGTATTTGAGCGGCAGAACCTCGCTGGGAATGGCTTGGACAATGGCAATGGTGCTCAAGGTCACACCAATGAGAATGCCACCACCAATAAGCATGGACATAGAGGTTGCTTTGGCTGACATGACTGCACCTCCGAAGGCGATCAGTGGTGGTATCGAAGCCAGCCATTTTCGATCCAGGACGTCGCTTAGACGACCGACAATGGGAGACAGTACGCTCTGCATGAGCAATGGCCCCTCTGATCCTCGAGTCAGACATGGGAAGAGAGGGTCGGGGATGTCACTATCACTTACGGATGATCCAGCCTGCGATAGGTGCATCGCCCAGATCTCGAATGATGAAGGCAATAACGGATCCGGCCGCCACGACGACAAAAACCTGAGCCATAATGGCAAAACAGGTGACAAAGACGACAAGCCATGATCGCCAACTCAGGTTGACGTGCTCAGCCTCGCTGAGTTCTTGAATATGTTGCATGGGGGCCTCGAACTCGGCAGCCCGCTGTCTTTCACGCTCTTGAATCTGAGCGGCATTTTCGATGATTTCGGTCGTCTGAGAAACGTCCTTCTCGGTCGCCATCTTGTTGTGCTCGAGGTCTTCGTGGGAAAGGAGATGGAGAGCAACAGATGGGAGACAGGGAGCGATGTTGGTCAGAGGACTTTTTTTCGTGGAAGCCTCCTCCAAAGAGTTATAGGCTGTTCACGGACCGGTACGCATCGTGCTTGACCAGCTTCGTCCACGTTCTGGCCACCAGTTTTTTGCCCCGGCAGTTGATCAGGAGCCATTCACCGGACAGACTCCGTTTAGCTCCTCCACAACAAGCAGCAAATTTCAGGCATGATGTGGCTGAAGATGGGGCACGATAACCAATCTTGCGGAAAAGTGTGCTCTGAAGGGACAAGCTAACTGCCAATCGTCCACCAGCTCGTTGGAGTGCATGGGGGTATTTTCCGGGACTGCGTCTGCGAGACCCGCACGTGGCGATCATTCGGCATTTTCTGGGTGACCGAGGACAAGCAGAGGGTGCTTGGAACCTTTGACTCGCAGTGGCCGAGGGCAGAAGGGCGAGGTCAAGGGGCCAAAAGTGGGTAAAAGCCAGCAATACGAAGGATGGAAATGGAGGCTGGCGGTGGGATTCTGCCATCTTGCGGAGAAGCTGGAGCTGCTTGTGGGGTCTTCGATCTCCTAATTTCGACGACATCAGTCGTGGCAAGTCAGTTAGTTTAGTTCCTTGGAGACCCGAAGGATTTGACTCAAAACCCTCTTGGCCGCAAAGCTCGCTTTCTTTCCGGGCTATGGGTGAACCACACTTCGGTCTTCGGAAGGGATCCCTTATCAGGACGCCCTCCAGGCTGGCTGCACTGACTAATTCAAGGTGATTGATAGCAGACGTCTGCAGCTGCGAGACTCGTGGTTGAATGTGGTGATGGCAATAAGGGAGCACCTGCGCTGATAGAGAGGACGATTGACGCAAGACGGCGCCCTCAGGGTGACGTCTGGTTCTCTGGCTTCCATTCTCTCTGATGTAAAGAAAACGCATGAGAACGTCGAGAACCATGTCAGTCAGTGTGATGAAGGTTGCCCTTTGCCGTCGAAGTCCTTGTTGATAAGGTGGGTTGGATGATGGCACGGGACGTGAAAATAAAGTCAGACTGGCGATGAATTTCTTCTGACTCCCTGGTGAGAGCCTTGGCCTCGACTGCGACGTCGGTGGCGATTGAAATGGAAATCCAACACTACCTTTCACCTGCGTTCTTTCACTTCACCACCAAGCCCCGTTTCATGCACTCACATCATCTCATTGATTGACATAGTGTCAGGCAGGGGTCAGGCCTTCTCGTGGTAAGTCTCCTCAAGTCGCCCTGAAGGGCAACACATTTGACAAGTTCACAGGATCGACTGCGTCGGCAATTACTGATCGAGATTGTATCCACGACTGCAGAGTCCTCTAATTCCTGCTCGCTGCATCCTCCATGATCGTCTTGCAACTGTATCCAGACATCCTCGTCCGTCTTGGAGATGCCTGCACATAACCTCACGCAGAATGGACAGCCACAAACTCAAAAACCCAAGCCCATCCCGTGGTTAAGAGTTCCTCCTGACGTGGCGTCTACGGGAAGTCCTCTTCAGAAGGATTCGAACTCGGACCTGGAGATTCTGGGAGATATCGTACATGAAGAGAACGATTCTATGCAGATCAGTCTACCCAAACTTACAAAACAGTCCCTGCCCGATGCTGGCAACGTGCGAAAGAGACCAGTCCCTACCGCCCGAAAAGACGAATGGGAAGATAGCAGTGACGAGGACGAAGGCAAGCGAGCTACTGACCCGAACCGCAAAAAGAGCAAATCCTTCCGCTCGGGGGTTGCCGCCAGCCTGCCAAACAGAGGGAAACCGATTAGCAGACCGTCTCGATTCCACAAGCTCTCCAAGACAAATGGAACAGATGCTAAGGAGCTGTCCCAGTCAAGTATGTCATTAAATGCTTTCCTCGCATTTCATGGAGTGTCGAGGTCAGGCCAAATTTGGGTTCCGCTAACATAATTCCTACCAAGAAACGGCGGTCGACTTCCGAAAGCGCAGAGAAGTCGAAGAAGCTTACCGGCAGAGAGTCTGTGCAATGATCGACGATGATATTCTGCAGCGAGTTGACGCGGAAGGAGGCATTACCCCCGTTGGAAGAATGTACAAGGCCGTCTACACCATGATGGAGCGGCAAACTGGCGACAAGGAGCAGGCGGCCAACCGCGCGAATCACGACGAAGTCATGAGGTTGAGAGCTGAGAATCAGGCCATGAAGGCGAAGATTGATGAGGCAATTCGACTCTTCCATTCTGCATGAGCCATGGAGTTTCTGATCTACCGGGAAGGTCTTTTTAGTTGCTTTGTGCTGGATTCGCTATGTCACAAAATTTCAGGTACTGGTATCGTGGGGCTGCATATTGAGAGCTGAAGTATCACATTCCATGTGCGAAAGTGGTACGTGTTGAGCACGAAAGCAAACAAGGTGAAGATCAGGGGTTCACAAATACAGATCAAGTCTATTCTATCCACCCACCCACCCATGGAGTCTATCACTTCGAAAGCACAATTCCGCAGCCTCTACCATCCTGACTCCGACCTTCTGTGCTGTTCTATAACTTGGCCTGTTTCGAACTCGAAAAAACCGCCTTATCATGCACGCAAGTAACACAGAGCTTCCCATTCACGTAAATCTTGCCCATGATGTTTGCGGTGTTCCTTCCGGCAGCTTGCACCTCACAGTCTACAATCGCCTTGCTCCCCATCGGCACTGGCCGTAAATAGGTCATGGTGATCGTCCTGCTCACGTGTCCAGCATCCAGGAACCCTTCCTTTGCTATTGTCAGCAACGCCGTACTCGTCAGATTATCCAGCAGCGTTGCCGCCGCGCCACCGTGCAGGTTGCCGGATTTGTTGCACAGCTCCGATCCGATATCTAGACTCCATTTCACAGAATTTGGCTGCGCGTCGAGCAGTTGCAGGTTGGCATGTTGAAGCGAGTGTGTGTCGAAGCCGAAGTATGTTGGGTCGCTGACGATTTCCCTCTCGAGACCCAGCACGCGCTCGCGGAGTGGTAAGGAGAGGAAGTTTTTGATTGTGAAGACTTTTTTGTGGGGGTTTATTCTATTCGTTTCTGACATGATGTCGAAGGTAGAATGGGATCGCCGAGAACTTTGGATGTTGTTTATTTCAATGGACCTTGGCTGGCTGCCGATGTCCTAGAACCGAGGAGTCGCAAATCAAACCGGGTCTGGATTTCTTCAAACTCGTTCGAGGTTGTGGTAGGGAGTGAATGCAATGTCACAGTATTGTTTTCTTAAAAACTTTCAGGCTGTGGGACTTTCTATAAGAATCTGGCAAAGGCAGTCAGCTATAAGGCGAATCGATCTCGGCGACGATGCTGGCGCGGAAAATGAAATTGATGAGATTGCCTTTCAGTTACCGAGGTTCGGGATGGTTCGAGGGCACTGCAGCAGCACGTGGCGATAACGATAAGGAGACGCCAATTCGGACGCCGCCCTCGCAGTCAGCATCCCCTCCGGCCTGAGCTGAAGCATCAGCGAATCACACAGCCACTGGTTGGGGGATGCATGGTTACGGCGCAAGCCAGTCGATCCCGAATGGTGAAATGCCAAACCAATTGACTCTAACGGCAATGTATTGGAGGGCGCGTCTTGGACCCAGACCCAACCTAAGGAGAGTGAGGCTGATGCGCATTCCAGTCGCCGTCACTGTCAATATTGCCAACGTTGCCTCTCCATATCCACTCCTTCGATCCATCCTGTTTCAGCCCTTCAGCCGATCATCGACACTACCCTGAACCCCTCTTCCTCGAATATGGTGTCGTTGGAACGGTGTCGTTACTATCAAGACGATGGACGAGGACGAAAATGTCGATAATGCTACCTCTCCCGAGAACAATAAGCAATCGAGACGGGAGCGGCTCAAAGGGGCACTCGCCCGTACAAAGAGCAAGTTCAAGAAGAACACCAGTGACACAAATGAAGAGAGGGATCTTCCTGATGACGTGAATGAGTTTTTGGCTGCGGGCAGGACGTCGACCTCGAGCGGACCTAGACAAGGAGACAGCCTTCCACATCCTACGCGCTCGAATGCCATCACCACCCTCGACCAGAGCTCTCCGGCTTCTACGAGACCATCGACTTCGGAGTCGTTCACCAACCCCTTTGGCACCTCACGTTCACCGAAAAAAGTCCCCGTTCCAAGGATAGATGTCTCTAATTCTCAACGCTGGCCTCGAGCCCAGCCGATTGGCACGTCGGAACAGGATATCAACGACTTCTTGCGTCCAGAATACCAAGGGCGCAGCCAATCAGTCAGCTCGTTCTCTAACAAGCCAAAGCGTAAGGGACGTGGAAGGGGACTAAGTGTCACTTTCATTGAAGCTCCGCCGGTCATTATTGGCGAAGGCGGAGACGATGCACCTACACCTCCAGTCGAGATCTCAAAAGCGAGACAAAGAGCTAGATCTGCCTCGCCGATGCCCAGCCGTGCCCAGTCTGAGTCGCGTGACCACTCGAGGAGTCCTATGAATGGGGCTTACGACCAACGCAACACTGCTCCTCCTCCCCCGCCACGGCAGGGACACGCTCCCCCGGACGCCCTGCGGCCTAGAATGCTGCAGAGAGTGCAAACAGGGAACTTCTCAGGCAACACATTGGGGCCATCTGGCCTGGACAAGGAGTTCGAAATGACTCTTCGGCTGGGGCCAAATGCAATCAACTCGCCGGTCAGCCCAGGAGGATCACCTAATACTCTAGAGCTCCTGGCTCCGAAACCGGTACGGGTCGTGCACCCACCGCCGCCAGTGCTGGAAGAACCCGCACAATCACGTGTGGTCAAAAAGGAGATACCGAGTACAGATTTGCGCAAGCAGTTTAGAGAAGGGGATGCCTTGCGTATGCACCTTGATAAGGAAGCGCCGGAAATCGTCGACAGAATCGCTGCCGACGTCCCGGTGAAGAGGAACACCAACCCAGACGGGCAAGACTCTTCCAAATGGATATGAAAACAGGCCAAATTGGCTTTCAAGAATCCCCTACTTCTATGAAAGGGAGATCTAGCCGGATGTTCCATTGATGGCGTTCAGGGCCTTGAAGCCTTGGATCAGGTCATCCAGAAGATCCTTCTCGTCTTCAATGCCGACACTGACCCTCAGAAGATCCTTCTCCACTGTCGAATCGGTCATTGTCCTCCACTCGATCAAGCTCTCGATCCCACCTAAACTGGTTGCATGATGGAAGAGATGGAGCTTGCTGGGCAACGCCCTCGCGAACTCCTGCGATTTCAAGACGATAGAGAACACCGGGCCAAAGCCGTTGGGCATTTGCTTCTTCAACCAGGTCTTGTAATCTTTGGTCTGCAGACTCGCATGATGCACCTCCTTGACGACCGACTTGATGATCTCAGCGTCAGAGAGAGACAGGCCCGTGCCGACAGTATGGCCCGTCAAAGCACCGTCGAGTGCATCAACTATCCTCCTCGCCGTTTCACTCTGTTTCAATACTCGGAGCTCCATGGTTCGTACGCTCCTCACACCAAGCCAACCTTCCAAACCGCCCATCACGGAACCCAGATACACTCGATCCTGCAACATCTTCGGAATCCACTCCTTCTGTTTCACCGCCAAGACACCACAGAGCATGTCGGAGTGGCCCCCAATGTACTTTGTACCCGAATGCATGACAATGTCTGCGCCGTGCTTGAAGGGGTCCTGCAGGGGTGGCGGCGCAAACGTGGCGTCCACGCTGAGATATGCACCTCGTGAGTGCGCAATGTCCGCATAATGCTGTATATTGAACGCCAGTCCTGTCGGGTTCACAGGTGTCTCTAAGTGCAGAAGATCCCCCTCTTGCAGATCCTCTGGCTTGCAGTCCAGTGGCAGGAGCTGCAGCCCAGAAAGTCGCTGATGGAGTCTCAACACGCCGTGACATCCATGGTATCCTGCGCCGATGGCCACTCTTTTCGGATTCAAGAAGGTGATCAATGCATTGAACGCCGCAAGCCCAGAAGAATATGTCAAGCAAGGGTTTTTCAGCAGCACACCCAGGATCGTTTCCAAGCGTGATGTACTGTGTGTCGTGTGGCGGGAGTAGTTGTGTTCCGTGGGCGCAAAGATGGGTTCAGATCTCTCATGATACGGGCGCAGTTGCGATGGGTCTTTGTCATAGCGAAAGGTAGTGGAGACATGGATGGGAGGGGCGACGTCGTGGACAACGTTGAGAGGGTCGTCGGCGTGGATGGCCAGCGTCGAAGGAGAGAGCGAGGTTAGGTCGAAGTGTTCGGATAGGTTTTCGATATCTTGGGAATTGGCGGACGTAGGCGCAGGTAGAGGGTGTTCGGAAGAACTGTCCCCGCCGTGAGGAATTGTGCCGTTGGTGGTGGCCATACCTAGAGGATGTCTATGAGATGAGATGAACCAAAGCTCAGGAGAATCTAGAGAGGAGTACCGCTCAGATGAAAATGAATCAATGATCAGAATCGGCGCCCTCCCATTGACATATTTTGTGGATTACGTGCTTGATGGTACCAGCTGCTGCGGGGAAGCCCGTCGGCCAACTAGCCTTGGGTACCAGCCTGTGAGCAGCCACGCTTAATAGCTGCCCCTCGTCTCGCCGCCCACTGCCTCGCCACCTAGCAATTGACCCTGAAGTAACAGGGGGTCCAGTAGTGCGAGAGTGCCTACTTGGTAGTAGGAGTGAAGGTCACCCAAATCTATAACTCTATTAGATAATTCGCCCTTGTGGTTGCTTGTCCAATCCAGCGATCGCCAGGCACGAGTGAGGCCAACCTGGAGGGGTTACAACTATCACTACTGTGCCGGCCACTGAGGATGTACGGATGGCTGCAGGTTCTCAGCCTCTCCCAGACCCCCTTCGGACGCATGCTTGCCAACCGTTGTGTTACACAGCACATGTTTGGTTGGCAACCACGATATGCCCGTGCCAACCAGACATGGACACGAGCCGCACAGCTTGGTCAATGCTCCCAAGCGCGGCTCTCTAAGAATCTTGTGTGTCTTTTGGCCCTGCAATGAGTACAGCATTTCATATCGTCCTCAAGAATCGTCCCTACAATGGAGGTGCACATCGCGAACCTTGACTCGAAGTTTACTAGAGACAGATTGAAAGATTGCCTGACTCCCATCCTCTCCGAATTCCAGATTCATGTCTTCGAAGTCCGAAAAGCAGTCGGCAAGACGTTCGCGACGCTCACAGTTACAGATACTTCCAAAGCCCAAAGCCTCTTGTCTAGAGCGCATGCTTACCCAACCCTCCTCTCGTCTCCTTCCGGGCGGAATGCGGTGTTCAACGTGAGTCGCAAGCCAGCGGATCCTCATTGGTTGCGTGTACTGCGCAAGGAAGAGAAGGACCGACTAAACCTCCAAGAATGGCAGAAGTCGTCGAAGCTGGCTGCCAAAACCCAAGATTCCGAAGGGGACGCAGGACTGAAAATTACAGCACTACGGTGTGGCCGTTGGGAGACACTGACTGGAAAGACTACATTTGTGCCTTATTTCGAGGTCTCTACCGAAGGCAAGCTGACAAGGGGTGCACGAGCGCTGGTGGTACAGATCACCGCCACGCCTTCCAAGCGCCACGATCTAGTTATGGATCTATCCTGCATATTGGCTCTTGCCATATCATGGGGAAAAACCCGCAGTACTTTGACAATCACGCTGATTACTTCACCAAGAATCTACGAGAATGAGGTGGCCGCGGCCAATTGTGACCTATCTACGATGTTCACAGCTTTACACATGGGCTCGCCGCGAGACAAGAGGTTTCGTGAGTGCACATTACCAGGTTCCCAATCTGGCGTTGTCGGCAGCTGCTTGACATACAGCATGGTCGTATCAACAGGATCTGTCAACCTACAACACCGCCTAAAGGCAATGACTTATCGCCGCTTTCCTATCACGACACTGCCCACCATGGCCGCTCCTCCACCATCGCCGACCCTTGCAGGGCAATTGTCCAGGTTGAACGCGCATGTTGCGGCGTTGAGGTTTTCCTTTGCCTGGAGATTTCAGGTACATGCATTGTGGGCCAACGGTGTCCTGTCTCCAACGGAAGTCCAGTATCTTCTACCAACCATGATTAGCTTGCTCGAACGGTCAGGCGAATCGGCACTCATTGCGGTCTTGCGACGACTCAATTTGCAACTATCTCATAATGATGCTACCACCGATCCTCAACAGGGTGCTGTGACTTACGCGCGGGAAAGTCTCGAACAAGGTTCGAATCTTTTGCTCGAATGTGACAGCTCGCACACCTCCCCAATTGACATGGTCTCGATTCACCGCGTCACCGTAACCCCAACTGGCATTTATCTCAATGGTCCCGAACTCACCGCCTCGAACCGTGTCTTGAGACAGTACCGTGCACATTCTGATTGCTTTCTGCGGGTTCTTTTTTCCGAGGAAGACGCAACGCGGATAGAATTCGACAGGGATACTTCCAACGAGCGAGTCCTTCAGGGTCGTTTCCTAACAATACTCCGTACTGGTTTGAACATTGCCGGCGAGCACTTTGACTTCCTTGGGTTTTCTCACTCGTCCTTGAGGTCACAAACATGTTGGTTCATGCGACCTTTTGTTCACGATGGCTCATTGTTATCTGCGAAGGGCCTCATCAGCAAGCTTGGCAACTTCAGCGCGATCAGATGTCCAGCCAAATGTGCAGCTCGAATTGGTCAGGCTTTCTCAGAGACCACATCTGCTGTGCGAGTTGAGCCTAGCATTGTCCAGATATACCCTGACGTCAAGGTCGGACGATACTTGTTCACCGATGGTTGTGGCACGATTTCAAGGTCGACCTGGAAACGTCTCCGAGGAAACGTGCGCGCACAGGACCAGCCTACCTCCTACCAGATTCGCTACAAAGGTGAGTGAACGCTGCCAGATGGCCTTTGCTGACTTCTTTGCAGGAGCCAAAGGAATGCTTACCGTCGACACCCGCCTTCAAGGGGACCAAATCCGGCTACGAGAGTCAATGGTCAAGTTCAACGGTAGCCCATCCGACGAGATCGAAATCTGTGGTTCAAATATGCGGCCGCTCCCTTTCAAGCTGAATCGCCAGATTATCAAAATACTGGAGGACCTTGGGGTGCCTGACTCGACGTTCGAAGGACTTCAAGAACAGGCTGTACAGCGGCTACGTCTCAGCGCCCTCTCGAAATCTGTCGCTGTGAATTTCATCAACGAACACCTCTCCGATGGCAGCAGCGGCTTGCCCACGCTTCTCAAATACCTAGATCACATCGGTGTTGATGCTACGGAGGACAGTTTTTTGAGAGAAATACTCGGAGCATTACTACAGGTCCAACTGCGAGAGATCAAATATCGAAGTCGCATCCTAGTTCCGGAAGCTCTCACACTTTACGGGATCAGCGACGAGACTGATTGGCTGGAGGAAGGTGAGGTCTTTGTCACCTTTTTTGATAAAAAGACTGGAGCCCATTCCTGCCTGAGCGGACGGGTGGCCATTACTCGATCTCCTGCTCTGCATCCCGGAGATGTGCAGCTTGTCCAGGCCGTAGCACCGCCGGAGAGTTCTCCTCTCTGGGACCTTCACAATTCCGTCGTCTTTAGCCAGAAGGGTACTCGCGACATGCCCAGCATGCTGAGCGGCGGCGACCTGGATGGCGATCTCTACAACGTCATCTACGATGATGAACTCTTGCCCAAGAGAACTGTAGCTCCTGCAGCATATCTGCCAGCAGTGCCCATGGATATCGGCCGCTCAGTCACTGCCGATGACATGGCAGGGTTCTTTGTGGACTTTATGCAAAATGACCAACTTGGCAGGATCGCCATCCTCCACCAAGTCTTCGCCGACCTGTACAGCACCTTTTCAAGCAATTGTCTCCTCCTCGCGGAGTTGCACTCAGATGCAGTGGACTTTTCCAAAAGTGGCGTCCCTGTCGACTACAAGAAGATCCCAAGAAGCCCCGAGTACAGACCCGACTTCATGGCTCCAAGCGCGAGTACCAAGGTTGAGAAAGGTATTAAAAGACCTGAAGAGACAGCTTTGCCTGACGGTCGCCATCGTTACCGCTACTACGAGTCCGACCGTATACTGGGTCGTTTGTATCGAGCTGTGAACGAAGATACCTTCTTCGAGGACCTCGAGGACGATGCTTCGTCGCTCTTCAGCAAGGCGGCTACCAATGTGCTGGGAGACATCCGCGATTGGGTGGTGACACATATCAGCTCCACGCGTGTTCAAGCTTTTCTCACGAGGGCGAGGGAAGTCAGAGACTAGTAAGTTCCGTGGTGACGACGCTGATGTGAGCTAACATGCACAGTTATGAATCGAGTCTGCTGGAGATAATGTCTCTTTACGCAGTTCGCCGGACGGAGCAACTCACTGAGAAGGAGGTGTTCATCGGCATGATCTTGGGTCGTTCCGGCGCAGGAAACAAACATCAACGAGAACAATCAGACTATATGAAGTCCCAGTTCAACCATGAACTTCGAGAAATCAAATCACGGATGAGATCTTTGACGGAGGATGACGACGACTCTGGGTTTGTTTGCCTCGCTGCTGCTTGTCTCGATGTGGCTGTGCGTGAGCCCAGCAATTTCAATGTCAAACTGAGCAGCTTCGGATGGTTTGCCGCAGGCTTATGTGTCCCTGATATCGTGCAAGAACAAGAAGGAAGCGTCTTCAGTGCATGAGAGATGTGTTATCGATCGTCCACGTCTGATGAATTGTGAGCATGAATGAAAAGATGCGGCTAAGAAGCGGGAGTGAGACTAATGAGTGTTTACTGCGTTAGCGAGAAGAGCCACCAGGACTTTATCTACGCTCACTCTGAGTGTGGAAGGCGTGGAATCATGTCTGGCTTGCGTTCTTGCTCGTGTGGCCAAATTTCGGTTCTATTAGTGATCATGATGGCAATGTACGGTCGAGTCGAAGGACGACCTGATGAATGATTGTTTTTGAAGCATCACACCATTGAACGTGAAGAAAGCCGGCCTTGCATCAACACAGGTTTAAGGGGTAATGTTCTAATCCTTGGGAAGTGAACCCTTAGATCCGGCAGCCTTGTCAAGCCATTCGAACAACCATTGACTCGTGGGGTGCGTCGTAAAGCAGGGTGTTGACCTCCGTCTCCTTCCTCGCCCCCGTTGAACGCAAGCTTCTGCACAAACGCCATTGGAATACATTCTTCTCTACCACAGTGGAGCGTCCGGCAGGCCGAGTTTTCGTTGCAAATTCTCCCAGGCCGAGGGATCAGCGCCGAGTGCAAGGCAACCGAGAAGCGTATGGGAGATACCCTATGAATGGCAAAGGCGTGCTCACCACTTTACTCCCGGTCTCAAGCTTAATATTTCCTATTCGGAACCACGATCCTCCTTAACCATAGCGGCCCCTTTCTCCCCGATGGCATACACCGTGGCCATGGTATTGGCACTGACCTCCATAGGCAAGACACTGGCATCAACGACCCTCAATCCCCTGACACCAACCACGCGCAGCCTCTCGTCGACTACTTTGCCCAGCGCACAGGTTCCCAGCGGATGGTTGATCAGCGTGACCGCCTCAGACACGGTGTCCCGTGCCGTGGCCGGATCCTGCACGTCGACCGCCTCGGCCGGGTAGACGCGCCGTTTGACGCGGGGTCTGATGTGCGGCGAGCGGAAGACGCGGTCGACAAATGCAAGGCCCGCGGCGAGGACGTCGACGTCGGCGGGGTGCGCAAGCAGGCCGTAGTCGATCCGCGGCTCGGCGAAGGGGTCGGCGCAGGCGACGTGGACCGACCCCCGCGAGGCCGGGTACATCAGGACGGCCTGCAGGGAGACGCAGGGGTTGGAAGCCGGAGGCGGGCCCGGCATGAACTTGGACATGTCGGCGTGCGTGTTGCGCGTGTCGCAGTACGCCGGGATGACGACGTACTGGATCGCCGAGGCGCACGGGGAGGCCAGCCGCGAGGCCAGGATGCTGGCTTGCTGGGCATCGAGGGGAGGTGGTGCTCCCGCCGCCGCCGCCGCCGCCGTGGTCGAGGTCGAGGTGAGAGTCGAGACGGTCCGTTCGAGTGTGCTCGCGCTCACCAGGGAGGCGTAGGATGTGAAACCGTTCAAGCCTGGAGCGTTGGCCAGGATGCCTTCTCGCGACTCGGCGTACAGTGCTTGCTGGGCCGGGAGGAATGCTGGGTCCAGGTATATGCTGTCCAGGCTGGTCTCCCCGTCCGCGAGTTCGTAGCTCACGTTGGTCATGATCTGCTCCTGTGCGTTGGCGCCGACGTGCGGGTTTTCAACCAGAGCACGAATCCCCGCGGCATGCAGGACCGAGGGGTCCCCTATACCCGAGAGCTCCAGCAGTTGCGGTGTCTGGATCGAGCCCGCGCTGAGGACGACTTCAGCTTTGGCCCGGACGGTATGGAGCTGGTCTCGGTCTCGGCCACCGTGGGCGAAAACCACGCCGCGAGCGGTTCGAGAGTCGTCCAGGATGACCTTGGTGGCGGTGGCTTCGGTCAGGATCTTGAGGTTGGGCCGGTCCAGGATCGGGGCAATGTACCCGGTCGCCGCGTAGCTGCGGGTGCCCCTGTTGACGCTGCGGTCGATCGTGCTCAACGACCCATACCAGCCCAGGTGGTCGCCCGAGTACGGCTCCTTGACCAGCGGAAGGCCGGACGTCTCCTTCAGAGCCTCGAGAAGGGCGTCTTCGGCGGCGTTCCTGGTGCTCGCCGACGAGGTGTGGATCGGGCCCTCCTGGCCATGCGTCGCCGCGTCGATCGGGTAGAAGTCTGGCTCGGGCGTTGTGGGAGGATCGTAGTGCTCGACCCGGTGGAAGTACGGCGCCATCTCGTCCCACGACCAGCCCGATATGCCCAGCTTTTTCAATTCGTCGAAATCGCGAGCCGACGGGTAGCAGTAGGCCATGAAGTTGATTGCGCTTGACCCCCCCAGGACTTTGCCGCGAGTGACATGGTGGGCTTTGTTGTTGTTGGCTTTCTAGATCGAGCCGTACCGGGCTGTGTCAGCCTTTTCGGTCATAGCAGGTTGAATCAGGTGTCCTCGGAGCAATACTCGGAGACACACGTACCTGAGGAACCGTGGTGAAATCCCAGGCGTAGTCGGGGTTCCGCAGCAGAAACGCTAGCGTCCCCGGAGTCTCGACCAGAGGGTCTCCGAGACGGTTCTGGCCGGCTTCAACGACTCCTACGCGCACACTGGCATCCTCGCTCAAGCGGGCTGCCACCACCGCGCCGGCGGTTCCGCCGCCCACGACGACATAGTCGAAGGTGTCTGCGAGAAAGGCGTCGAGAGAGCAGAATACGCCAGAGGCGGGAGGGTGTTCAGATTCCATGGGTGGCTGCTCATTCGTCTCCCATGGTTGAGACGGCGTAACTCGGCGAGCAGGCAGGCGTGTGCTGTTATAAAGACACCGCCTCCACCTCGGGACATGATGGCGGGCAGTGCTGTGGAGGTGCCTGACGCCAGCAAGCAGCCTGTTTCAACATGTGTAATACCTTTGTAGAACATGGAAGCGGGTAAGCACATCAACTAAGCATCTCGGCGAGAGATCTTGTGGAGCAACGAAATGGCCTGGTGTCTATCTTGATTGGATGAGCCGCGAGCCGCCTCGTTTAGATTGCAACGTTGTGATGTTGAGGATCTCACCTGTGTCAAAGGGAGGGAGGACAGAAGGGGCTCGTGCTCGTGCTGACTACAACGGGCTCGGGGAGGAGCCTTTCCCTTTCTTCGTCGTGAAGCACGTGAAGAAGACTCGTGCTATGCCAAACAACCGCGGCATGGATAGAAGGCTGACCATCGCTCGCATCCTCGACCATGTCACTTGTTGTCTGGTCCCTTCGGCCCGTCCCATTGAAGTCGTGGTGGCGTCTCTGCTCGCCAGGCCTCCCAGTCCGGTGCCACTCGCTGAGCAGGATGTCCCTCGAACAATGAATGCAAGGACCAAGACCAGCGATTCCGAGCCTAGAGAGTGCAATCAGACGTGCAAGGAGACGAGGCTTCTGGATCTGGTTCGTCCACTTTCCTTTTCGAATGCTTCCATGGCCACCGCTGGATCCACACGGTAAGCCGTAGATCCGATTTTCCCATCAATCCATCCTAACCGTGTATAGATGGATGGGCTGGAGACCCGCTTCTGGGGAGTCTGGGACCTGCATGGTCCTCTGATCTAGCCTAAGCGTCTACAGTGCACGGACGTGTCTCGATGCAAGACACAGCTCGGAATCTCACGTGTTTTTAGACGGCTCAACAGGTAAAGGCCGAGGGGCACAAAAACCAGTTTCTGTACTTCTGCAATTTCCTGGATTAACAATCGTGGAAACGAACATTGCCCCTCTCTCGACAACAGCCAGCAGACTCGTGCTGGGGCAAGTGTGGCCTACGGTAGCGGTGCAGAAGACGTCGACCTCTCGCCCCTCCCCCCCTCTTTCAAGGCTTGAGAGCGATGCCCTCGCCCATTTCCGTCGCCTGCTTCAGCCCCTTCTCGGCGGCCTCGGCGAAATCCTTCAAAAAGAGCCACCGCGCCTTCTCGTCCAGCCGCCTCGCCTTCCAGTCGTTCAGCGTGCCGTGCGGGAAGAACTCGACCTCGGCCTCCTTGTGGAGCAGGAACGTGTCGTGGGCGATGATGACGAAGACGTTGTCCGCGGCGTCGAATTCCTCGAGGTACTTGATCGTCAGGTTCGCGCGGTCCGTGTCGTGGGAGAAGTTCTTGGTGAGCACGTAGACCTCCTGGTCGGGCCGGTGGTGGTGGAAGACGTCGCAGAACGCGGCGCCGCTGCCGGGGCAGAAGCTCCGCGCCCGGATCGTGCTCGGGCTCGGGCCCGTGCTCGAGCTCATATCGAGGTCGATCTTCTTGGGCAGCGGCAGGTACTCGGTCGGCCGGTACTCGCCGCCGTGGTGGCAGGCGTCGCCGCCCATGAAGACGAAGCTGTCGGGCGTCACGCGCGCGAGGCCGCACACGTGGCCGACCGCGTGGCCGGGGGCGTCGACGATGTAGAACGACCCGTCGCCGAAGTAGTCCAGGGCCCGGAAGCCGCCCACGGTCAGGTCCCCGGCGGCGGCGAAGTCGACCTCGACCAGCTCCCGGCCCTGCCAGTCCGTCTCGAGTACCTGGCTGTTGGGGTTCACGGGGTACCCCGGGGTGAGGGCGTCGCGGAACCCGGGGCCGACGATCAGCTTCGTCGACGGCGGGAACGTGCTCGGGTCTCCCGTGTGGTCGTAGTGCCAGTGGCTCCAGATGATGGCCTCGATGCTCGTGAGGTCCATCCCGGCCCCCTGGCTCAGGATCTCCGACACGTTCTTCTCGACCGCCAGGCCCCACTTGTGGTCCTTGATGGTGTTGACGATGCTGGGCGCCAGGTTCTCCCAGTCCTGCCGGGTGCCGAGGTCGAACAGGATCTTGCGGTTCAGAGGGCCGTGCTCGATCAGAAAGCAGAACGACGGGCACGCGAGCTTGTCGTGGCCCGGGATGGAGGGCCCGAAGAAGGACGCCAGCGGCGCCTCGATCCAGGACGTGCTGTCGATGATCTTGACTGACACGGTCGAGTTCGACGGCGGGATGTTGAGCGCCGGCGGGGCCTTGGGCGGCACCATGTACAGACCGGCATCCTGAGCAGAAGACATGTTCGAGTCGCGGGCAATGAAAACAGCTTGCGGGTTCTGGTGGGCGGCACTTGAGTCTGAGTGAAACAGGGCAAAGGCTTTAGACAACTCTACTTGTATGGGAGTACAGTTACTGAGTGCTGGTGAACGGCTTGTTCCAGCATTATAACCATTGTGGCCTTCGGGCACTGTTGCCCGTCGTTTCGGAGAAGTCCAAATCCCCCGCGGCAGTGTCGTTCTCCTTGACAATTTCCCCACTGACAGCCATTTAGTTAACCTGGCCCTTTGCCCCGGGTGTCAATTCAACACGATAAAGCAATAAGAGCAGCGGGTCGAGGAATTTGGTGAAGTGGCTAGCGAGCCATATCAATAGTATGTGCCAGCTGTGTAGCCGCCAGAAAAAAGGTGCAACGTGCTGACGATTGTGCGAGAGAACGCCGCAGACAATACTTTTTACAAGGGACAACACAGCCATCACTAAATAATGCCCTGAGAAAGACAAGGCCAGCTGTGCCCGCCTCAGGTACTATAGCTTTCCCCCTGCTTTCATAGAAAGTGGTGACGGCCATTGCCCGTTCCGACTACTGGGCTTGTCCCGCAAAGAGCGGTTTGAGCCGCTTGATCATGCCGTCAAGGTTGTTTGATAATACATTACAAGTTGCTGGGACGAGGATTAGCAGGGATACGATTTCAACGCGTTGCATTGATCCAGAGGATGGATTATCACGCCGGAGCACGTACCAGGCCAGACCCATCGCTCCCTGATCATGTCCCGGTAGATCATGATCGGCAGCAGCTCTCTCTGGGTGGGCTTTTCGTATTTGTATTCGCTCTCCGCGACGATCTCGTCCATCATGGCGGTGATGACGAGTTCCTCCGGCCCAGGAATCTCCGAGAGGTGCCGGCCGAGAAGGTACCAGCACATCAACAGACCTGAATTCACGTCAATATACCTCGCACTACGCAGCAGTCCAACATATTCGCCGAGACTTACTGCCTTCGTAGGCGGCCAGAGGAGCATAGCACGGATAGTTCAAGCACGAGGTCTTCAACAAGTATCCCAGCCCCAGTCGCACGCGGACCAGCAGACACCGACAGGCTCGGACGATCGCTTTCATCAAGTCCGGGGGATTGTCGAGACGGTAGAGCTTCCCGATCCGACTCCGAGAGACCTCGTCGACGGGCAGGAGGGCGAGAGCCTTCATTTCGTTCAGCTGCACATTCGCATACAGGCGATAGTACGCGGCGTTGAGGACGACCAGCGCGTCAGCCATCAAGGGGCCTTGAGGCGCATCCGGAACGGTGGTGGCGTACGGATGCGTCCTCCACGCCTCTTCCCACGTATGGAGTGCAAGGCGGAGAGACTCCTCGTCCGGAGGCGGCGTCGCGACGGTTCCCATGTTGTTCCCAAGGCGCAGGGTACAGATGTGCGAGAGAATGACGCTGATCAGGGTCAACAGGCCGAATGGACTGATCGTGTCGTCGAGGGGGGCGCCCGAAAGAAGCTGCCGGAAACAGACCACAGAGGAAGTCGTGATATGGGGTGAATTCTGCCAGCTGATGCCGCCGGCCGACCACAGCTCTTCCGCACAGGGCAGCGTCCCGTCAAACTCGGTGTTGGAGCTCCTCAGCACCGCGTTGTCTTCGTTACAGAGCAACACTGCTCTGAGGACCGTGGTCCAGGCCACGCATCTGGCCGAGTCAGCAACGGAGCGGAGACGAGGGCACTAATCCTCGAACCACTCACCTGATCATGCTTTCGCGAAAGACCCAGCCTGTCCAGTCATTCGCGGAGGCCTTGGTCGCTTCCACGGAGGCTTCCCGACAGAGCTAGTGTGGATTAGCCGGTGCATCACCTGCAGATCTAGACCAAACGGCCGATACTGAAGACACATACCACGTGCAGTCTTGTGAAGGACAGTCTGGCCTGTCGTTGAATTCGATTGTCGCCTCCGTAGAGTCCGTACTGGCAGGTAAGGAGCCTCGTTTGCAACTCCCAGAGCTGGAATCCCGAGTCTCTTTGTCCTGAAATCACTAGATCTTCGCTCTGTGACGCAGCCCGGGGTTAGACTTCGATCACAATGGTTTTGAAGTCGAAAGCCAGGGTCGATTCCTCACATACCTCGCTCAGCAGCTTCAACACCGCGTGGTATAACCTGATGCTAACCTCTTGCTCGTTCAAGTAGACAGCTCCGCACGCCATGACCGCAAGCAGAAGAGGCGCTATGTGCAGGCATAGTTAGTGCTGGGGATAGTGTCACACAATCGGATCAGACAGGTGCTTTCCCACCTTGGATGGTGCCGATCGAGAAGGTCTGCGGATGGATGATGGGACAATGCGGTGCAAAGTGCTTGAAGAACCCTCTCACCAGCCTAATCACCATGTAGTTTGTGGGGAACACGAAATCGCTGAGTCGATTCTCGACGTCGAAGAGCTGCAGATTGATTTTCGCCTGTTCAATCTCGGATGGAATCAATCCCAGAAACAAACCGGACGATTGGTATTCTCCATTGTCGGGGTCAGCATGCCTTGCTGTCATGCTCTTGGCTGCATCTTCCGACCAGGGAAGGGCGTAAAATGGCTCCTCCCATGGCCATTGCACAAACGCGTCGTCCAGAAGCTGGAAGTCCATCTGAGGTCGCGTTGAGACCTCTGTACTTGCAGCAGGGGCTTGTACACGGTCCGAGATCGGGACTTTCCATCCTCGATCCAGACCCAGCTCGAAGGCGTTGGCGTTGGCGCCGACCCCGGCACACTGTGCGTTCAGAAGGGTGGACAACGATGGGAGGAGATGTGGGATGACCTGCACATTCGCTAAAGCACTTGCGTCCCCGCCATGAGTGGTGTCTGGCTGACGTTCGTGCACGATCTGGCCGTTGAGATCGAAGCTGGAGTCGTCGGATGCCGTGTCTGGGTTAATGCAAGAGATTGGTCCTTCCTGCGCGTCGGCTGACTTCCCGGCTCCTCGATGGAGGACTCGCATATGTCGCGAGATAACATCCTTGCGCGCGGACGTGAGACCACATATTGGACAAGCATGTGGTCTCTGCCAGCGATCTGCTTGTATTCCGCGCAATTGGTCAGCTCGGCAACTTCCCAACACTGACATCTTTGCAAGGGGAGCATTTCAACGAGTTACTCACGACCCAGTTCATGGCGCCGACAATGTTCCTTGCGCGTAAATGATTCGCCACAGACGCCGCAGAGATAACGACGTTCTTTCTGGCTCCGCGTCACGCCGTTCCTGCGCGGCTTGAAAAACCTCAGTTCCTCGGTCAGTGGGGCCCAAGCAGTGGGAAAGGGCGACACAGTTCCCGTGGCCATGATGGCTGATTTTCTAGGTAGCTCGACTTGAGTGGGAGAGAGACACTGGGGAAATCACAACATCAAAATGCTCTGAGCGGAGGAGGAGAACAAGCAGCTTGCCTCGGGTTTCAAGGGGAGCAGTATTGCAGGGACGCCCATTTCCCCCCGAGAAGGGCTAGAACTGAGGAATCGAGCAACGACCAGGCTGGGCAAGGTCCTGTGACTTGTACTCCATACTGAGTAAGGAGCAACTGACCTAGTCTTTGCTGGGCACTGGGGTAGCTAGTAGCCTCCTCTCCGTACGGAGGTAGATGGTGTGACCCCCCTTTTTGCGGGGGAAACTCGAACCCTGGAGTTTGCCGAGTGGGGATTTAATTGCATGGATGCCCGACGTTGGTCTTTGCGAAACTTACCTAGTCGTGAGTCGTACCGAAATCGAGTAGATCGCCAATCCCGGCCAGCTGCTTAAGCTCTGGGAGAAACTCGCTGGTGCTCAATGCATCCCCCACCAAGAGCCATGGGGTCGAGGGGCATACCGAGTAACTGTCGGCTAACACGAAGAGGGGTCGCGTTGTTGATGGAAGACCCGACCATATTATGAGGAGACTTTCCCTGAGAGAGCCCAGACGTTCATAAGTTCACAGGCTTGACCCTACGGTGCGTATTTGCGAGAGACTTCGTCCAGTGCTCAATACATCTCCTCTAAATCAGTTTACGGTGCTTTTTTCCTTAGCAAAGATGCCTGGCCGACTTGAGGGTAAAGTGGCGATTGTCACTGGCGGTGGAAGCGGGTTCGGAAAGGCCATTTCGACCAAATTCATCCAGGAAGGCGCCAAAGTCCTCATCGCCGAAATGAATGCGGAGAGTGGCCAGGCGGTCGCGAAGGAGCTTGGGTGCGCCGCAGTCAAAGCCGACGTAACCAAGCGCGAAGATTGGAAGACGGTCTTGCAGAAGTCCATTGAGTTGTACGGTGGCCCAGATATTGTCGTTAACAATGCTGGCACATGCTACTCGAACCAGGTAGGCACTCCAGCGACGGCCAGCCGGGCTGGTGGCCATGCCATGCTGACCATGAGCTGTTGTAGCCGTCCGAGGGCGTCCCCGACGAGGAATTCGATCTCACCTGTGCCGTCAATTTCAAGTCGATTTACCTGTCCGTGGCTGTCATCATACCGTGGATGAAGGAGCACAAGAGCGGCGGTTCATTCATCAATATCGCGTCCACGGGGGCCACCCGACCGAAACCACGGCTCACATGGTACAACGGAACCAAGGCTGCCGTTTGTTGTGCCTCGAGGTCGCTGGCACAGGAGTATGCCCCTAACAACATCCGATTCAACTCGATATGCCCGCAGTTCGCCAGCACTGGACTGTAAGACCCGTGATATTCCAAGCGTTGTTGAACAATGGCTAATATACCCTCGACGCGCAGGTCCCATAAGTTCCTCGGCAAGGAGAATACCCCAGAGAATCGCGCCTACTTCGTGTCCTTGATTCCCTTGGGACGATTGACCGACGTTACGGACATTGCTAATGGTTGCTGCTATCTGGCAAGTGATGAGGCGAGCTACATCACCGGCACGGAGTTGATTATTGACGGCGGTCGAAGCGCCTAGAGACGCTGGGCTTCAGCCAATATAACACGAGATATTGTTGAGATAAGATATGCCTTCAACAGATTGCCGAATGGACATGTCTCCTTGACCGCATGAATACACTGCCGTAATGCTCTAAGTACCAGCTAAATGGTCACTGAAAGGCTCACCGCTCAAGACCAAGACTGCCGAGCGACTAATGGGCACCGACGATCTGCGCACATGGGCAGCTTGATCCACGACCGTCTCTCCATGGTGCACGACTGGTCCCTGAGCACTTCCCAAACGGCCAAGCTGGCACATGCTCTGAAGGCCTTGCTCTGTATTCGACCAGGATCCGGCGAATCTCCGCTCCGCCCCCCCTATTTTCCCCACTCAAACTACTCCGTATCACCTAGCGGTATGGGGTGACCAGGGCCGTCGTGGACGGTGTGCCTCTGGTGCAGATACGGAGCGCGGAGTGGCCACCACGCGGTGGCTGAAAGCTTGGTTCTGGCCACGAGGCGGTCCTTTCGCAAGGCCGATGCTCGGGGGTGCTGGGTTGATACCACGGATCCGATAGCAGCAGGTGAGCTGGTGGGCTGATGGGCTGGTGGGCAGAATAGAAATATGTCTGGCCAGCAGCCTTGTGGGCTCATTCCTATCTCTCCTCCACGTTGCTGGCTTGTCAGCGTCATATGTGGGCTTGCACAAATACCTTCCCGATCCATATGATCGCTCCTACCTGGTAGTGCCATCTCGCTGCTAGGTAGCAACCTCGTACACTCTCACACTCAATCGACGCCGTCCACCGATCTTCGTTTCAGACAAAATGGCAGCCGAACAGCACAAAGGCTGGTTCAAGGACCAGATTAGACTGGTGACTATTCTGGTGAGTGGAAAAAGACCCAACCCTGGGTTCAAGCACCCATCTCGGACATTCGTCAATTGAATGCCACATCTCAAATAAGCAGATGGCTTCAGTGGTTTAACTGTGCGTTCCGACAGATCACCATCTTCATCTCTCTGGGGTCCTTCACCTATGGCTACTGCAGCTCCATCATCGCCACCACTCTGGGCCAGCCGGATTTCTTCAAATACCTGAACCTCGCCACCGAAGGTCCTGGCTTATCCCATACAAATGCCATCACCGGTGCCATGAACGGCCTTTTCCAGGCCGGTGGCTTCATTGGGGCGCTCTCGATCGGCCCTCTCTGCGACAAGTTCTCACGACGAGGCGGCATTGGAATTGCCGCTGCTACCTGTTTGGTTGGCGGCGCTCTGCAGTGCGGATCCGTCGATGTCGGCATGTTCTTGTTCGCGAGAGCACTGACAGGTATGGCCACTCCGACATCCACGCGGACTGGAGAGGACCAGAGAGCTAACTCCTGTAGGCATCGGAACTGGCATGATCGTGTGTGGAGTGCCGCTCTACCAAAGCGAGGTCTCGCCACCTCATACTCGTGGTGTCATCGTGGGAGTTCACGGAGCCTTGCTCTGCACCGGTTATTCGGTGGCTGGCTGGGTCGGCTACGGCTGCTTCAGCTACACCGGGCAGTTCCAGTGGCGTTTCCCCCTTGCTGTACAATGCTTCGCGCCCATAATGGTGCTTCTTGGACTCTTCTTCATTCCCGAGAGCCCTCGTTGGCGTAAGTAGTTTTCTCACAGTTGGCTTGGAACGCGATGGGCTAACTAATGCGTCACAGTGGTCCTGCACGACAAACACGATCAGGCCTACAAGGTGATGGAGTACCTCCACCGTGACCCCAAGGACCCCGAAGGCATCCTCATCAAAGAGGAATTCTATGCCCTTCTGAAGCAACTGGAACTCGAAAAGCTTCGTGGCGGTGGAGGATACAGGGAGCTCTTTACCGGCTGGCCGAACCGAAAGCGTCTGCTCTTGGGCTTCTTCACTGTTTTTGGGGGTCAATGCACCGCCACCATTGTCATCAACAATTACGGTGTTATTCTATACACTGCCCTAGGATACGTGGCCCCGACTACACTTGCCTTCACGGCCGGATGGGTGACAGTTGGGGTGGGTGGAAACGCGCTGTCCGCGCTGATCGTTGACCGGGTGGGACGCGTGAGGCTAATGAGTGAGTCTTGGTGTCGAATGGTGTGTTTTTGCTCTGCTAACCGGTGACAACCACAGTAATCGGATTCTCCGGGTGCCTCATGGCCCTCATAGTCGAGATGGCGCTGTTGGCGACCTACAAGGGAACCACCAACAAGGCCGGGCTCGCGGCGGCCGTGTCCTTCCTCTTCATCCACGTCGGCTTCTACAGCTCGTGCATCGACGCCGTGACCTACATCTACTGCACCGAGATCTTCCCCAACCACCTGCGCGCCCGGGGCTCCTCGATCTCCGTGTCGGGCCTCTTCTTCGCTACCGTCATCTACACCTGTGCCGCGCCGACCGCCTTCGCCAACATCGGGTGGCGCTACTACATCGTGTTCGCCGTCACGACCGCCATGATCGTTGTTTCGGTGTTTCTCTGGTGGCCTGAGACCAAGGGGTTGTCGCTCGAGGAGATCAACGCCCTCTTTGGCGACGAGGTCGCCGTGGACGTCGGACACATGACCAAGGAGCAGAGGGAGGCGCTCGACGAAAAGATCTTCGCGCAGCAGATCGAGGGCGTCAACGAGCCTGAGCACGAGAAGGCTTGACAAGTCGTTTCTGCCAGCTTGCCAAGGTCCGGAATGTTATATCCCGACCACCAGGAGGAGTTCGTGATGGAAATGAGATCGACAAGAGAGGGAAAACTGCAAAAAGGACTGATGGGTTCGATAGGAAATTGTAATTAGGGAGGTTCATCCTCGCTCGAGTGTCATCCCCAAACAAGGCAAAGCCCAGGTTTCCATCATTTTCGTTTCCAGGAGCTCTTAGTCTCGGTCTCTCTTTGTTCTTTGTTGGTACTTCTACAGCACGGAACAAGACAGGTGGGACAACCATTCACATCAGCCTCGTATCTCTCTTGACCTCTCATCCCGACGTTTCCACGGCATCCCTGGGAACTCACGTGCAACATTGACTTTCTAGTCGTCCGTGTCTGCTTTCAACGCCGGGACCTCAATGTCCAGCAACGGCGCATGCTGCTGGGTCCCGAACGTGTCTCGCTCGCCAACACTGCCCTGCAACTGGGTCAGGGGTCGTTTGAACGTACACTTCCACCCGAGCGCGGGCTCGAAAAACATGCACGTTAGGATATCATCGTCGGTCAAGCGGTAGAGCGTCTTCATCGCGTCCCGGGTGAGCACGTCGCTGTCGCGGACGTGCCTCCAGATCGCGGCGTCGTCGAAGAGAACGTCGAGCGTGATCTCGTACGGGCCCGAGTTCTTGGACCGGATCACGGCGGCGAGGTCGACCATCCTGGGGCGCGGGCTCGCAATCTTGGGTCTTGGAGCTGTGGAATGCGCATGACGGCTGTTAGCTTCGAGTTCACTCCCCATATAGCACGGTTCGGCGGCCGGGAAATACCTCCCCTTCTTTGAACTTACCTTTGGGATATGCGAGGGCCAGATCCTCTGCGCGGCGGACCGGTCGCTTTGTGGGGTCAGGCTTCGTCTTCACGGCATCCGCGCGGCCGACGAAGAGAGTCTCGATCGGGAAGAAGCGGAGCGGATCGTCGACGTCCATGAGATGGTAGACGCTGAACTTGTACACCGGCCCCACGGACTGCTCCAGCGGCGTCAACGGAGAGGCGAAGTTGCCCGCGGTGGCCAGTTGTCCTGGATACTCCGCGTGGAGCACCATGACTCTCGCCAGGCCGGCGATGGCGTCGGCCTCGTCTTGGGTCGCGGCAACCACTTCCCCCAGGACCCCGATTTCGTGACTGACCGTGGTGGCCGTTTCTAGCGGGCCCATCACAGCATTCTTTCCATAGACGTGAAATATCAGCGAGGGGCCGCCCGCCTCGCCCAGGGTGGGAAAGGCTGCCTTTGTCCTCGGCCGGACGGTCTGTTCGAGGAATTGGTCGATACACGATATAAGAATGGGATCTCGAATCCCTCCGATGAAGGCCGAGCGGAAGCCAATCTGCGCGGCGCCTTCGAGCTTGATCTGGTATGTTGGGGTCGGGACAAAGGTCGCCCCGTGGATGAGGATGGATCGGTTGTCGGCCTGCTGCTTGAACTGGACGTTGTCCAGATGCAAGACTCCCCCCGGTCCGGGAAGGCGATCAGGACGAGTCTTCTCGTACATGGTGTGCGCGGCCACGGACCGCGGGATGCACCGCTGGCCTGGGGTGACGGGCGTGAGCACGAAACTGTCCTCCTCCATGAACGCTAGGATGGAGCGGCCCTTGGGCACCGCACACTGCCCGCCGCACTCGACAATCTTGCCCATATGCCACGCCGGGTCGCGATGGACCCCGCGGTGCATGCTGTATGCTGCAAAAGGTGCGGGATCGTACGACCGTCCGGCGATGATGATGTCCACTTCGGGGTCCTCCAATGCTTTCATAAAGGGCTCAGCACCCATCTGTGCGACAATGGCGACGGCGTCGGTCACATCTTCCTCTTTCAATGCTGGGCCCGGTCCGCAGGGCGTGACGGCGCCCGCCTGCAACTGCTTCAAAATCGTCTGTCGATCGTTCGCGAACTTGATCGTCGAGACCTTGAACCTGTAGCCTTTTGCCTCGCTGATCTCGCGCACCACGTTGACGAGGAAGTCGACTTGCTCGTTGGTCCCCGCGCCGCCGGCGGAGCTGATGAGCAGTTTGATGCCAAAGTCGGCGCAGGCCTCGAGGACTGGCGTGAGATCGTGCGCAAAGGCTTGCTTGCTGACAATGGTCCGGCCGGAGCCGAGCATATACGGGCCCGGGTCGGTGGAGCCGCTGTCCATGATGATGGCGTCTGGACGGGTGCTTTCGTCCATGACGGTTGTCCAGAAGTCGACCATGTCATAGCCATAGCCCAGCATGGGCGCCGGCGCAAAGATTTTGATGGGATAGGTTTTGGCGATCATTCTGGCGGTCTGCTTGCTCGAGTCAGCCTCTCTATTGACCAAGGAGACACAACGGTATTCACCTTGTTCCTTCTTTCAAGCGTTGTAGCTCTTGAGTTATGAGATGGATTGCTTCAATGAGTTGGGCTCATCTGTCGCGCTGTCGGATCGATCGCTTCTCCGCTGTCGGAGAGACTGCGAAGCCTGACTGGTGAGCGTCGATGGAGGTGTCAGTTCGAGATCGGACAGCCGCAGCCTTGCGTTTCCCGACACCGGTCCAGGCTGAGCCGTCAACGACGATGTTGTTCATTGCAGTCGGGACAGCTTCGGAGGCCGCCCCCCACTACGAGGTGCTGCTTGCTTCTCTCCCATGTTTCTTGCCTCTCGCGCTGTCTACCGAGTATTCTCCCTTCATTCCCCACTCCAATTTCCCACTCAAAAGCAAAAGCTTGTGCCGACCCCAGAATTCTTACCCCGGATTCGATATTCCGGTCACCAGCTTGTGCCGGGCCACTGTCAACATGTGACATGTTCCCTTGCGTTCCACTGCTGGAGTGGATTGGTTGGAGAATCCCTTCACGTCGATTCCCGTGCAAGTTTCGGGCAACCTCGATAGGTCGCTGCAATCGGCCGGCCTACGATACCGGTGGGGGTTTTGGGTACCACGGCTCAGCATGTTCTGGTCCCGGTAGCCATGACTGCCACCCTGTCCGGGTCTCTGCTTTACACAAATATCAATCCCCGTGGTCGATGATTTTTCGTCTCTCATTGATCTCGCCTTCCAATATTCAAGATCAAGTCGAGTTTATCAGCAATTTCGTTCATCATGGGGTCTCTCGGCTCCTTCCAACAGACCAAGTCTCTCGCCGATGTCAAAAACAAGAAGCTGCTGCATTATAAGGGCTTTATTGACGGACAATGGGCCGATGCGGTTTCTGGCAAAACGTTCGAATTGATCGATCCAGGGACAGGTAATATCAACGGCGCCCGTTCACCCAGCGGTAGGCCATGCAGATCTGACGAGCTGAATCTGCAGGTGAAAGCATTGCCACATTCCCCGAGATGGGAGCGGCAGATACAGCCCGGGCCATTGAGAGTGCTTCCAAGGAATTTGCAACATGGAAGAATACCTCAGGCCGGGACCGCGCCAGGATGCTGAGGAAGTGGAATGATTTGTGCTTAGAAAACACCGAGGACTTTGCCTTGATCATCACCTTGGAAACAGGCAAGCCGCTGTACGAGGCGAGGGCCGAAGTAATCTACGCCTGTAGCTTTCTTGAATGGTTTGCCGGCGAGGCTGAAAGGTGATATATCCTCTGTTTTTGTTCGCCACCAAGCTCATGAACGCTGCCTCCTGCTGACAATTCGGATCAAACTTAGGACTCACGGTGAAAATATTCTTACCGCCAACAGAAAGCAGAGACTCGTCACCATGAAGCAGCCGATCGGGGTGGTTGGATGTCTGATGCCTTGGAACTACCCGATGGCTATGATTACTCGTAAGGCTAGTGCTGCCATCGCTGCCGGATGCACCACCATCTGGAAGCCGGCTGGCGAGACGCCTCTGTCCGCTGGTGCCATGGCTGTTCTTGCCATTGAGGCGGGCATTCCCGCTGGGGTGATTCAAATCATCACCAGCTTGACAACCGTGGCAGAGGTAGGCAAGGAAATCTGCACCAACAAGTTGGTGAAGAAAGTCAGCTTTACGGGCAGCACGAGGGTCGGCAGGCTGTTGATGGAACAATGTGCACCGACAGTGAAGAAACTTAGCCTGGAACTCGGAGGAAACAGTCCCTTTATTGTCTTTGACGACGCGGATGTTGACGTCGCCGTCGAGGCGGCCGTTATGGGTGAGTAGTGTTGCCAGAGGAGATCCTTCAAAGGGCACGAGCCATTGAGTTGCTGACGGAAGCGATAGCCAAGTTCAGAAACACCGGTCAGACGTGCGTGGCCGCCAACCGTATCTTCGTCCAAGATGGAATCTATGATAAGTTTGCCAAAGCTTTGTCCAACACGATTTCGACGTTCAAGATCGGTCCAGGAACTCAGGTACCGCACACTCTGTGACACTTCGGGTACAGTGAATGCATGTGCTGATCAGGACTACAGGACGGCGTCTTCGTTGGACCTTTGACCCATGAAAACGTCCTATCGAAAGTACTGACTCACATTGAAGGTCTGATTTCATTTCCCTCGGCATGATAATTACCCAATGCTGATACAGATCGCAGAGGCCAAGAGCAACGGAGGCAAGATTATCTTAGGCGGCAACCGAGTTGATGGCACCAAAGGCTATTATGTCCAGCCGACCATTATTGCAGGTCAGTTTTGCTCTCGAACCGCAGACCTTACTCCCGTTCGACCTGCAAGCTGCTAACGAAACCAACACTATGAACAGATATGCCGCGTGGCACTATCACCGAGCGAGACGAAGTCTTCGGTCCTGTTATCCCCCTGTATAGGTTTCATACAGAGGAGGAAGTCATCGAGCTCGCGAACAATGTCGACGTTGGGCTGGGTGCCTTTGTCATGACGTCCAGCATGCCCAGACAGTGGCGTGTAACAGAAGCCCTGGAGGTAAATTTCCCCATTAGACCGAGCTCGTCCAGTGGATAATTTCCTGACACCGAGTGACTTAGGTTGGTGTTGTCGGCGTGAACATTGGGCTTCTTTCCGCCGCAGAAAATCCCTTCGGTGGCGTGAAGCAGTCCGGCTTCGGCAGGGAAGGTGGACGTCAAGGCATCGACGAGTACCTTGTTCTCAAGAGCATGTTCTTAAATGTTGCAAGTGGTTGATTGAGAGAGGAAGATGGCAGGTGGCAGACGGGAACTTCTCTTGAGACGAATGACAGAACACATAAGAACCCAACAACCGTAGCTCCCTGCACCTGTTTCGGATCTATAGTGCAGTAAGAAAGCACTCAGAATGACTCTTTGAAAGATTGCTGCCTTTCGAGGAACTGCCATCCTGCCGTGGCGGTGCACGACCAGACAGAGGATATAAATGTCGCTGTGATCTACCACTCTAGGTCCAACGAATCTGAATTGGGATAATATGTACTTCCGCATCCGATCAATCCTGGTCAAAACCCGCCTTTAAGAGTCACTCCCCCCGCAGCGGCATCAAACTCTGCGCATTCATTGATCCCAACAACGTTAAAGACATCATAAATGCCCCCAGCCTTGTCCTCTCGCTCGGTCACTATCCCAGTGTCGCGAAGCTCCTTCATCGCGCGACGGGTCGAGTTATAGACCTCGGCCAACGACAAGATAGACCAAATGACAATCTTGAACCCCATTTCTTTTGCCTCCTCGGCACTGATGACCGGGGTGACCCCGCCGTGGACAATGTTCAGTAGACACGGGATGGGAGCCAGAGCTTTGACCGCCGCGCGGGCCTGCTCTTTGGACACGAGGCCCTCGAAGAAGGCGACGTCGGCACCAGCCTCGTGGGCGGCCTTTAACCGTCGGATGGCCTCGTCGAATCCCAGGGACTGGAGAGAGTCGGTCCGTGCGATGATAACCAGGTCACGGCCCGATGCCTCCCTCGCCATGCTCGCCGCGCGGATACGCGTCAAGTATGTCTCCAACGACACGAGCTCTTTGTTGCGCAGGTGACCGCAGCGCTTGACGAACGCCTGGTCCTCAATGTGCAACGCAGCCACGTTACCTTCGATGTACGTTTTCGCCGTCCGGGCCGCCGACAGGGACGAGCCAAAGCCCGTGTCAGCGTCCGCGATCACTGGCACGGACCAGTCCAACCCGGCGATCATGCTGGCGTTGGCGGCCATTTCGGTCATGTTGATGATCCCAAGGTCCGGCGCTCCTATTCGCGAGGCTGCTGTCCCTGCGCCCGTCATATAGAGCGCATCGAAGCCGATGCTCAGGGCTATTCGGGCTGTGTATCCATCGAACACCCCAGGACACACCACGATCTTCTCAGGGTCGTTGATCATGTCGCGGAGGATGGATGCGGCTTGTCGCCATTGTTTCTTGCCCTCGCCGTTCTGCTGGGCCGCGTGAGTGCTTCTTGTGGTCATCTTTCCTGAGAGAATGGAGCTAGAATGGAAAAGTTCTGCGTGCACATTCACACTATTCCGCACCACTGCCTCGGGTCGTCTATCGAAGCCTGTTTAAATTTATATTGGAGTCTCAGAGGACGTTTTCGTAGGCAAAGGTACGGACTACTTAGGGCTGCAAGACGCGATACATGCATACGAGTACCTCGTGTCAAGTCACCTGTGTGTACCAGAGAACCACTGTGCGGGATTGTATTTATGCAACTGCACCAATAATATTGCTGGAATCGTGGACGACCAAAGAGGCAAGCTTTAACCCCACTGAGTGGGGAGCTGTGGAGTTAAGTGGGGTTTTTCGAGCAACTACCAGCAGAACCACCAAGGCTCGCTACAAGTGAGTACCTAGCGATAGTCGGCGCCGGACTGTGCCCCCAGGAATTCGAACCCCGGCCGGCCGGGACCCATCTTTAGCTTCGGTGGAAATTGACGAACAAGCGATCGGAGGTTGCGAGTCCGGATGTCCACCTGCGAGTTCGGGTTTGCCATGTCCGGTGCGCATGTGTACGGCCGATCGGAGGTTGGCACTTTGTAGGAGATGGGCTGGCTGGACGCTGCTGGTGCTGGCCAGTGGCTTCTCACACCCCTCGTGGTGAAGAGCAAGATCGATGGTGAAAAGCCGTCACCCTTAGAGCTGGGATGCGGATCATCGAGAAGCTTGACGCTGCGAGGTCCACGGATTTCAAGGCATTCGGGAATGTTTGGCGTTTCAAAGCCCGGTGGACAAATGCACAGGGGCACATCACTCATGATATACTCGTCTCCAAGACCAACCAGAGCTTCGACTCCGTGCCTTTCGCCTGATTTTCGGCAACACAGTTGTGCTGCTGTCGACTCTATCTGACTAATGGTGCTCCGCTGCTAGCATCAATCACATTGAGCCATGCTGAGACGGAAACGTGCTCGCCACGTCCCGCAGACCACCGCCGTCCGTATCGGGAGCGTTTCTCTGGGTGTTGACAATTGTCCACGGTGTTGTCGGGAGAGCTTCTTCGTGACTTGAAGTGTGCTTGCAGTTACATCTCCAACTGCCCTCCTGATCGCCTGTCCCATTCGAAAGCATCCCGAAACAATGAGCACCTGAATCCAGCCGAGTACCATCAGTCCCGTGAGATGCTGCACCGAGACATGCGAACCACAAGCTCAGAAATTAACTGTCCTGCCTGATCTGCCGTCATATTGTTCTGGAAGGCGACCTGCTCGAGACTTGCCCCCTTAGCGACGCGCTCCGCCATCGAGTGCCCGAGCTTGGTACGAGCCGAAAGGTCTTTGTTGTCGAGCAGGCCTCCTTTGTCGCCTGACTTGCTGTTGTCCGTTGAGTTGGCGCTCTTTGTGACACCGCAAGCGTCAGTGATCTGTACACACAAGGATGGGGGAAACTCTTTTTGCTTACATCTTCAGTGGTGGACGAAACCTTGTTTGAATCCATCTTGGCATCAACAACAGAGATTGTTGGCACTGAGGTTATGTCGTGGAACCAGGTGTGTGCAGATCTTGTTGAGATCAGACTGAGTCAAGAGGTTCAGAGATACCTTTTTAAAGGCAGTGGACTGGATCAACACTTCGGCGCGTACCTCCCACTTCTTCACCAGATATGCCTCATTCACCAACGTTGTTGCGGTCTGTTTTATTCATTCTGCCTACTTCCGCGGCAGCGACTCCGTGTGCTATGTCAAGAGATGGGAACCCTCTGCTCGCGTAATGTATATTCACTTCACTCAAGGCATCTCATTCAACCAGTCTCACAGCGTATTGTGGGAGGCGCGCTTTTGGAACACCGCGCCCGCGCTTCTGCAAAACAATTGCCGTCCCTGAATGTGGCTGACTCCTAATGATTGACTGCCCTCAGGGCATGCAAATCGTTTGCTTTGTCTATTATTCCTCATGTTCTTTGTTCTTTCTTGTGGCTTTTGTGCTCACAGGGAGGCACGCGGTGGCGCGAAGGCAATGTCATTTCGATGAGAAAGGAGGCTGCATCAGAAGAGTGGCTTGCAACATGAAAGTCTGACAAAACCTCCTTCTCGAACCTTCTCTCCTACTACAAGACAAGAGCAGGGCAGGGCAGGTCGATTTTATGGCTGACACAATCATAGGCAACAAACTCGGTGTATACCGGGACCGCTGTCGTGCGCTAGAGGAGACTCTCTTATGAGTTCTCTTGTGGTGCGGAATCTTTCCACCAAGGACCATTCTCTTAATAAATCACAGCATCAAAAGCCTGATGATGATACCAGCTGCTATTCCCATCCAAGATCCCAGTGGTTGCTCAAATCCCAACTGCCCCAACCGGATAAAGGATGAGGTGACTGCCTAGATGTGAGGCAGTACGCATACACTGCGTCTCCCGATCTCGTCTCGACGGCTTTTATAACTTCGCCAGCTTTTCGTCTCTGCTTTCACACGAAAAGATATTTTTCACCTCAGCAAAAATCACTACCTTCAATTACACCATCTCTATCTCAATAACTTGGCGCAAACCCACATCCCACGGATACACCCTGACATCGCTTTCGACCTCAGTGGTTGGAATTGCGGCCCAAAGAACAGGTCTGTTTCAAAGCCATGGAGATTGGAGCTCACTTGTATGAACAGATACCCTCACCGGCGAAAACCTCGTTTGGAATCAACGTGCCATTCCTTGTAGGTGAAGAGCATCGAGCATCGCCGTCAGACCGGAATTGTCAAAAGCCAGTCTTGACCGAAGATTCGGCTGCAGAACAAATACATGCGGACCCGTCAGCCGGATGTTCTCCTTCAAAACCTTCTCGACGTAACAGCTTCACATCTGTCTGCAGGCAAGTGAGCATCGCTCCGAGCCGGTTCGCCAAGTTGTTGACAGCGAAAGAACTATATGACCTTGCTCCGGACCCATCACTTGTCCCGAGACCACTCACCATCCGGAAGCAGACTAGAAATGTATCAGCTTCTGCTCCGCTTGAGAGTGGTGCCATTGATACCCACGAAGCCCAGAGTTGCCGCGAGAAGCGAACTGGAGGCAGACATCTCGTTTGTCACATCCGCGACCGACTCCGATCACACCAGCATGCAATCATAGATACCATCGCCAGGATAGTCAGCAACGAAGTGGGCGTGTCCGATATTGCAAATGACATGGTCCTGGAATCGAACGAGTTGACTCTATACATGGCGAACTTCGGTGCAGCAGCGAGAGATGGCCCCTGCGTTCTAGATGAAGCGGTCCAGTTGCTCTACTCTTCCGTTCCTGCAACACCCTTCACTGGAGACAAGCTCTGCAATGCTCTACTGAGTCATGGTGAGATACACAAGTCCAGTGTCTTGATTGATTCGGCCAACGACAAAGTGGAAACCGAGGCGCATGAGGGGAAAGAAATCCATCACACTCGAGTTGCCTCTGAAGGAACTTTGTCGTGGGCTGAGGAAGAAGATGACGTCTTCCCGGACGGTCATCGTGAATGGTTCATCCCCCAAATAAGCGGTCCAGATGTCGAGAACGAGGAGGTATTTCACGACGCCCAGGAGAGCCAAGACGAGACTCTGAGTGGAGAATCGAGGATGCAACTACCGGACAGCAACAACTCCACCTATCCCACAACAGATCAGGCAATTCAAGGATGGCCACACTCCTCTGTTGTCGGGTTTCTATTCCTCCGACCACCAGACGTCGCCACCGAGAGAAGAAATACATATCTGGGAGTGCCAAAGGCGCAGGTCGCAGAATTCAAGAGCATGTGCACCGCAATCCCGAGTATGGTGTTGATAATCCTTGCTATCATGGTTGGGCGACTTCTGGGCATTCTTCTGTCAGAATTACAAGGGTTTGCGTTGGACCATTAAACCTCAAAAGACAGGAGATTCAGCTCCGTGCCAACAGGAACAAGGTGAGTGGGCTACAAGGCCAGGTGCACCGGCAGGGCCGGAGTGGAAAGGGGCGAGGCTGAGCCACTCTCGAATTGCGGTGACTCGTAGAGTTGTCAAGATTCCGGCATCCATGTAAGAGGTTACTGCAACTCCCTGCACATCTAGATTGATCAAGCGCGTAGGAGGAGCTATACCTACGCCTAGCACGACTACCAAGCCACGGTTAACTTAGGGATAGCAGAGAATGTCTTCTTATGAGTGTCTGAGGGAGGAATTCAGACTGTCGTATAACTATGTAAGAAAGAAAAGACGCAAGAGGAAGAGATCGCAACGGAATGCAGCTTTGTATCAGTGTTCCTACGCCGCCTGCTCCATCTACTTATCTCTCTACGTATCTCCACAAGTGGACGCCGCAAGATGAGGTTCTCACTAGCTCGTCGTTTCGCAGGGTATCATTATACATACATGAGTGGAGGCGCGGGACTAGTCGGAGTAAGGACTGATTCACTTTCTTGATCCGGAATAGCATCTGACGGGATGCAGATGGAGTATATCTTGCATCAATGTGTCTAAATTCATTAGCGGTGGTAGACGGGTCTCTTCCATTTATTTAGCAACGTAAAAAGGAGCAACAGAAGAAAGGCAAGCTGGGAAACTGTTCCCCAGCGATCGGGATGGTTGTCCTCCCTTGTCACTACCGCAAGTCCCTGTACTTACGGCGCCACCCGGTACCTTGCGTCTCGGTCTGACGTTGAACTTGCGCTTCCCCCTAGTCCCCTGGCCTTGCGCGAGACCCAACAGCAGCCACTATTCACAAGCCTGGAGGGGACAGACAGCCAGTAATGCACCTGGATGACAATGTACATTAAAGTCCGATTACCATCCCAATAAAGTCCGACAGCGTATGCTGATACTCCTTCGACGGAATCCCTGGACTGGGTGGTGCCACGGTTGCTGCGCGCGGTGACCATGATTTGGAATCGTCATACCCTAATCAACAATCTGACTCAGAAAACTCGCCTGCACGCCTATCCCATCTTCCAATATCTCGGCGATCAGGCTATCAAGTCACTTTGCGTCTCGGGCGCCCTTGGTTACAGGCAGACGTTCAATCCTTCTCGTGCCTGATTATGTATCTGTGGATCAGTCCACACCACTATGGCACGAGGGCGAAGATGTTGGCAATAGAACGCCTCCTCGGCCTGCACATGGGCTTAGCCAGGTGCGTCGTCTTAATATCGCTGAGCTCTGCCAGTCTCTTCATGGAGGGCCTGTGCCGTCTCCGAAACTCTGATCGCAACCATGTCCTCTCAAACTGTCGCAGACAACTTTGACTACATTGTCATCGGCGGAGGCACTGCAGGGCTGGTTGTGGCTTCGCGCCTGTCCGAAGACCCCGACGTCCGCGTTCTCGTGGTCGAGGCTGGAGCAGACCGGAGCGATGACCCGTTGGTAACCACGCCAGGTCTCGCTGGTGGCATGTATGGCAAAGATGAGTACGATTGGACTTTCAAGTCGCTGCCGCAAGTGAGTACCTTCGTGGTTCCGGCTCACGCGGCTCATCCCGATAGCTAACTGACTGGTGTGATCCAGCCGGGCCTGGGCGGACGCTCGCTGGTCGAGTCCAGAGGCCGCATGCTCGGTGGCAGCTCAGCGATGAACCTCACCGCCATGGTCTATCCCAGCCGTGCAAGCCTCGATGCATGGGGCCAACTGGGCAACGAGGGCTGGTCATTCGACACAATGACCCCGTATTTCCACAAATCTACCACCACACATGATCCCTCCGCCGCCGTGAGCGAGGCATACGGCATGAGCTCTTACTACGACAGCAGCTTGTCCGGGAAAACATCTGGCGGCCCAGTCCAGGTGATGTTCACCGAAGGCCCAGACGCGGAATTCCACCCCTGGGCGGAGTCACTCCGCAAGGTGTTGGGCACGGAGATGCACAACGACCCTCGCACCGGAGCAACGATAGGCTCCTTCAGGACAGCAGGCTCCATTGACCCTACAACCAGGACAAGATCATTCGCCGTGCCGGCGTATCTCGGCGACACAGCACGGCAGCGCAAAAACCTTGTCGTTCTGACCGAAACGAGAGTTAGTCGCATTGTCCTCGAGACGTCAAATGCCGACGGCACGGTCTCGGCCACAGGGGCTGAGTTGTTACTGCGTGGTGGCGCTCAGAAGATCGTCTCTGCGAACAACGAGGTGATTCTGGCAGCCGGAGCATTGCAGTCGCCACAGCTGCTTGAGCTATCCGGAGTTGGAGGAAGAGATATATTGGAGCGAAACGGCATCTCCGTGGTGGTCGACAATCCAAATGTTGGTGAACATTTCTCTGATCACCCCTGCATTTGGGCTGGCTTCGAGGTGGCCTCTGGAGTGGCGGCCGATGTGCTTCGTGACCCTGCCGCCATCGGCCATGCTCTGGCAGAGTATCAAGCAACCCGAAGTGGGATTTTAAGTCAGAACCAAGGAATCATGGCGTACCTACCTTTGGTAGATGGTTCCGGACCGATGTCGTCTGAAGTACGTGACGAGCTTTTACAAAAGCACCTTGCGCCACCGACGCAGGCCGAGCCCGCCTCGCTTTCGACGGATGCTCCTCGCAGAAGAGTGCTGAGATGGCTGCTGGAGCAACCGGCTGAGCCTGCACTGCAGCTCGCTTTGGTGACGGGGCAAATGTCAATGCCAGAGGATCCGAAGGCGCTGATAGACCATTTCACCCCCAGAGCGCCCGAGAACTATTTCAGCATCATGGTGTTCCTCTCATACCCGGTCTCCACAGGAAGCTGCCACATCACCTCGCCCAGTATCAGCGACAAGCCTGCTTGGGATCCACGCTCCCTTACCGAAGAGATCGATCTGGAGTTGTATGTGCGTGCCATGCAGTTCTTGAACGAATTTGTTGCGACGGAACCCTTTCGCAGCCGTCTGAAGCCGGGTGGGAAACAAATCCCGTTGCCCCTGTCACGGGACCCTGATGCCATCAAGGAGCACGTCAGGCACAGTCTTCTGAGCGCTCAACATGTGCACGGAGGATGTGCCATGATGCCCAGGCAAAAGGGCGGGGTCGTGAATTCGAAGTTGAAAGTGTACGGTGTGAACCACCTCAGGGTTGTAGACGCGAGCGTGTTTCCTTTGCCCGTGGTAGGGAATATCCAAAGTGTCGTCTATGCTGTCGCCGAGAGAGCGGCTAACCTTATCAAGGCGGACAGGAGGTAAGCATGTGGGATTTGGATGGCAAGGCTGACAGGGCTGACAAGGCTGAAGTGGGGGAATTCGGGAGCAGTGAGAGGATAGAGGATTTGGAATTTCCAGAACCATAACCCACGTCCCGAAGTTCATGAAACACTGCCAAGCCACCCGGTTATATGAAACAAAGGCCAGGTAACCTCATAATTTCATGGCACGGATTCTCAGCCCGCATCCCAAAATGATATACGGACGGGCTCAGGACGCTCTATGAGAGTCACCGTAACGGGCCTTCCGCCTTGTACCAAAATTACAAATCTCTGCTTCCTCCGAGTGTTGAATGCTTCTCGCACGACGCGTCTCCCTGGTTGAACAATACCCTGCACATGGTGGGCCACACACTTGGAATAGGCCATCTGAGCCCTCAACTTGAACGATAACCATGTGAACTTACATAGGGCTAGCTTTGAACCGATTCCCGCGACGAAGCCTTCACGCCGCAGAACATCAGGTCCGCTTGATGCAAGGCGGGTCTCTCCCCGTTCAATCCAGGTCGTGTGCTCAATATATCCACGAAGCACCAGCTGAGGAAACCAGTCCTCCGACACGCATAGTGAACATAGAGGTTCCATCGCCACATGGCCTGCTAACCACCCTTACCACTTCGCAGGGTATAACATTGCTAAGCAAGAAATTGGAACAGGATATCAATGATCTTGACGGCCCTGTCAAACGACGATTCGCCAAGTTCCACCATGTAGTTCAAAAGTCGCGTGCAGACTGTACGCTCCTGCGGGGGGGAGAACAAGAACTTGTTCGAGCAAAACAATGAAAAAAAAAAGATGCGAGCATCGGCCCGTTCAACGGTGATCGGAAGGGCCAAAATTATGACGTACGATGACATTGTGGCAGCCCCGAAACGAACGTGCAGCGCAGGAATCTGGCATTGCCGGCCGAGCCAGAAAAGCCTGCAACCGTCAGAAAAAGGAGGCCAAGCCCTTGTCAGGTGCTTCATCACAGGCCAAGGAAGTCGGGAAAGACGTGTGCGGGATTGAATCCATGGATCTAGGAAGTTACCGTTCTGTTTTGCGATTCTGATTGACTATTCAAATTCTCACTAAGATTTTTTTTATCAGCCACTGAGTGTCGCACGAGAGTTCTTGGCCACAACAAGGCCTGGTTCGCCCTTCTTTCGTGAACGGTTTCAGAAGATCTCATTGCGGTTAAGGTGGATGGCGAAAGATGAATTGTCTTCGGCGATCGACTTTTCCATGTCGCTAATCGTGATAAGCAAAAAGCCAAGCACTAGGGTTTGCGGACGAGAGGTAGAAATCGATTTGGAGGCGCCTGAATAAAATGTCCTCTGCCAGCTCACAGCACTGGTGAAGCGCTACGAAGTGCAGAAACAGCCTCTCGTTGTCCATGATCGAATGTCCGTTGCAGTTGTCGCGAGCGACGGGAACATATTTCCCGCCCTTTATTCCTTCAATGCCAAGAATTTAATAGTCGCGCTTTTCCTAAAACTGTCATAGCTTAGGTTATCCCACTCTCCCGCTATTGACCACTCTCTTATCGAATGGCCATGTTGCTCAGCCCGCTTAGAATCACGTGCCGAAAATCCATAGTTGTCTCTTTAACAATAAAAGTAACATAAAACAGACAGGTAAATACCATAGAAATGCAAGCCTATGCGTATTTGCCGTACTCTTGATCTTGCGCCTCAGAGTCCGCCTCGGCATCCAGCAGCATCTGCACCACCGCCCCCGAGCCTCGATATGATGTCGCCTGTAGCGCAGTACCGTGGTCTCCCCCTTACGCGTTGACGTCTGCCCCCGCGTCCATTAGTATCTACACTATCGCCTCGTGGTCTTGATATGATGCTAACTTTAGCGCAGTGCTGTAGTATTCCTCTTGCGCGTTGACGTCCGCCCCCGCGTCCAGCAGTATCTGCACCACCGCCTCGTGGCCTCCAGCTGATGCCGCCTGTAGCGTAGTGCCGTAGCGTCCCCC